GAGGGGATTTTGGGGGAATTCTGAGGACTTTTATGGATTTTGGGGGATTCTGAGGAGATTTTGGGATTTTGGGGAATTCTGAGGGGATTTGGGGGGATTCTGAGGGGATTTTGGGGAATTCCGATGGAATTTTTGGGGAATTCCGAGTGGTTTTTGGGATTTCGGGGGATTCTGAGGGGATTTTTGGGGACTCTTGAGGGGATTTTGGGGAATTCTGAGGGGTTTTTGGGATTTCGGGGGATTCTGAGGGGATTTTGGGGGAATTCTGAGGAGTTTTACGGATTTTGGAGTATTCTCAGAAGATTTTGGGATTTTGGGGGATTCTGAGGGAATTTGGGGGGATTCTGAGGTTTTTTATGAATTTTGGGGAATTGTGACGGGATTTTGGGGAATTCCGAAGGTATTTTGGGGAATTCCGAGGGAATTTTGGGATTTTGGGGGATTCTGAGGGGATTTTGGGATTTTGGGGGAATTCTGAGGGGATTTTGGGGGATTCTGAGGGGATTTTAGGGAATTCTGAGGGTTTTTTGTGAAATTCCGAGGAGTTTTAGAGATTTTGGGGGATTCTGAGCGGGTTTCGGGGCAGGAATTTGGGTTTTTTTTGGCGGATTTTGGGGTTTCAGGGGGAGAAGGGGGCGTGGCCAGAGAAGGGGGCGTGGCCAGGGAAGGGGGCGTGGCGCGGTGGGCGTGGCCATTGCTGACCCCGCCCCCTTTCGCAGGAGGAGTTCCGGGGGTTCCTCCCCGAGGAGCTGGAGATGGCCCCGCCCCTCCCCCCGCGCCGCTCCCGCCGAGGTCAGTGACCCCAAAACCACCCGAAATCACCCCAAAAATCCCATAAATGCACCAGTCACCCAAGTCGCCCAAAATCCCCCAAATCACCCCCAAAATCACCCCTAAATCAGCCCAAAATCACCCAAAATACCCCTAAATCCCCCAAAATCACCCCAAAATCAAGCCTAAATCACCCAAAATCACCCCTAAATCACCCCAAAATCACCTCAGAAAGCCCCAAAATCCCCCAAAATCAGCCCCAAATAACTAAAATCACCCCTAAATCATCCCAAAAATCCCCTAAATACACCAAAATCAACCCAAAATCGCCCAAAATCACCCCAAAAATCCCCTAAATGCACCAAAGTCACCAAGTCACCCAAAATCCCCCAAGTCACCCCAAAATCCCCCAAAATCAACCCTAAATCACCCCAAAAATCCCCTCAATACACCAAAATCATCCAGGTCACCCAAAATCCCCCAAATTACCCCCAAATCACCCCAAAATCACCCCAAAAATCCCCTAAATGCACCAAAGTCACCAAGTCACCCAAAATCCCCCAAGTCACCCCAAAATCCCCCAAAATCAACCCTAAATCACCCCAAAAATCCCCTAAATACACCAAAGTCATCCAGGTCACCCAAAATCCCCCAAATTACCCCCAAATCACCCCAAAATCACCCCAAAATCGCCCCAAAAATCCCCTAAATACACCAAAGTCACCCAAGTCACACAAAATCCCCAAAGTCACCCCAAAATCATTCCAAAATCACCACTAAATTGCCCCAAAATACCCCAAAATCAACTCTAAATCACCCCAAAATCACCCCAAAATCGCCCAAAATCACCCCAAAAATCCCCTCAATGCACCAAAGTCTCCCAAGTCACCCAAAATCCCTCAAATCACCCCAAATCACCCTAAAAAATCCCCAAAAATCCCCAAAATCAACCCTAAATCACCCAAAATCACCACAAAAATCCCCTAAATACATCAAAATCAGCCCCAAAATCCCCAAAATCACCCCGAAATCACCCCAAAAATCCCCTAAATACACCAAAGTCACTCAAGTCACCCAAAATCCCCCAAATCCCCCCAAAATCATTCCAAAGTCACCCTAAAAATCCCCTAAATACACCAAAGTCACCCCAAAATCATTCCAAAGTCACCCCTAAATCACCCCATAATCCCCCAAAATACCCCAAAATACCCCAAAATCGCCCCAAAAATCCCCAAAATCACCCCAAAATCAACCCTAAATCACCCCAAAATCAACCCTAAATCACCCAAAATCACCCCAAAAATCCCCTAAATACACCAAAATCACCCAAAATCAACCCAAAACCACCCAAAATCACCCCAAAAATCCCATAAATACACCAGTCACTCAAGTCACCCAAAATCTTACAAATCACCCCAAATTCATTCCAAAGTCACCCCTAAATCACCCAAAAGTCCCCCAAATACCCCCAAATCAGCTCCAAATAACCAAAATCACCCAAAATCCCCCCCAAATACTCCAAAATACCCCAAAATCAACCCTAAATCACCCCATAATCACCCCAAATCATCCCAAAATCACCCAAGAATCACCCCAAATCAGCCCAAAAATCACCCTAAAAACCCCCAAAATACCCCAAAATCACCCCTAAATCACGCACAATCACCCCGAAGTCACCCCCAAAATCCCCCAAAATCACCCCTAAATCACCCAAAAATCCCCAAAATACCCCCAAATCAACCTAAATCACCCAAAATCACCCCAAAAATCCCCAAAATCACCCAAAAGTCACTCCAAATCACCCCAAAATCACCCCAAAAATCACCCCAAAATCCTCCCAAAATCCCCCCAAAATCACCCCAAAATCAACCCTACATCACCCAAAATCACCCCAAAATCCCCTAAATGACCCCCAAATCCCCCAAAATACCCCCAAATCACCCCAAATCCCCAAAATTTGCCCAAAATCCCCCGAATTTCCCCCAAAATCCCTCCTGACCCCTCTCCCCTCCCCCACAGGCTCCGGGCTCCCCTCTGGCTCCGCCCCCTCGGCCGCGGGGGGCGTGGCCTCATTAGCATCGCCCCGCCCACCGCGCCTCAAGCCCCGCCCCCGCCTCGTTTTGATGCGTTTTAGGGGCGGAGTCTGGCGGAGGGGGCGTGGCCGAGGGGGCGTGGCTTCGGCCGCCGCTGACCACGCCCCCCGCGCACGCCGTGGGCGGGGCCTGCGGCAGTTCGTGATGCCATTGGTCAGCGCCCGCTCGGCTCGGCCAATCAGGCCCCCCCGGCGCTTCGCGGACACGCCCATCCCGGAAGTGGCTCGGGAGACTCCCGGGGAGCCCCAAAATTTCAGTTTGGAACCCCAAAATTCCAGTTTGGAACCCCAAAATTCCATTTTAGAACCCCAAAATTCCACCCAGGAACCCCAAAATTCCACCCGGGAACCCCAAAATTTCAGCCGGGAACCCCAATATTCCATCCGGGAGCCCCAAAATTCCACCCAGGAACCCCAAATTCCATCATGGACACCCCAAAATTCCACCCGCGAACCCCAAAATTCCATTTTAGAATCCCAAAATTCCACCCGGGAACCCCAAAATTCCATCCGGGAACTCCAAAATTCCACCCGGGAGCCCCAAAATTCCAGCCGGGAACCCCAAAATTCCACCCAGGAACCCAAAATTTCATCATGGACACCCCAAAATTCCACCCGGGAACCCCAAAATTCCAACCGGGACCCCCAAAATTCCACCCGAGAACCCCAAAATTCCACCCGGGAACCCCAAAATTCCACACGGGAACCCCCAAAATCCACCTGGGGACCCCCAAAATCCTCCCAGGACCCCCAAAATTCCACCCGGGACCCCACAAATTCCACTCGGAACCCCACAAATTCCACCCGGGACCCCCCAAAATCCACCTGGGACCCCGAAAATTCCACCCAAGACCCCCCAAAATTCATCCGGGACCCCCCAAAATGCATGTTTGACCCCCCAAATTCCACTCAGGACTCCCCAAAATCCATCTGGGACACCCAAAATTCCAATCAGGACTCCCCAAAATCTCTCCAGAACTCCCCAAATTCCACCTGGGAACCCCCAAAATCCACCCAAGACCCCCCAAATTCCACCCCACACCCCCCAAAATCCCTCCTGGACCGCCCAAATTCCAACCAAGACACCCCAAATTCCACCCGGGACCCCCCAAAATTAATCTGGGACGCCCAAAATTCCATCATGGACCCCCCAAATTCCACTCAGGAGTCCCCAAATTCCACCCAAGACCACCCAAAATCCACATGGGACTCCCCAAATTCCACCCAAAAACCCCCAAATTCCATCATGGACCGCCTTGGGGACCCTCGGGACCCCCCAAATTCCACTCGGGACCCCCCAAAATCCTCCCAGGCCGCCCAAAATTCCACCTGGGATGCCCAAAATTCCAATCAGGACCCCCCAAAATTCATCCGGGACCCCCTTGGGGACCCTCAGGACCCCCCAAATTCCACCCGGGACCCCCCAAAATCCATCCTAGGCCCCCCAAATTCCATCATGGACACCCCAAATTCCACCCCAGACCCCCGAAATTCCACCCGGGACCCTCCAAATTCCACCCAGGACCTCCCAAAATTCATCATGGACCCCCCAAATTTCACTCGGGACGCCCAAAATTCCACCTGTAACCCCCCAAAATCCACTCAGGACTCCCCAAAATTCATCCAGGACGCCCAAAATTCCAATCAGGACCCCCCAAAATTCATCCGGGACCCCCTTGGAGACCCTCGGGACCCCCCAAATTCCACTCAGGACCCCCCAAATTCCATCTCGGACCCCCCAAAATCCACCTGGGATGCCCAAAATTCCACTCGGGACCCCACAAATTCCACCCAAGACCCCCCAAAATCCACCCGGGACTTCCCAAAATCCATCTTGGACCCCCCAGATTCCATCATGGACACCCCAAATTCCACACGGGAACCCCAAAATTCCACCCTGAACCCCCCAAATTCCACTCAGGACCCCCCAAAATCCACCTGGGACACCCAAAATTCCAACCAAGACCCCCCAAAATCTCTCCAGGACCCCCCAAAATCCATCCTGGACCCCCCAAATTCCACCCGGAACCCCCCAAAATTGCCACGGGAACCCCAAAATTCCACCCAAAAACCCCCAAATTCCACTCAGGACCCCCCAAAATCCATCGTGGGCCCCCCAAAATCCTCCCAAGACCCCCCAAAATCCCCTCAGGACCCCCCAAACCCCTCCCAGGCCCCCCCGCTCTGCCCCTCCCCCCGCCGGGCCCTCCTGAGGGCGCCGACCTTCCGCTGGGCCGGATGTGACGTCATCAGAAACGGCCGTGACGTCATCAAAAACGGACGCGACGTCATCCAAAATGGCGGCGACGCCATCCAAAATGGCCGCGAGGTCACCGGAAGCGGCTGTGACGTCATCAAAAATGGCGGCGAGGTCACCGGAAGCGGCCGTGACGTCATCAAAAATGGCCCCGGCGACTCCAAACCCGCCTGTGACGTCATCGACCTCACCGATGACGTCACCGAGCCCGCCCGTGACGTCATCAAAGCCGCCGCCGGTGACGTCATCAAAGCCGCCGGTGACGTCATCAACGGCGGCCCCGCCCTCTCCCGCGCCCCCGCGCTGACCTTCGACCCCCGCGTGACCTTTGACCCCCGGCTGACCCTGCGGCTGCTGCAGGTGACCCTGGCCCAGCCCCGGCTGACCTTTGACCCCGCCGCCTTCCGGCCACGCCCCCTCCTCCTCAGCCAATCGCCGAGCGCCGTGGCGCAGGCCCTGCCCACTTCCGCCATGGGCCGGCCGCCGGCAGGAAGTGACGTCGCCGCGGCAGGAAGTGACGTCGCCTCGACAGGAAGTGAGGTCACCGTGGTCAGAAATGGCGACGGGGCGGGCGGTGACGTCACGGGGCGGGGCGATGACGTCACGGGGCGGGGCGATGACGTCACCGGGCGCGTCTTCGACCTCCTGAGCCGCGCCCGACAGCAGCTCGGCCGCATCGACCGCCGGCAGCGGGTGAGGGGGGAAAATTTGGGGGGATTTGGGGGATTTTGGGGAATTTGGAAGAATTTTGGGGGAATTTCAGGAATTTTAGGGGATTTTGGGGGAAATTTGGGATAATTTTTGGGGATTTTGGGGATCTTGGGAGAATTTTGGGAATTTTCAAGGATTTTGGGAGGATTCGAAAAAATTTTGAGGGATTTGGGGAATTTTGGGAGATTTTTGGGAATTTTTAGGGGATTTGGGGAATTTTTGGGATTTTGGGAGAATTCTGGGGGATTTTTGGGAAAATTTTTGGGAATTTATGGGGGAATTGGGAAGAATTTCAGTAATTTTGGGGTATTTTGGGAATTTTAAGGGGTTTTGGGGGGGTTGGGGCTTTTGGGGGGATTTTCATGGATTTTTGGGAATTTTAGGCAGATTTTGGGGATTTTAGGGGAATTTTAGGGGAATTTGAGGGGAATTTTGGGGAATTTTTGTAGAATTTTTAGGAATTTTGTGGTTTTTTTATATTTTGGTTCGAGAACATTTTTTGGCGATTTTTTGGGAGATTTGGAGATTTTTGGGGAATTTTGGAGGGATCTGATGGAATTTTCGGGACTTTTGGGAGAATTTATGGAATTTTTAGGGACTTTTGGGAATTTTGGAGGGATTTGGGGAATTTTAGGAAGATTTTCAGGAATTTTGGGGGAAATTTTGGGTTATTTGGGGAATTCTTGGGGGACTTTGGGGATTTTTTTTAATTTTGGGAGATTTTGGGGGAATTTTGTGACCATTCAGGGAAATTTGAAGAATTTTGGAGAGTTTTGAGAGGATTTTGGGGGAATTTTGGAGAAATTTGGGGAGGATTTGTGCTGAATTTGGGGAGATTTTGGGATTTTTGGAGAATTTTTGGGAATTTTTGGGTCAATTTGGGATTTTTTTGGCTTTTCCAGGCGGGGTCGGAGGAGCCTGAGGAGCCCCCGGGGGAGCCCCAGGTGAGAATTTGGGGAAATTTGGGAAATTTTGGGGAATTTTGGGGAATTTTGGGAAATTTTGGGGAATTCTGGGGAAATTTGGGGAAAAATTTGGGGAATTTTTGGAAATTTTGGGGAATTCTGGGGAAATTTGGGCAAAATTTTGGGGAATATTGGAAATTTTTGGGGATTTTTTGGGGAAATCTGTGGAAATTCTGGATTATTTTGGGGGAATTTGGGGAATTTTTGGATTTTAGAAGAATTTTGGGGCATTTTTGGGCAGAATTTTGGATTTTGGGCAATTTCAGAGGGAATTCTGGGTGAAATTTTTGGGAATTTTTTTAAATTTTTGGGGATTTTTGGCAGGATTTGTTTTTTTATTTTGTGTAGATATTTTAAGGATTTAAATTTAATTTTTTGGTTTTGGGGGAATTTTTGGGGATTTTGAGGAGATTTTTTTGTGGATTTGGGGAAATTTTTCAGTGTTTTGAGTGGATTTTTTTGGGTTTTGGTGGATTTTAAAATTTTTTTGGGTTTTTTTGGGGATATTTTTATCTTTGGAGTGGAAATTTTGACATTTTGGGGCAGATTTTGGGGATTTTCTGCCAGATTTTGGGTGAAATTCTTGAGATTTTGGGTGGATAAATTTTTGGTTTTAATTTTGGACGGAGATTTTAAAATTTGTTTAAATTTTGGGCAATTTCTTAAAACTTTGGTGGATTTTGGGTGGAGATTTTGGGATTTTGGGTGGATTTCTTTGGAATTTGTGAGATTTTTGGGAGTTTTGACTGAATTTTTACATTTTCTTGGATTTTGGGTAAAATTTTTCGAATTTTGGGTTGAAAATTCGGGATATCAGACAGATTTTTTTGGGTTTTTAGTGAATTTGGGGGTTCTGGGTGGATTTTTTGGGGTTTTTAGGTGGATTTTTTTTGTTTTTTGGGGATTTTGGGTGCATTTTTTTGGATTTTTTTGGGGAGATTTTGGGTGGACTTTTTGGGGTTTTGAGTGGATTTTGGGGATTGGGATCGATTTTTTTGAATTTTTGGGGGTTTTTGGGAGGATTTTTGGGGGGATTTTGGGAGATTTTGGGGTTTTGGTGGGGGGATTTCACTGGCTTCTGTTTCACGGGAATTTTGGGGTTTTTTTGGGGCTTTTGGGTGCTCCTGATCACCCCAAAATTGCCCAAAATTGCCCAAAATTCCTGAATTTTTCAGGGGTCCCCCCGGATCAAACACGTCTGCAGGAGAGCGCCGCCCCCCGAGCCGGGGACCCCCCCTGAAGGTGAGAGACCCCAAAAAATCCCCAAAATCCACCCCAAAATCCACCCCAAAAATCCCCAAAATCCACCCCAAAAAACCCCAAAATCCACCCCAAAAATCCCCAAAATCCACCGCAAAAAATCCCAAAAATCCAACCCAAAAACCCCCAAAATCCAGCCCAAAAATCCCCAAAAATCCCCAAAACCCACCCTAAAAATCCCCAAATCCACCCCAAAAAACCCCAAAATCCACCCCAAAAAATCCCCCAAAATCCAACCCAAAAACCTTCAAAATCCAACCCAAAAATCCCCAAAATTCATCCCAAAAAATCTCCAAAACCCCCCCCAAAAACCCCCAAAATCCACCCCAAAAATCCCAAAATCCACCCTAAAAAATCCCCAAAATCGACCCCAAAAAATCCCCAAAATTTACCCCTAAAATCCACCCCAAAAATCCCCAAAATCCTCCCCAAAAAATCCTCAAAATCCAACCCAAAAACCCCCAAAATCCAGCCCAAAAATCACCAAAAATTCCCAAAATCCAACCCAAAAAATCCCCAAAATCCACCCCAAAAACCCTCAAAATCCACCCTCAAAAATCCCCAAAATCCACCCCAAAAAACCCCAAATCCACCCCAAAAAATCCCCAAAATCCACTCCAAAAACCCCCAAAATCCACCCCAAAAATCCCCAAAATTTACCCCCAAAATCCACCCCAAAAACCCTCAAAATCCCCCCAAAAATCCCCAAAAATCCACCCCAAAAATCCCCAAAATCCACCCCAAAAATCCCCAAAATCCACCCCAAAAACCCCCAAAATCCACCCCAAAAATCCCCAAAATCCACCCCAAAAAATCCCCAAAATCCAACCCAAAAATCCCAAAAAAATCCCCAAAATCCACCCCAAAAAATCCACTAAAACCACCCAAAAAAACCCCAAAATCCACCCCAAAAACACCCAAAATCCACCCCAAAAATCCCCAATTAACCCAAATTTACCCCAATTAACTTCAATTAATTAACCCAAATTTAACTCCAATTAACCCCAATTAATTAACCCAATTAACCCCAATTAATTATCCCAATTAACCCAAATTTACCCAAATTTTACCCCAAATTAACCCAATTAATGTACTCCAATTTAACCCCAAATTACCCACATTTACCCCAATTAACCCCAATTAATTAACCCAAATTTAACCCCAAATGAACCCAATGAACCTCAATTAATTAACCCCAATTTAACCCCAAATGAACCCAATGAACCCAAATTAATTAACCCCAATTTAATCCCAAATTTACCCCAATTAACCCCAATTAATTAACCCAAATTCACCCCAAGTGAACCCAATGAACCCAAATTAATTAACCCCAATTACTTAACCCAATTAACCCAAATTTACCCAAATTAACCCAAATTACCCCCAATTTAACCCCAAATTACCCAAATTTACCCCAATTAACCCCAATTAATTAACCCCAATTCACCCCAAATGAACCCAATGAACCCCAATTAATTAACCCCAATTCACCCCAAATTAACCCAATGAACCCCAATTAATTAGCCCCAATTAATTATCCCAATTAACCCAAATTGACCCAAATTTACTCAAATTAACCACAATTTAACCCCAATTTAACCCCAAATTACCCAAATTTACCGCAATTAACCCCAATTAATTAACCCCAATTCACCCCAAATTTACCCCAACGAACCCCAATTACCTAACCCCTATTAATTAACCCCAATTAATTAACCCTTTCCTCTCTCCAGACTCGGACGCGGAGGGCGGAGCTCGCCCCAAACGGCCCCGCCCAGGCCCCGCCCCCTCCCCAAGCCCCGCCCCCTCCCCAAGCCCCTCCCCCTCGCTGCCCAAGCCCCGCCCCTCCCCGCGCGGGGGGCGTGGCCAGGGGCGTGGCCAGGGGCGTGGCTCGCGCTGTGGGCGGTGCCGCGGCTGCCGGCGGGGACAGGACTGCGGCCACTGCCCCAACTGCCGCGACAAGCCCAAATTCGGGGGGCCCAACACCAAGAAGCAGTGCTGCGTGTGAGTGGGGGGGGTGGGGGGAAAAGGGGGGAAATCGGGAAAAAAAATGGGGAAAAATGGGGAAAAGATTGGGGGAAAAAAGGGGAAAAATGGGGAAAAAACGGGAAAAATGGGGAAAAAACGGGGGTATAATGGGGTAATTATGGTAAAAAATGGTAAAAAATTGGGGAAGTTTAGGGTAAATACGGTAAAAATTTGGGGGGATTTTAGAGTAAGTTGGGGAAAAAAAGGGAGGAAATTGGGGAAAAAGGGGGGGAAAAATGGGGGAAAAACGGGGGGAAATGGGGAAAAAACGGGGAAAAAATGGGGATAAAAATCGCGTAATTACGGTAAAAAATGGGAGAAATGGGGGGACGTTTAGGGTAAATACGGTAAAAACTTTGGGAGAATTAAGGGAAAGTTTGGGGAATAAAAGGGGGGAAATCGGGAAAAAAAAAATGGGGGAAAAAACGGGGTGAAAAAAGGGGAAAAAACGGGGGGAAAATGGGGAAAAAACGGGGAAAAAAACGGGGGGAAATGGGGAAAAAACGGGGGAAAAATGGGGAAAAAACGGGGGTATAATGGGGTAATTACGGTCATAAATGGGGGAAGATTAGGGGAAATACGGTAAAAACTTAGGGTAAGTTTGGGGAAAAGTGGGGGAAATCGGGAAAAAAAATGGGGAAAAATTGGGGTGAAAAAAGGGGAAAAACAGGGGAAAAAACGATGGAAAAATGGGGTAATTACGTGGAAAAATGGGGTAATTATGGTAAAAAATGGGAGAAAATGGGGGGAGTTTAGGGGAAATACGGTAAAAATTTGGGGGGAATTTAGAGTAAGTTTGGGGAAAAAATGGGGGAAATCGGGAAAAAACGAGGGGGAAAATAGGGTAATTATGGTAAAAAAATTGGGAAAAATGGGGGGAAGTTTAGGGTAAATACGGTAAAAACTTAGGGTAAGTTTGGGGGGAAAATGGGGGAAAAAGTGGGGGAAAAATGGAAAAAGATTGGGGTAATTATGGTAAAAGATTGGAAAAAATGGGGGAAGTTTAGGGTAAATACGGTAAAAATTTGGGGGGAATTTAGGGTAAGTTTGGGGAAAAATGAGGGAAATTGGGGAAAAAATGGGGAAAAAATTGGGGGGAAAACGGAAAAAAAATGGGGTAGTTATGGTAAAAAATGGTAAAAAATGGGGGGAAGTTTAGGGTAATTACAGTAAAAATTTAGGGTAAGTTTGGGGGAAAAAATGGGGGAAATTGGGGAAAAAGTGGGGGAAATTGGGAAAAAATGGGGGGGAAATGGGGGCAAAAAAAGGGGAAAAAACGGGGAAAAAACAGGGGAAAAATGGGGTAATTACGGTAAAAAAATGGGGGGACGTTTAGGGGAAATACGGTAAAAACTTAGGGTAAGTTTGGGGAAAAAATGGGGGAAATTGGGGAAAAATGGGGAAAAAACGGGAAAAAATGGGGAAAAAACGGGGGTATAATGGGGTAATTACGGTAACAAATGGGGGAAGTTTAGGGGAAATACGGTAAAAACTTTTGGTAAGTTTGGGGGAAAAATGGGGGAAATTGGGGAAAAAGTGTGGGAAATCGGGAAAAAAATAAAAGAAAAAATGGGGGCGAAAAAAGGGGAAAAAACGGGGGGAAAATGGGGAAAAAACGGGGGTATAATGGGGTAATTACGGTAATAAATGGGGGAAGTTTAGGGGAAATACGGTAAGAACTTAGGGTAAGTTTGGGGAAAAATGGGGGGAAATTGGGTAAAAAATGGGGGGAAAAATGGGAAAAGATTGGGGGAAAAAGATGAAAAACGGGGGGAACATGGGGTAATTACGGTAAAAAATTGGAGAAAATGGGGGAAGTTTAGGGTAAATACGGTAAGAACTTGGGGGGGATTTAAGGTAAGTTTGGGGGAAAAATGGGGGAAATTTGGGGGAAAAATGGGGGAAATTGGAAAAAATGGGGGGGAAAATAGGGAAAGATTGGGGGCAAAAAAAAGGAAAAAAATGGGGCAAAAAATGGGGTAATTACGGTAAAAAATTGGAGAAAATGGGGGGAAGTTTATGGTAAATACAGTAAAAATTTAGGGTAAGTTTGGGGAAAAAATGGGGGGAAAAATGGGAGAAATTTGGGGAAAAAATGGGGGAAATCGGGAAAAAATGGGGGAAAAAAAGGGGAAAAATCAGGGGGGAAATGGGGTAATTACGGTGAAAAACGGTAAAAAATCAGGGAAGTTTAGGGGAAATACGGTAAAAACTTAGGGTAGGTTTGGGGAAAAAATGGGGGAAATTGGGGAAAAAGTGGGGGAAATCAGGAAAAAATGGGGGAAAAATGGGGAAAAAACGGGGGGAAAATGGGGGAAAAAACGGGGGGAAAATGGGGTAATTACGGTAAAAAATGGGAGAAAATGGGGGGATGTTTAGGGTAAATACGGTAAAAACTTTGGGGGGATTTAGTAAAAATTTGGGGAAAAAATGGGAGAATATGAGGGAAATTTAGGGAAAAATGGAGAAAAGAGAAAATTTGATGGAAATTTGGGAAAGAAACAGGAGAATAATGGGAAAAGATGGGGGAAATTTGGGGGGAAAAATGGGGCAGAATTGGGGAAAAATGGGGGAAATTTGGGAAAATTTGGGGGAAAATTGGGAGAAATTTGAGGGAAGTTTGGGGAAAATTTGGAGAAAATTTTGGGAATGTTTGGTGAAAATTTGGGAGAAATTTGGGAAAAATTGGGAGAAATTTGAGGGAAGGTTGGGGAAAATGTGAAGAAAATTTGGGAATTTTTTTGAGAAAATTTGGGAAAATTCGGGGAAAAATTGGGAGAAATTTGAGGGAATGAGGAGAATTTGAAGAAAAATCAGGAAAATTCAGGGAAAAATTGGAGAAATTTGGGGAAAATTTGGGAGAAATTTGGGGAAAATTTGGGAGAAATTTGATGAAAGTTTGGGGAAAATTTGAAGAAAATTTGGGAAATGTTTGGGGGAAATTTGGAAAAATTTGGGAGAAATTTGAGGAGTGTTTGGGGAAAATTTGGAGAAAATTTTGGGAATGTTTGGGGAAAATTTGGGAAAAATTGGGAGAAATTTGAGGGAAGGTTGGGGAAAATTTGAAGAAAATTTGGGAAGTGTTTGGAGAAAATTTGGGGAAATTTGGGGACAATTTGGGAGAAATTTGGGGAAAAATTAGGAGGAATTTCGGGGAATTTGGGAAAATTGGAAGGAATTTGAGTGGAATTCTGGGAGAAATTTGAAGAAAATTTGGGAAATTTTTGGAGAAAATTTGGGGAAATTTGGAGAAGATGTGGGAGAAATTTGGGAGAAATTTAAAGGGAAAGTTGGGAAAAAATTGGGGAAAATTTGGAAAAATTTGGGGAAAAATTGGGAGAAATTTGAGGGGAATTTTTGGAACGATTTTGGGGTAAATTTGGGTTTTTTTTTGGGGAATTTTGACTCCTCCCCTCCCCCCCCCTCAGGCTCCGACGCTGCGACAAAATCGAGGCCCGAAAATTGGAACGGCTCGGGAGGAGAGGTGGGAACTGGGACAGACTGGTTTATACTGGGAGGGACTGGGACAAACTGGGACAAACTGGGAGGGACTGGGATAAACTGGAAGTCACCAAAATGTCCCAAAATGGCCCAAAAATGGCCCCAAAACTCATCAAAATGGGCCCAAAATGGCCCCAAATATCCTCAAAATGGCCCCAAAATGTCCCCAAAAGTCACCAAAATGGCCCCAAAATGTCACCAAGTGTCCCAAAATGGCCAAAAATGTCCCCAAATGTTCCCAAATGTCACCAAAATGGCCTCAAAATGTCCGCAAATGTCCCCAAATATCCCCAAAGTGGCCCAAAAATGGCTCAAAATGTCCCCAAATGTCCCAAAATGGCCCCTAAATGTCCCAAAATGGCCCCTAAATGTCCCAAAATGGCCCCAAAATGGCCCCAAAATGTCCCCAAATGTCCCCAAAATGTCACCAAAATATCCCCAAAACGGCCCCAAGTGTCCCAAAATGGCCCCAAAAGTCACCAAAATGTCACCAAATGTCCCTAAATATCCCCAAAGTGACCTCAAATGTTCTAAAAAATGTTCCCAAATGTCCCCAAAATGTCCCCAAAAATCACCAAAATGGCCCCAAAATGGCCCAAATCCCCCCAAAATGGCCCCAAAATGGCCTCAAATGTCCTGAAATGTCCCCAAAAGTCACCAAATTACCTGAAAATGGCCCCAAAATGGCCCCAAAATGGCCCCAAGTGTCCCAAAATGGCCCCAAAAGTCTCCAAAATGTCACCAAAATGGCCCCAATATGTCCCAAAATGTCCCCAAATGTCCCCAAAATGGCTCCAAATGGCCCAAAATGTCCCCAAATGTCCCCAAATTCCCCCAAAATGTCCCCAAAATGTCTCAAAATATCCCCAAAATGTCCCCAAATATTCCAAAATGTCCCAAAATGGCCCCAAAATGTCCTAAAATGTCCCCAAAATGTCCCAGAATGTCCTCAAATGTCCCCAAAATGTCCCCAAATGGCCCCAAAAATTTCCATAATGGCCCCAAAATGGCCCAAAATGTCCCCAAAATGTCCTCAAATGTCCCCAAGTGTCCCAAAATGGCTGAAAATTGCCCAAAATGGTCCCAAAATGGCCCCAAGTGTCCCCAAATGTCCCCAAAAGTCCCCAAATATCCCCAAAATGTCCCTAAAAGTTACCAAATCCCCCCAAAATGTTCCCAAAATGTCCCCAAAATGTCCCCAAAATGTCCCCAAATGTCCCCAAATATCCCCAAATGGCCCCAAAATGTGTCCAAATTGTCCACAAATGTCCCCAAAAGTCACCAAATCCCCCCAAAATGTCCCCAGAATGTCCCAAAATGTCCCCAAATGTCCTCAAATGTCCCCAAAAGTCACCAAAATGCCCCAAAATGTCACCAAGATGTCCCCAAATGGCCTCAAATGCCCCCAAAATATCCCCAAAAGTCTCCAAATATCCCCCAAATGTCCCAAAATGGCCCCAAATGACCCCAAAATGTCCCCAAAATGTCCCTAAACATCCCGAAAATGGCCCGAAATGGCCCAAAATTGCCCCAAATATCCCAAAATGGCCTCAAATATCCCCAAAATGGCCCCAAATGTCCCCAAATATCCCCAAAATGGCCCCGTGTCCCAAAATGTCCCCAAAATGTCCCCAAATGACCCAAGATGGCCCCAAAATGTCCCTAAAAGTCACCAAATTCCCCCAAAATGTCCCCAAAATGTCCCCAAACATCCCCAAAATGTCCCCAAATGTCCCCCAAATGTCCTCAAATATCCCCTAATATCCCCAAATGTCACCAAATTCCCCCAAAATGTCCCCAAATGTCCCCAAAATGTCCTCAAATGTCTCAAAATGTCCCGAAAATGTCCCCAAAATGTCCCAAAATGTCCCCAAAATGGCCCCAAAATGGCCCCAAATATCCCCAAAATGTCCCAAATGTCCCCAAATGTCCCAAAATGTCCCCAAATGTCCCCAAAATGGCCCAAAATGGCCCCAAAATGGCCCAAATTGTCCCCAAAATGTCCCCAAAATGTCCCCAAATGTCCCAAAATGTCCCCAAATGTCCCCAAAATGGCCCAAAATGGCCCCAAAATGGCCCAAATTGTCCCCAAAATGTCCCAAAATGTCCCCAAATGTCACCAAAATGCCCCAAAATGTCCCAAAATGCCCCAAAATGGCCGAAAATGGCCCCAAATGGCCCAAAATGGCCGAAAATGGCCCCAAAATGGCCCCAAATGGCCCCAAATGTCCCCAAATTCCCCAAAATGTCCCCAAAATGTCCCCAAATGTCCCGAAAATGTCACCAAATGGCCCCAAAATGGCCCCAAATGGCCCAAAAATGTCCCCAAATATCCCCAAAATGACCCCAAAATGTCTCCAAATGTCCCCAAATATCCCAAATTCCCCCAAAATGGCCCCAAAATGGCCCCAAAGTCCCAAAGTGTCCCAAAATGGCTCCAATTGGCACCAAATGTCCCCAAAATGGCCCCAAAATTGCCCAAAAATGTCTCCAAATGTCCCCAAATGTCCCCAAATATCCTCAAAATGACCCCAAAAATGTCCCAAAATGTCCCCAAATGTCCCCAAATCCCCCCAAAATGGCCTCAAGTGTCCCAAAATGTCCCAAAATGACCCCAAAATGTCTCCAAATGTCCCAAAATGTCCCCAAAATGTCCCCAAATGTCCCCAAATGTCCCAAAATGTCCCAAATGTCCCCAAAATGTCCCCGAAAATGTCCCAAAATATTCCCAAATGTCCCCAAATCCCCCCAAAATGGCCTCAAGTGTCCCAAAATGTCCCCAAAATGTCCCCAAAATGTCCCTAAATGTCCCCAAATATCCCCAAAATGTCCCCAAATATCCCCAAAATGGCCCCAAATCTACCCAAATTTCCCCCAAATTTCCCCCAAATGTCCCCAAAATGTCCCCAAAATGTCCTGAAATGTCCCAAAATGTCCCTAAATGTCCAAAAATTTCTCCAAATCCCCCCAAAATGGCCCCAAATTACCCCAAACTGTCCCCAAGTTTCCCAAAATGTCCCCAAATGTCCCCAAAATGGCCCAAAATGGCCCCAAAATTGCCACCTTGGCCCCGCCCCCTCAGGTGTGGCCCCGCCCCCTCAGGTGTGGCCCCGCCCCGTTCCCAGGTGTAGCCCCGCCCCTCAGGTTTAGCCCCGCCCCTTTCCGGTGTGGCCCCGCCCCCTCAGGTGTGGCCCCGCCCCCTTTTTGGCCACGTGGGTCCCGCGCGGGGTCCGGGACTGAGGGACAGGTGAGGGGGGGGCGGAAATTTGGGGGAATTTTGGGGGATTTTGGGGAAATTTGGGGGAATTTGGGGAAATTTGGGGGAAATTTGGGATTTTGGGGGATTTTGGGGGGAATTTGGGGAAATCTGGGGGGATTTGGGAAGATTTTAGGGGGATTTGGGGACATTTTGGGGGGGTTTTGGGGGCACATTTTGGGGGGTGGGGGAGGGGATTTTGGGACATTTTGTGGGAATTTTTGGGGGAATTTTGGGGCATTTTTGGGATTTCTGGGAAATTTGGGACATTTTGGGGGGATTTTGGGGCGACTTTGGGGATTTTGGGGGATTTGGGGACATTTTGGGAGGTGGGGGAGGAGACTTGGGGACATTTTTGGGGGGATTTTGGGGGATTTTGGGGAAATTTTGGGGGGATTTTGGGGGGATTTGGGAGATTTTGGGGAAATTTTGGGGGATTTTTTGGGATTTTGAGGGATTTTGGGGGGACTTTGGAGGGGATTTTGGGGGATTTGGGGACATTTTGGGGTGGGGGAGGGGACTTGGGGACATTTTTTGGGGAATTTGGGGGATTTTGGAGAAATTTGGGGGATTTTGGGGAAATTTGGGGGATTTTTGGGGAAATTTTGGGGGATTTTGGGGCATTTTGGGGAATTTTGGGGGTATTTGGGGGATTTTTGGGATTTTGGGGGGATTTTAGGGATTTTGGGGCGATTTTGGGTTAATTTTGGGGGATTTGGGGACATTTGGGGACATTTCGGGGCGATTTTGGGGAGATTTGGGGGAATTTTGGGGAATTTGGGTATTTGGGGACATTTTTGGGCCATTTTTGGGAGATTTTTGGGATTCCGGAGGGGATTTGGGGCCATTCCCGGGGGTGGGGGAGGGGATTTGGGGCCATTTCCGGAGGATTTGGGGACCTTTGGGAGGTGGGGGAGGGGAACGGGGGAGAATTTGGGGAATTTGGGGGATTTTGGGGATTTGGGGCAAATTTGGGGGATTTTGGGGACAATTCGGGGGATTTTTGGGGGATTTTGGGGCAGATTTGGGGGATTTTGGGGATTATTTTGGGAGAATTTTGGGGGATTTTGGGGATTTGGGGGAATTTTTGGGGATTTTGGGGACAATTTGGGAGAATTTTGGGTGATTTTGGGGGGATTTGGGGAAAATTTGTGGATTTTGGGAAAATTGGGGGGATTTTGGAGAATTTTGGGGAATTTTGGGGGATTTTGGGGTGGATTTGGGGGATTTGGAGAATTTTGGGGAGAATTTGGGGGATTTGGGGGCAGATTTGGGGAATTTTGGGGGAAATTTGGCGAGAATTTGGGGATTTTAGGGCACATTTTGGGAATTTTGGGGCATATTTTGGGGATTTTAGGGAGAATTTGGGATTTTGGGACAGATTTGGAGCATTTTGAGAGAATTTGGGGGCAATTTTCGGGATTTTTGGAGAATTTGGGGAATTTTGGGGAATTTTGGAGGATTTTGGGAGACTTTGGGAAAATTTGGGGGATTTTGGGGCAGATTTGGGGAATTTGGGAGAATTTGGGGTAAATTTGGGGGATTTGGGGGACAATTTTGGGGATTTTGAAGCAGATTTGGGGGATTTTGGGAGAATTTGGGGGATTTTTGGGGATTTTCAGAGAATTTGGGGATTTTGTGGCAGATTTGGAGGATTTTGGGGCAAATTTTGGGGATTTTGGGGCAAATTTTGGGGACAGTTTGCGGGATTTTCGGAGAATTGGGGGATTTTGGGGAATTTTGGGGATTTTTGGAGAATTTAGGAGACTTTGGGGCAGATTTGGGAGATTTTGGGGGATTTTGGGAGAATTTAGGAGATTTTGGGGTAATTTTGGTTATTTTGGGCGATCTTGGTGAATTTTGGGGCAATTTTGGGCAGATTTGGGGTCAATTTGGTTATTTTGGGGTGAATTTTTGGTAATTTGGGGTGAATTTTGGTAATTTCTTGGTGATTTTGGGTGATTTTGGGTGAATTTTGGTCACTTTTGAGGGATTTTGGTGAATTTTGGGTGATTTTGGGTGAATTGAGGCCATTTTTAGGTTAATTTTTGTTAATTTTAGTTAATTTGGGTTAATTTTGGTGAATTTTTGATGATTTTGGGTTAATTCTGAGGGAATTTCTGTTAATTTTAGTTAATTTCAGGCAGATTTCGGTTAATTGGTGCTCGTTCATTAACTCCTGTCCATTAATTACCGCCAATTTTTTCATTTTGTCATTAATGACCGCTGATTTTTTCATTTGTCATTAATTCCCGCTAATTTTTTCATTAATTCCCGCTCATTTTTCACGTTTTCAACATTAATTCCCGCTAATTTATTAATTAATTCCCGCTAATTTATTTATTAATGAGTGTTAATTCTGTCATTAATTTCTGCTTATTTTGTCATTAATTCCCGCTAAATCTGTCATTAATTCCCACTAATTCTGTCATTAATTCCCGCTAATTTTGTCATCAATTTCCACTAATTTTGTCATTAATTCCCGCGAATTCTGTCATTAATTCCCACTCATTTTTTCACTAATTCCCGCTAATTTTGTCATCAATTGCCACTAATTATATCATTAATTCCTGCTAATTTTGTCGTTAATCCTCGCTTATTTCTTTGTTAATTCCTGCTTATTTTTTCATTAATTCCCAGTAATTTTTTCGTTAATTCCTGCTCATTTGTCATTAATTTCCGCTCATTTTTTCATTAATTCCCCCTAATATTTTCATTAATTACCGCTAATTTTTCCCTTTTTTTCATTAAATCCCGCTAATATTTTCATTAATTCCTGCTCATTTTTCATGTTTTCAGCATTAATTCCCGCTAATTTATTTAATAATGAGTGGTAATTCTGTCATTAATTCCCAGTAATTTTTTTGTTAATTCCGGCTAGTTTTTTATGTTTTCATTATTAATTCCTGCTAATTTTGTCATTAATTCCCGCTGAGATTTTCATTAATTCCTGCTAATTTTGTTATTAATTCCCAAAAATTTTGTCATTAATTCCCAAAAATTTTTCATATTTTCACCATTGATTCCCACTAATTGTGTCATTAATTTTTGCTGATTCTGTCATTAATTCCTTCTAATTTTTTCATTAATTCCTGCTGATTTTGTTATTAATTCTCGCTAATTCTGTCATTAATTTCGGCTAATTATGTCATTAATTCCCGCTCATTTTTTCATTAAATCCTGCTAATTTTTTCATTAATTCCCCTAAATATTTTCATTAATTACCACTAAGTTTCATTTTTTTTCATTAATTCCCGCTAATATTTTCATTAATTCCCGCTATTTTTCCTATTAATTCCCGCTAATATTTTCATTAATTCCCCCAAATATTTTCATTAATTCCCACTAATTTTCCCCTTTTTTTCATTAATTCCCGCTAATATTTTCATTAATTCCCGCTAATTTTCTTCTTTTTCATTAATTCCCCCAATTTTTCATTAATTTCTGCTAATATTTTCAGTAATTACCGCTAATTTTCCCCTTTTTTCATTAATTCCCGCTCATTTTCTCATTAATTCCCGCTATTTGTTTTTATTAATTCCCGCTCATTTTTCATGTTTTCAACATTAATTTCTGCTCATTTATTCATTAATTCCCGCTAATTGATTTATTAATTAGTGCTAATTCTGTCATTAATTCCCGCTCATTTTGTCATTAATTCCCGCTAATTTTTCACGTTTTCATTAATAATTCCCGCTAATTTCTGTCATTAATTCCTGCTAATTTTTCACGTTGTCATTATTAATTTCCTCTAATTTTGTCATTAATTCCCTCTAATTATTTTCATTAATTCCCCCAAATATTTTCATTAATTCGCACTAATTTTCCCCTTTTTTTCATTAATTCCCGCTAATATTTTCATTAATTCACGCTGATTTTCTTTTTTTTCATTAATTCCCCCAAATTTTTTCATTAATTTCCGCTAATATTTTCATTAATTACCACTAATTTTCCTTTTTTTCATTAATTCCCGCTAATATTTTCATTAATTCCCGCTAATTTTTTCATTAATTCCCGTTAATTTTCTCATTAATTCCCCCAAATATTATCATTACTTCCCGCTAATTTTTTCATTAATTCCCGCTAATTTTTTCATTAATTCCCACTAATATTTTCATTAATTACCACTAATTTTTCTCTTTTTTTCATTAATTCCCGATATTTTTCTCATTAATTCCCGCTCATTCTTCATGTTTTAAACATTAATTTATTAATTAATTCCCGCTCACGACCCCGCTAATTAACTTTTTCGCTAATTACCCCTTAGGTCGCGGCCCCGCCCCCCGCGCGCCCCCCGGCGGCGACTCGGAGGAGGACTCGGGGGACGGGGGGGGAGGGGCGGCCGCGGCACCCATGGGTGGCCCCGAGGGGGGTGGGGGAGGGGCTCAGGGGGGTGGGGGAGGGGCTCAGGGTGGGGGAGGGGCCGATGGCCACGCCCCCGCCCCGCCCCCCCCCGCGCCGCGCGCTGCGGCCCCGCCCCCGCCCCGAGAGCCCCGACAGTGATGGTGAGGGGGGGGAGGGGAATTTGGGGGGATTTTGGGACTTTTGGGGGGGATTTGGGGATATTTTGGGGGGATTTGGGGGGGATTTGGGAGATTTGGGGGGATTTTGGGGGGCATTCGAGGATATTTTTGGGTGGTTTGGGGGGGTTTGGGGGGATTTGGGGGGATTTTGGGAAAATTTGGGGGGATTTGGGGGATTTTTGGGGGGTTTAAGGACATTTTGGGTGAATTTTGGGGGGATTTTGGGGGGATTTTGAGGGATTTTGGGGGGATTATGGGGGGGTTTGGAGGGATTTTGGGGGGATTTAGGGGATTTTTGGGAGATTTTGGGATATTTGGAGGGATTTTAGGACATTATGGGGGATTTGGGGACTTTTTGGGGACATTTGGGGACATTTTGGAGGTTTGGGGACAATTTGGGGGGATTTCAGGGAGATTTTGGGGGATTTGGGGACATTTTGGGGGGATTTGGGGGGGTTTTGGGGGATTTTGGGGGGATTTGGGGATTTTGGGGGGTTTTGGGGATATTTTGGGGGGTTTGGGGGGATTTTGGGGGAATTTGGGGGGATTTGGAGGGATTTTGGGGGGTTTGGGGACATTTTTGGGGGAATTTGGGGACATTTTGGGGAGGTTTTGGGGAGATTTTGGGGGAGTTTGGGGACATTTTGGGGGACTTTCGGGGAGGGTTTTGGGGAGGTTTAGGGAGGTTTGGGGGGGGTTGGGGAGATTTGGGGGATTTTGGGGACATTTTAGGGGGTTTAGGGGGATTTTGGGGAGGGTTTTGGGGGATTTTGGGGGGGCTTGGGGGGGTTTAGGGACATTTTGGGGACATTTTGGGGAAATTTGGGATATTTTTGGGGGGTTTAAGGACATTTTGGGGGGATTTGGGGAAATTGTGTGGGATTTGGGGATATTTTGGGGGGTTTTGGGGATATTTTGGGGCGTTTGGGGGGGTTTGGGGGGGATTTGGAGGGGTTTGGGGGATTTTGGGGGGGATTTTGGGGGATTTGGGTGGGTTTGGGGTCATTTTGGGACATTTTGCGGGGATTTTGGGGGCATTTGGGGTCATTTGGGCACATTTTGGGGACATTTTGGAGGGTTTTGGGGACTATTTGGGGGGATTTGGGGAGATTTGGGAACATTTTGGGGAAATTTTGGGAACGTTTTGGGGCCATTTTGGGACATTTTGTGGCCATTTTGGGGACATTTGGGGACATTTTGGGGACATTTTGGGGACATTTTGTCTCCCCAAAATATCCCCAAAACCCCCCAAATCCCCCCAAACCCCCCAAATTCCCGCTCTGACCCCGCCCCTCCCCCCGCAGAGGCCCCGCCCCGTTCTGGCCCCGCCCCCCCGCTGCGGCCCCGCCCCCTCCAACCACTGCTGCAGCTGCGGGCCCGGCGGAGGCAGCAGCAGGTGGGGGAGGGGAACCCAAATTTGGGGGGGTTTGGGGTGGGGGAGGGGCGGGACCCCAAATTTGGGGGGGTTTGGGGTGGGGGAGGGGCGGGACCCCAAATTTGGGGGGGGTTTGGGGTGGGGGAGGGGAGATTTGAAGAGGGGGAGGGGAAATTTGGGGGGAGAAACCCAAAATTTGGGAGTGGGAACTCAAAATTTGGGGTGGGGGAGGGAAAATTTGGGGGGATTTGGGGTGGGGGGCAGTAAATTTGGGGTGGGGGGAGGGGAAATTTGGGGGGCTTTGGGGGAATTTGGGGAAGGGGAAGGGAAATTTGGGGGATTTGGGGTGGGGGAGGGGAAATTTGGGGTGGGGGGAGGGGAAATTTGGGGTGGGGGAGGGGAAATTTGGGGGGATTTGAAGTGGGGGAGGGGAAGTTTGGGGAGGGAAACCCAAAATTTGGGAGTGGGAATTCAAAATTTGGGAATGGGAAGTCAAAATTTGGAAAATGGAACCCAAAATTTGGGTGGAGGAGGGGAAATTTGGGAAGGGGGAAGGGAAATTTGGCAATGGGAACCCCAAATTTAGGAATTAGAACCCAAATTTTGGGAATGGGAATTCAAAATTTGGGAGTGGGGGAGGGGAAATTTAGGGGAAATTTGGGGATGGGGGAGGGGAGATTTGGGAATGGGAGCCCCAAATTTAGGAATTAGAACCCAAATTTTGGGAATACGAATTCAAAATTTGGGGTGGGGAGGGGAAATTTGGGGGAAAAAACCCAAAATTTGGGGTGGGGGAGGGGAAATTTGGGAGTGGAACCCCAAAATTTGGGAATGGGGATCAAAAATTTGGGGTGGGGGAAGGGAAATTTGGGGAGGGGAACCCAAAATTTGGGGTGGGGGAGGGGAGATTTGGGAGTGGGAACCCAAAATTTTGGAATTAAAACCCAAAATTTGGGGTGGGGGAAAGGAAATTTGGGAAATGGAATCCAAAATTTGGGGTGGGGGAGGGGAAATTCGGGAATGGGAACCCCAAATTTAGGAATTAGAACCCAAATTTTGGGAATACGAATTCAAAATTTGGGGGGGAGAGGGGAAATTTGGGGTGGGGGAGGGGAGATTTGGGAATGGGAACCCAAAATTTGGGAGTCGGAATTCAAAATTTGGGAGTGGGAACCCAAAATTTGGGAGTGGGAACCTAAAAATTGGGGTGGGGAAGTGAAATTTGGGAATGGGAATTCAAAATTTGGGAGTCGGAATTCAAAATTTGGGAATGGGAACCCAAAATTAGGGGTGGGGGAGGGGAAATTTGGGAGTGGAACCCCAAAATTTGGGGAGGGGAACCCAAAATTTGGGAATTTAAACCCAAAATTTTAGAATGGGAACCCAAAATTTGGGAATGAAAACCCAAAATTAGGGGTGGGGGAGGGGAAATTTGGGGAGGGGAACCAATATTTGGGAATGGAAACCCAAAATTTGGGATGGGGGATGGGAAATTTGGGAATGGGAATTTGGGATTTGGGGTGGGGGAGGGGAAATTTGGGAGAATTTTGGGATGGGGGAGGGGAAATTTGGGTAATTTTGGGGTGGGGGAGGGGCTGGGTCTCTGACCCCTCCCCCCCTCCCCCATTTCAGGACTGGGGCCCCCCCGGAGCTTCGGGCCCCCCCCAGAACGGGTGGGGGAGGGGCAGGAACGGCGACGGGGGAGGGGCGGGGACGCGGCTGCGGGTGGACTTCCGGGTAAGGCCCCTCCCCCACCCCCCAAAAATTACCCAAAATTCCCCTCCCCCACCCCCCAAAATTACCCAAAATTTCCCCTCCCCCACCCCCCAAAAATTCCCCAAATTTTCCCAAAATTCCCCCAAAATTCCTCCAAAAATCCCCCAAAATTCCCCAAAATAGTCCCTAAAATTTCCCAAAAAAATCCCCCAAATCCCTCAAAATTCCCCAAAAATTCCCCAAAAATTCTCCAAAATTCCCCAAAAATTCCCCAAAATTTCATTTCCCCTAAAATATTCCCTATAATTTCCCAAAAAATTTTCAAAATTCCCACAAAATTCCCCAAAATTTCTTCATTTCCCCCAAATATTCCCCAAAATTTCCCAAAAAAATCCCCCCAAATTCCCCCAAAATCCCCCAAAAATCCCCAAAAATTCCCCAAAATTCTCCCCAATAATCCCCCAAAAATCCCCCAAAAAATCCCCCCAAAATTCCCCAAAATTCTCGCCAAAATTTCCCAAAAATGCCCCCAAATTTCCCCCAAAATTCACCAAAATTTCTTCAATTCCCCCAAAATATCCCCAAAATCCCCCAAAATTCCCCCAAAAATCCCAAAAATTCCCCAATTTTCTGATTTTTGGGGCATTTATCCCAAATTTTGGCATTTTTGGGTTTTTTGGAGGATTTTTTTTCATCCCTGAATTTGATTTTTTTGGGGTGCAAATTTTTTTTTTCGAATTTTGGGGTTTTTGGGGTTTTTTTTGCAGCAATTTGTGGGGATTTTTTGAGAAAATTTGGGGGATTTTTTTTGTGCAATTTTTGGGGATTTTGGGACAATTTTTGGGGCCTTTTTAATGATTTTTGGGGTTTTTTTTGCCATTTTTGGGGTAATTTTTCGGCCATTTTTAGGGATTTTTGGGGTCATTTTTGGGGATTTTTGGGCCAATTTTTGGGTCATTTTTGGGGCATTTTAAGGGATTTTTGGGGTCGTTTTTGGGAATTTTTTTTCTGTTTTTGGGATTTTTTTTTTTTTGGTTTTTTTGGGTGAATTTTTAGGTAATTTTTTTTTTGTTTGTTTCTGACCCAAAATTTGTTTTTTTCTCCCCAAAAGGAGAATTTTACCCTGGACAAGTTTTGGGCAATTTTACATAAAATTTTGGGTTTTTGGAGCTGTTGTTGCTTTTTTTTTTTTTTGCTGTTTTTGGGGTTTTTTTTGGGGTTTTTTTTGGTGAATTTTTGTGTAATTTAATTTTTTTAAAATTCTGACCCAAAATTTGATTTTTTCTCCCCAAAAGGAGAATTTGATCATGGACAAGTTTTGGGCGATTTTACATCAAATTTTGGGGTTTTGGGGCCGTTTTTGGGGGTTTTTTTTGCCGTTTTTTTTGGGGTTTTTTTGGGTGAATTTTTGGGTGAATTTTTGGGTAATTTTATTTATTTTAATTCTGACCCAAAATTTGGTTTTTTCACCCCAAAAAGAGGATTTTACCCTGAATAAGTTTTGGGCGATTTTACATCAAATTTTGGGTTTTTGGGGCTGTTTTTTTGGGATTTTTTTTCCCTTTTTTTTGGGTTTTTTTGGGTGAATTTTTGGGTAATTTTATTCTTTTAGTTTCTGACCCAAAATTTGGTTTTTTCTCCCCAAAAGGAGGATTTTACCCTGGACAAGTTTTGGGCAATTTTACATCAAATTTTGGGATTTTTGTGGCCGTTTTTGGGGATTTTTTGCCGTTTTTTTGGGATTTTTTTGGGGTTTTTTTGGGTGAATTTTTTTGTAATTTTATTTTTTTAAATTCTGACCCAAAATTTGCTTTTTTCTCCCCAAAAGGAGGATTCTGCCCTGGACAACGTGTGGCTGATGGGGGGGCTCAGCATCCTCTCCTCGGTGCCGGTCTCCGCCCCCCTCGTGTGTCTCCTCTGCGCCAGCAAAGGCCTCCACCAGGTACCCAAAATTCCCAAAAAATCCCAAAATTTCCGAAAAATCCCAAAAATCCCCGAAATTAAAAAAAAAACCCCAAGAAAATCGGAAAATCCGCTGATTTTTTATGGATTTTTAAGGCATTTTTGGAGATTTTTTTTGATATTTAAAGGGATTTGAGAGACTCAAAATTTCCAAAAAATCCCAGAATTCCCAAAAAATACCAAAATTCCCAAAAAATTCCAAAAATCCCCGAAATTCCAAAAAAAACCCCGCGAAAATCCGAAATTCTGTTGATTTTTTATGGATTTTTAATGCATTTTTGGAGACTTTTTTTGATTCTTAAAGGGATTTGGCTGCCATAAAATTTCCCAAAAATTCCCAAAAAATCCCAAAATTCCCAAAAATTCCCAAAAAATCCCAAAAATCCCCGAAATTAAAAAAAAAACCCAGCGAAAATCCCAAAATCCGTTGATTTTTTATGGATTTTTGGGGATTTTTTTTGTATTTTTAAAGGAATTTGGGAGCTACAAAAATTTCCCAAAAAGTCTCAAGATTCCCAAAAAATCCAAAAATTCCCAAAAAATAAAAAAAAACCCTTGCAAAAATCCCAAAATCCGTTGATTTTTTATGGATTTTTAATGCATTTTTGGGGAGGTTTTTTTTTTTAGGATTTTGGGGAATTTTTTGGGATTTTTTTGGGGATTGTTTTGAAATTTTTTGGGGATTTTTTTTGAATTTTATTGGAATTTTTTGGGAGGAGTTTTTTGGATTTTTTGGGGATTTTTTGGGATTTTTTGGGGGGATTTTTTTGGGATTTTTTGGGGATTTTTTTTGGATTTTATTGGAATTTTTTTGGGGCATTTTAGGGGATTTTTGGAGGAAATATTTTTAAAATTTTTTTGAAAATGTTGGGGGTTTTTGGACATTTTTTGGGATGTTTTGGGGGATTTTTGGGGTCATTTTTGGGGAATTTTTAGGGAGATTTTTTGGGGGATTTTTTTTTTATTTTGTTGGAATTTTTTGGGGGGAGTGTTGGAGATTTTTTTGGAGATTTTTTGGGGATTTTTTGTGGGATTTTATTGGGATTTTTTTTGTGGATTTTTTGGGAGTTTTTTTTGGATTTTGGTATTTTTTTTTTGGGATTTCCCTTCCCTCACCCGCTGCTGTTCCAGCTGTGCCCCGCGTTGGGCGCCACTTTCATTCGGACACATTTTGGTGCCATTTTGTCCATTTTTAATGGGATTTTTTGGGATTTTTTTGGGGGGAATTTTTTGCTGTTTTTTTGGCGTATTTTTTGGGATTATTTTTGGGGATTTTTTGGGGATTTGTTTCGGACTTCTTTGGGATTTTTTTGGGGCATTTTAGAGGACTTTTGGGAGGATTTTTTTTGGGATTTTTTAAAAATTTTTGAAGGATTTTTGGGACATTTTTGGGGATCTTTTTGGGGATTTTTTTGGGCATTTTTAGGGATTTTTTTAGGGGGAGTTTTTGGAAATTTTTTGGGGATTTTTTGGGTGTTTTTTGGGGGATTTTTTTGGGAATTCTTGGGAGATTTTGGGGGGATTATTTTTGTGATTTTTTTGGGAATTTTTTTAGGATTTTTTTTGGGGAATTTTTGGGTAGTTTTTTTGGGTGATTTTTGGGGATTTTTTTGGGGTTTTTTTGTGGTGATTATTGGGGGATTTTTTTGGAAATTTTTTGGGATGCTTTTCGAATTTTTAGGGGGATTTTTTGGGGATTATTTTTGAAAAATTTGGGCAATTTTGGGGATTTTTTGGGTATTTTTTTGGGATTTTTTTGGGGGGATTTTTTTGGAATTTTGGGATTTTTTTGCGGGATTTCCCTTCCCTCACCCGCTGCTGTTCCAGCTGTGCCCCGCGTTGGGCGCCACTTTCATTCGGACACATTTTGGTGCCATTTTGTCCATTTTTAACGGGATTTTTTGGGGATTTTTTGGGGGGATTTTTTGGGATTTTTTTGGGGATTCTGTTGGAGATTCTGGGGAATTTTTAGGGGGATTTTTTGGGGGGATTTTTTTGGGATTTTTTTTGGATTTTCTTGGAATTTTTTGGAGGGAGTTTTTGGGCATTTTTGGGGGATTTTTTGGGGAATTTTTTTGGGGGATTTTTTTGGGAATTTCTAGGACTTTTTTTGGGATTTTTGGGGGATTTTTTTTTTATTATATTGGGATTTTTGGGGGGATTTTTTTGGGATTTCTTTTAGGGACGGTTTTCAAATTTTTGGGCGGATTTTTTGGGAATTTTTTTGAAATGTTTTAACAATTTTGGGGATTTTTTGGGAAATTTTTTTGGGATTTATTTGGGAATTTTTTGGGGTTGTCTCACCTGCCCCTCACCTGTTCCCTCACCCGCTGCTGTTCCAGCTGTGCCCACCAGGGGGCGTTTCGCTCATTTTTTTGGGATTATTTTGCCGATTTTTTTGGGATTATTTTGCAGATTTTTTGGGGATTTTTTTGGGGATTTTTTTGGGGATTTTGGGATTTCCCTTTTCTCACCTGTCCCTCCCCTGTTTTGGCAGCTGCTGCTGTTCCAGCTGTGCCCACCAGGGGGCGTTTCGCTCATTTTTTTGGGATTATTTTGCCGATTTTTTTTGGATTTTTTTGCCGATTTTTGGGGGATTTTTTTTGGGAAATTTTTGGGATTTTGGGATTTCCCTTTTCTCACCTGTCCCTCCCCTATTTTGGCAGCTGGTGCTGTGCCAGGTGTGCTGCCAGCCCTTCCACAGCTTCTGCCTGGGCGCGGGGGAGGCGCCGGGGCCGGGCCAGGCCGGGGCCTGGAGCTGCCGGCGCTGCCGCAGCTGCGGCGTCTGCGCCAGGAGGGGGCGCCCCAGCAAGGTAAAAACACACCTGGGCACACCTGGGGGGTAAAAAATTACACCTGGAGGGGTAAAAAATACACCTGGAGGGGTAAAAATCACAGCTGAGGGGGTAAAATTACACAAAAACCACACCTGGGGGCACCTGGGGGGGTAAAAATCGCACCTGGGCACACCTGGGGACACCTGGGGGGTAAAAAATTACACCTGGGGGCACCTGGGCACACCTGGGGGCACCTGGGCACACCTGGGGGGTAAAAATCACACCTGGGGGGTAAAAAATCACACTTGGGGGGGTAAAAACTCACCTGGGGGGGTAAAAAACACACCTGGGCACACCTGGGGGGGGAAAAATTACACCTGGGGGGGGAAAAAATTACACCTGGGGGGGCACAAAACACACCTGGGAGGGTAAAAAATCACATCTGGGGGCACCTGGGGGGGTAAAAATCACACCTGGGCACAGCTGGAGGGGGCGCCCCAGCAAGGTAACAACGCACCTGGGGGGGGAAAAACACACCTGGGCACACCTGGGGGGGGAAAATTTTGCAGTGCCTAAGATGGATTTTGGGGGATTTTGGTTTCCCTGAGCTATATTTTGGGGTGCCTAAACCGAATTTTGGGGTGCCTGAGCTGAATTTTGGGGTAATTTTGCGTTCCCTGAGCCAAATTTTGGGGTTTTTGGGGTGCCTAAACCGAATTTTGGGGTGCTTGAGATGAATTTTGGGGTGCCTAAACCAGATTTTGAGGTTTTTGGATGCCTAAACCATATTTTGGGGTGCCTGAGCTGAATTTGGGGTTTCTGAGCCGAATTTTGGGGTTCCTGACCGGAATTTTGGGGTTTTTGGGGTGCCTAAACCAAATTTCGGGGTGCCTGAGCTGAATTTTGAGGTCCCTGATGTGAATTTTGAGAGTTTTGGGATCCCTGATGAGATTTTGGGGGATTTTGGGGTCCCTGATGGGATTTTGGGGGATTTTGGGTTCCCTGAGCCAAATTTTTTGGGATTTGGGGTGCCTGAGCCGGATTTTGGGGTTTTTGGGGGTGCTTGAGGTGAATTTTCAGGGTTTTGGGGTGCCTGAGGGGAATTTTGGGGTAATTTTCGGTTCCATGAGCCTAATTTAGGGGTTTTGGGGTGCCTAAACCAAATTTTGGGGTGCCTAAACCGAATTTTGGGGGTTTTGGGGTGCCTAAACCAAATTTTTGGGTGTTTAAACCGAATTTTGGGGTTTTTGGGGTGCCTAAACCGATTTTTGGGGTGCTCGAGCTGAATTTTGGGGTGCTTAAACCGAATTTTGGGGTACCTGAGCCAAATTTTGGGGTTTTTGGGGTGCCAAAACCAAATTTTGGGGTGCTTGAACCGAATTTTTGGGTGCCTAAACCAAATTTTGGGGTGCTTGAGCCGAATTTTGGGGTTTCTGGGGTGCCTGAGCTGAATTTTGGGTTATCTGAGCTGAATTTTAGGGTTTTTGGGGTCCCTGAGCCGAATTTTGGGGTTTTTGAGGTCCCTGAGGCAGATTTTGGGGTTTTTTGGGGTGCCTAAACCAAATTTTGGGGTGCCTGAGCCAGATTTAGGGGTGACTAAAGCGGCTTTTGGGGTTTTTCGGGTGCCTAAACCAAATTTTGGGTTTTTTTGGGGTGCCTGAGCTGAATTTTGGGGTGTTTAAACCAAATTTTGGGGTGCCTAAACCGATTTTTGGGGTGCTCGAGCTGAATTTTGTGGTGCCTGAACTGAATTTTGGGGTTTCTGACTGGAATTTTGGGGTTTTTGGGGTGCCTAAACCGGATTTTGGGGATTTGGGGTTCCCTGAGGCAGATTTTGGGGTTTTTTGGGGTGCCTAAACCGATTTTTGGGGTGCCTGAGCCGAATTTTGGGTTATCTGAGCCGAATTTTGGGGTTTTTGGGGTTTTTTAAATCAAATTTTGGGTTCCCTGAGCCGAATTTTGGGTTTTTTGGGGTGCCTAAACCAAATTTTGGGGTGCCTAAACTGAATTTTGGGGTGCCTGAGCCAAATTTTGGGGTTTTTGGGGTGCCTAAACCGAATTTTGGGGTGCCTGAGCCATGTTTTGAAGTTTTTGGGGTGCTTGACCCAAATTTTGGGATTTTGGGGTACCTGAGGTGGATTTTGAGGTAATTTTGGGTTCCCTGAGCCAAATTTTTGGGGTGCCTGAGCCGAATTTTGGGTTCCCTGAGTCAAATTTTGGGTTATCTGAGACGAATTTTGGGGTGCCTAAACTGAATTTCGGGGTTGCCTGAGGTGAATTTTGCGGTTTTTGGGGTGCCTAAACCAAATTTTGGGATGCCTGAGCCAAATTTTGGGTTATCTGAGCCGAATTTTGGGGGTTTTGGGTTCCCTAAGCTAAATTTTGGGGTTTTTGGGGTGCCTAAACCAAATTTTGGGGTGCCTAAACCAAATTTTGGGGTGCTTGAGCCAAATTTTGGGTTTTTTGGGGTGCCTAAACTAAATTTTGGAGTGCCTAAACCGAATTTTGGGGTTTTTGGGGTGCCTCAACTGAATTTTGAGGTGCCTAAACTGAATTTTTGGGTGCTTGAACCGAATTTTGGGTTATCTGAGGGGAATTTTGGGGTTTTTGGGGTGCCTAAACCAAATTTTAGGGTGTGTGAGCCAAATTTTGGGGTTTTTGGGGTGCCTGAGCTGAATTTTGGGTTATCTGAGCTGAATTTTAGGGTTTTTGGGGTCCCTGAGCCAAATTTTGGGGTTCCTGAGCCAAATTTTGGGGTAATTTTGGGTTCCCTGAGCTAAATTTTGGGGTTTTTGGGGTGCCTAAACCGAATTTTGGGGCGTCTGAACCAAATTTTGGGGTGGCTGAGCCGAATTTTGGGTTATCTGAGCGGAATTTTGGGGTTTTTGGGGTGCCTAAACCGGATTTTGGGGATTTGGGGTTCCCTGAGGCAGATTTTGGGGTTTTTTGGGGTGCCTAAACCGAATTTTGGGGTGCTTGAGCCGATTTTTGGTGTTTTTGGGGTGCCTAAACCAAATTTTGGGGTGTTTAAACCGAATTTTGGGGTTTTTGGGGTGCCTGAGCTGAATTTTGGGGTGTTTAAACCGAATTTTGGGGTGCCTAAACCGATTTTTGGGGTGCTCGAGCTGAATTTTGTGGTGCCTGAACTGAATTTTGGGGTTTCTGACTGGAATTTTGGGGTTTTTGGGGTGCCTAAACCGGATTTTGGGGATTTGGGGTTCCCTGAGGCAGATTTTGGGGTTTTTTGGGGTGCCTAAACCAAATTTTGGGGTGCCTGAGCCAGATTTTGGGGTGCTTGAACCAAATTTTGGGGGTTTTGGGTTCCCTGAGCCGAATTTTGGGGGATTTTGGGGTGCCTGAGCCGAATTTTGGGGTGCCTGAGCCGAATTTCGGGGTTTTTGGGGTGCCTAAACCAAATTTTGGGGTTCCTGAGCCGAATTTTGGGGTGTTTAACCCAAATTTTGTTGTTTTTGGGTGCAGCCCCTCCTGGAGTGCCGCCGCTGCCGTCGCTGCTTCCACCCGACCTGTCTGGGACCCGGAGCGCCGCCCCGAGCCCCGCCCGGACACTGGGTGAGGAATTCGGGATTTTGGGGGAAATTTAGGGAAAATTGGGAATTTTGGGGGAGATTTGGGGGGATTTTGGGGGGTTTGGGGGGAAATTTGGGGGAAATTTGGGGGATTTTGGGGGGATTTGAGGGGATTTTGAGGGAATATTGGGGGGGGTTAGGGAGATTTGGGGGGGTTTTTGTGGGATTTTGGGGAAATTTGGGAGGGGTTTTGGGGAATTATTGGGGATTTTGGGAGATTTTTGTGGAAATTCTGGGGGAATTTGGGAGAATTGTGGGAATTTTGGGGGATTTTCATGAGATTTTTGGGAAATTTAGAGGGTTTGGGGGAAATTTTGGGGGATTTTGGGAAATTTTGGGGAATTTTCTGGAAATTTTGGGGGGGTTTGAGGGAATTTTGGGAATTTTGAGCAGTTTTGGAGAGATTTTTGGGAAAATTAGAGGGATTTGACAAAATTTTAATAATTTTGGGGTATTTTGGTGAGATTTTTGGGAAATTGGAGGGATTTTAAGAAATTTTGGGGAAATGTGGGGAATTTTGTGGAAATTTTGGGAGGGTTTGGTATGATTTTGGATATTTTGGGAATTTTTGGAGATTTTGGGAGATTTTTGTGGAAATTTTGGGGAATTTTTGGGGGATTTTAGGGGCTTTTGGAAAATTTGGGTGTGATTTGAGGGGATTGGTGGAAATTCAGGGGGATTTTGGGGCAGATTTGGGGGAATTTGGGGAAAATTTGGGGATTTTAGGGGAAGTTTGGGGGGATTTTGGGGAAAATTCGGGGATTTTGGAGAAAATTTGGGGATTTTGGGGGATTTGGGGGGAATTTGGGGCATTTGAGATAAATTTGGGGGGATTTTGGGGAGATTTGGGGGGATTGTTTAAGAATTATGGGAATTTTGGGGGATTTTGGGAGATTATGGGGAATTTTTGGGAAAATTTGGGGGAATTTTGTGGCAGATTTGGGGGATTTGGAGGAATTCTGGGGGATTTTGGGAAAATTTGGGAATTTGGGGGAATTTTGGGATTTTGAAGGGGATTTTGGGGGGGATTTTGGGAAAGTTTTTGGGCAGATTTGGAGGGATTTTGGGGAAATTTGGGGAATTTTGGGAGATTTTGGCTGATTTAGGGGAGTTTTGGGGAGATTTTGAGGGGATTTTGGGAAAATTTGGGGGATTTTGGGGGGAAATTTGGGATTTTTTTGAGGAGGAAATTTGGGATTTTTTTGGTGCGATTTTGGGGCGGTTTTGGGGTGGGAAAAATCTGAAATTTTGGGATTTTTTTGGGGTCTCCAGGTGTGTTGGGGCTGCCAGAGCTGCGGGACCCCCGAGGGGGGGGAGGGGCGGGACCCCTCCCCCATTACAGGTGAGGGGGAATTTGGGGGGATTTTGGGGGATTTTGGGCAATTTTTAGGTGATTTTGGGGAATTTTTGGAAGATTTGGGGGATTTTGGGGAAAATTTGGGGGATTTTGGGGGGATTTTGGTGGGGGTTGGGGGGATTTTGGGGAGGATTTGGGAGATTTTGGGGGAAATTTTGTGGATTTTGGGGGATTTTTTTAGAAATTTGAGATTTTGGGGGATTTTCGGGAGGTTTGGGGAAAATTTGGGAGGTTTTGGGGGGATTTTGGGGGGAATTTTTTGGAATTTTGGGGGATTTTTGTGGAAATTTGAGGAGATTTTGGAGGATTTTGGGGAGGTTTGAGGAAAATTTGGGAGGTTTTTGGGGGGTTTTGGAGATTTTAGGGGATTTTTATGAATTTTGGGGGATTTTTAGATGATTTTGGGGGGATTTTGGGGAAATTTGGGGGAAATTTGGGGGGAATTTTAGGAAATTTAGGGAAATTTTTGGGGGAATTTTGGAAAATTTGGGAAAATTTGGGTTTTTTTTAACGGTCAAATTCATGATAATTTTTTGGGTTAAATTTGGGATTTTTTGGGGTTCATCAGAGGCGGGGGAGGGGCTGAGCCCCCCCCGGGACCACGAGGAGCCCCCGGAGGGGGGGGAGGGGCCGGAGCCCCCCCCCGGCAGCCCCAAAGGTGAGGGGGGGGGGTCCCCAAAATTTGGGGGGGTGGGAACCCCAAAATCCCTCCCAGGGACCCCAAAATTCCTTCAGGGACCCCAAAATCCCTTCAGGGACCCCAAAATCCCCTCAGGAACCCCAAAATCTCCCCCAGGGACCCCAAAATTTGCCCCAAAATTTCTCCCGGATCCCAAAAATCCCCTCAGTGACCCCAAAATCCCCCCAAAATTTCACCTGGGACCCCAAAATCCCCCCAAAATTTCTCCTGGACCCCCAAAATCTCCTCAGGGACCCCAAAATTCCCCCCAAAATTTCACCTGGACTCCCAAAATCTCCTCAGGGACCCCAAAATTCCCCCCAAAATTTCTCCTGGACCCCAAAATCCTCCCAGGAACCCCAAAATCTTCTGAGGGACCCCAAAATCTCCCCCAAATTTCTCCTGGACTCCCAAAATTTCTCCTGGACCCCCAAAATCCCCCCAGGGACCCCAAAATTCCCCCCAAAACTTCTCCTGGACCCCCAAAATCCCCCCCAAAATTTCACCTGGACCCCCAAAATTCCCTCAGAGACCCCAGAATTCCACCAAAAACCCCAAAAATCCCTTTAGGAGCCCCAAAACCCCCCCAGGGACCCCAAAATCCCCTCAGGAACCCCCAAATCCCCCCAAAATCTCTTCAGGAGCCCCAAAATCCCTCAGGGACCCCAAATTCCCCTCAAAATTTCTCCTGGAACCCCAAAATCCCCCCAAAATCTCACCAGGAACCCCAAAATCCCCTCAGGGACCCCAAAATCCCCCCCAAAATTTCTCCTGGACCCCCAAAATCCCCTCAGAGACCCCAAAAATCTCCTCCAGGTGTGTCTGGCCCCGCCCCCTTTACTTAGCCCCGCCCCTTTTCCTTTTGGCCCCGCCCATTTGGCCCCGCCCCCTCAGGTGTGTCCGGCCCCGCCCCCTTTACTTAGCCCCGCCCCTTTTCCTTTTGGCCCCGCCCATTTGGCCCCGCCCCTCAGGTGTGTCCGGCCCCGCCCTCCGGGAGGTGCTCCAGGCGCTGTTAAGCTCCGCCCACGGCCCCGCCCTCCTCACCTGTGCCCAGGTAAGGGAAAAGGGGGCGGGGCTTCGCGGGGTGGGCGTGGCCACAGGAAAAGTGGGCGTGGCCACAGAAAAATGGGCGTGGCCATAATTTGGGTGGGCGTGGTCACCTGTGCCGCCATTTTTTGGGGTCTCACCTGAGCCCCTCCCCCAATTTTTTGGGTGGGGGTCTCACCTGAGCCCCTCCCCCATTTTTTGGGGTCTCACCTGAGCCCCTCCCCCATTTTTTGGGGGGTCTCACCTGAGCCCCTCCCCCCATTTTTTGGGGGGTCTCACCTGAGCCCCTCCCCCATTTTTTGGGGTCTCACCTGAGCCCCTCCCCCCATTTTTTGGGGGGTCTCACCTGAGCCCCTCCCCCCATTTTTTGGGGTCTCACCTGAGCCCCTCCCCCAATTTTTGGGGTCTCACCTGAGCCCCTCCCCCATTTTTTGGGGTGGGGGTCTCACCTGAGCCCCTCCCCCAAATTTTGGGGTCCCCCCAGTGCCCCCCCGGGGGTCCCCCCACCCATTTGGGGCCGTGCGACATCGGCGCCGTCGCTCACCTGGCCGAGGGCGGAGCCTACGGATCCCTGGTGAGAGAATTCCCGGAAAATTCGGGAAATTTGGGAATTTTAAAGGGGGGGGATGGTGGGAAATGGGGGGGAAAATCATCGAAAAAATTGGGGGGGAAAAGGGGAAAATTTTGGGGGGGAAATGGGGAAAAATTGGGGGGAAAAACCTGAAAAAATTGGGGGGAAATGGGAAAAAAATTGGGGGGAAAATCCAAAAAATATTGAGGAAAAAAGAAAAAGGAAAAATTCGGGGGGAAGTGGGAAAAAAACAGGGGGAAATTCCAAAAAAATTAAGGGAAAAAACCCAAACAATTCTGGGGAAAATGGGGAAAAATTGTGGGGGAAATGCCAAAAAAATTCCGGGGGAAATGGGGAAAAAATTTGGGGGAAAATCCCACAAAAATTTAGGGGAAAAAAAAAGAAAAAGAAAAATTCCGGGAGAAATGGGAAAAAATTGGGGGAAAATCCCTAAAAAATTAAGGGAAAAAACGGGAAAATTCCAGGGGAAATGGGAAAAAATCGAGGGGGAAAACCCGAAAATTTTGGGCGGAATGGGAAAAAAATTGGGGGGGAAATCCCCAAAAAATTGAGAAAAAACAATTAAAAATACCAGAGAAAATGGGATAAACTGGGGGGAAAAACCCGAAAAATTCTGGGGGAAATGGGAAAAAAATTGGGCGGGAAATCCCCCAAAAATTGAGGGAAAAATCAAAAAAAATTCTGGGGGAAATGGGGAAAAAATTGAGAGGAAAATCCTCCAAAAATTGAGGGAAAAAAACTAAAAAATTCCAGGGGAAATGGGGAAAAAATTGGGGGAAAAAACTCGAAAAATTTCGGGGGAAATGGGAAAAAAATTGGGGGGAAATGGGAAAAATAATTGGGGGAAAATGCCCAAAAAATTTGAGGGAAAAAACCTAAAAAATTCTGGGAGAAATGGGAAAAAACTGGGGGAAAAAACCTAAAAAATTTGGGGAGAAATGGGAAAAAATTTGGGGGGAAATGGGAAAAAATTGGGGGGAAAAACCTGAAAAATTTGGGGGAAAAACCTGAAAAATTCGGAGGGAAATGGGGAAAAATTGGCAGAAAAATCACAAAAAATTTGAGGGGAAAAAACCCGAAAAATTTCAGGGGGGAAATGGGAAAAAATTGGGGGGAAAATGCCAAAAAAATTTAAAAAAAATAAAGAAAAATTCTGGGGGAAATGGGAAAAAAACTGGGGGAGAATCCCTAAAAAATAGTGGGAAAAATTAAAAATTTGGGGGGAATGGGAAAAAATTGGGGGAAAAAACCCAAAAAATTTGGGGGGAAATGGGATAAAAATTTGGGGAAAATCCCCAAAAAATTGAGCAAAAAATTAAAAAATTCGGGGGGAATGGGAAAAAAAATTGGGGGGGAAATTCCAAAAACTTGGACGGAAGAAACGTAAAAAATTCCGGGGGGAAATGGGGAAAAATCCCCAAATTTTGGGTCTGGGGTCCCCCAAATTTTGGTCTGGGGTCCTAAATTTGGGTCTGGGGTCCCAAATTGGGTGTGGGGTCCCAAATTTTGGGTCTGGGGTCCCAAATTTTGGGTCTGGGGTCCCAAATTTTGGGCCTGGGGTCCCCTAAATTGGGTCTGGGGTCCCAAATTTGGGTCTGGGGTCTCCCAAATTTTGGGTCTGGGGTCCCAAATTGGGTCTGGGGTCCCGAATTGGGTCTGGGGTCCCCCAAATTTTGGGTCTGGGGTCCCAAATTGGGTCTGGGGTCCCCCAAATTTTGGGTCTGGGGTCCCCCAAATTTGGGTCTGGGGTCCCAAATTTGGGTCTGGGGTCCCAAATTGGGTCTGGGGTCCCCCAAATTTTGGGTCTGGGGTCCCAAATTGGGTCTGGGGTCCCAAATTTTGGGTCTGGGGTCCCAAATTGGGTCTGGGGTCCCCCAAATTTTGGGTCTGGGGTCCAAAATTGGGTCTGGGGTCCTCACTTGGGTCTGGGGTCCCCTAAATTGGGTCTGGGGTCCCCCAAATTGGGTCTGGGGTCCCCTAAATTGGGTCTGGGGTCCCAAATTTTGGGTCTGGGGTTTCCAAATTGGGTCTGGGGTCCCAAATTTGGGTCTGGGGTCCCAAATTTGGGTCTGGGGTCCCAAATTGGGTCTGGGGTCCCCTAAATTGGGTCTGGGGTCCCAAATTTTGGGTCTGGGGTCCCAAATTTTGGATCTGGGGTGCCCCAAATTTTGGGTCTGGGGTCCCAAATTGAGTCTGGGGTCCCAAATTTTGGGTCTGGGGTCCCTCCCCCAGGAGGAATTCTCGCGAGATGTGGCCGCGGTTCTGCTCCGGAAGGGGCGGGGCCACCCTGACCACGCCCCCAGCGCAGACCACGCCCCCGACTTAAGCCACGCCCCCAACTCAGGCCACGCCCCCGACTCAGGCCACGCCCCCAATGCTCAGGAGCTGTTCATAAAGGTGGGGGAGGGGCAAAAATGGGGGAGGGGTCCCAAAATTGGGGGGAGGGGTAAAGTGGGGGGAGGGGCAAAAACAGGGGGGAGGGGCAAAAATTAGGGGAGGGGTCTCAAAATTGGGGAGGGGGAGGGGGAAAACCAGAACGGGGGCAGGGACTTAAAATTGGGGGAGGGGGTCTCGAAATTTGGGGTGAGGGGCAAAAATGGGGGAGGGGCAAATATGGGGGGGGTCACAGATGGGGGAGGGGCAAAAATGGGGGAGGGGGAGGGGAAAAAATTAGGGGAGGGGGAGGGGCAAGAATGGGGGAAGGGACAAAAATTAGGGGAGGGGACTCATAATTTGGGAGGGGGAGGGGAAATAATAGGGGAGGGGCAAAAATTGGGAGGGGAAAAAATTCGGGGAGGGGTCTCAAAATTTGAGGGGAGGGGCAAAAATTGGGGGGAGGGGAGAAAATTTATTGAGGGGCAAAAATTAGGCGAGGGGGTCTCAAAATTGGGGAGGGGGAGGGGTAAAAATGGGGGGGAGGGGTCTCAAAATTTGGGGAGGGGCAAATATTCGGGGAGGGGTGATGGATGGGGGAGGGGCAAAAATGGGGGAGGGGGAGGGGAAAAAATTAGGGGAGGGGGAGGGGCAAAAATGGGGGAAGGAACAAAAATTAGGGGAGGGGACTCAAAATTAGGGAGGGGGGGGCAAAAATTGGGGAGGGGTCTCGAAATTTGGGAGGGGGAGGGGCAAAAATTGGGGGAGGGACAAAAATGGGGGAAGCGCAAAAATTGGGAGGAGGGGGAGGGGCAAAAATTGGGGAGGGGTCTCGAAATTTGGGGAGGGGGAGGGGCAAAATGGGGGAGGGGCAAAATGGGGGAGGGGTCTCAAAATTGTTGGTGGGAGGGGCAAAAATTAGGGGAGGGGTCTCAAAATTAGGGAGGGGGAGGGGCAAAAATTAGGGGAGGGGTCTAAAAATTGGGGAGGGGCAAAAACTTTGGGGAGGGGCAAAAATGGGGAGGGGTCTCAAAATTGGGAGGGGTAAAAATGGGGAGAGGGGTAAAAATTGGGGGGAAGGGGCAAAAATTGGGGGAGGGGCAACAATTGGAGAGGGGGGCAAAAATTAGGGGAGGGGTCTCGAAATTTGGGGGGAGGGGCAAAAATTGGGGTGGGGAAGATATGGGGGGAGGGGTGACAGATGGGGGAGGGGCAAAAATGGGGGAGGGGAATAAAAAAATTAGGGGAGGGGTCCAAAAATTGGGGAGGGGAGGGGCAAAAATGGGGGAGGGGCAAAAATTGGGGGGAGGGTCTTTGAAGACGGTGGAGCCCCCCAAAAAGGGGGGTGGGGGAGGGGATTTTGGGGTGGGGGAGGGGGTGACCCCACCCTCACCCCCGCCCCTCCCCCCTCAGCTGATGGGCGGCGCCTTCCCCTGGTTCGATGCCCGGGACCCCAAAATTTGGAGCCCCCCCGAGACCCCCAAGTGAGTGACGGAGGGGGAGGGGTGGAATTTGGGGAGTTTTGGGTGGATTTTGGGGGTTCCCAGGTGGATTTTGGGTGGATTTTGGGGGGTCTCAGGTGGATTTTGGGGGTCCCAGGTGGATTTTGGGTGGATTTTGGGGGGTCCCGGGTGGATTTTGGGTGGATTTTGGGGTTTCCCAGGTAAATTTTGGGTGGATTTTGGGGGAATTTTGGGGGTCCCGGGTGGATTTTGGGTGGATTTTGGGGGGTCCCGGGTGGAATTTGGGTGGATTTTGGGGGATTTTGGGTGGATTTTGGTGGATTTTTGGTGGATTTTTGGTGGATTTTCGGTGGATTTTGGGGGTCCCAGGTGAATTTTGGGTGGATTTTGGGGGGTCCCAGGTGAATTTTGGGTGTATTTTGGGGAGTCTCGTGTGGATTTTGGGTGGATTTTGGGTGGATTTTGGGTGAATTTTGAGTGGATTTTGGGGGATTTTGGATGAATTTTGGGGGTCCCGGGTGGATTTTGGGTGTATTTTGGGTGGATTTTGGGGGGTTTTGGGTGAATTTTGGGGGTCCCAGGTGGATTTTGGGGTGTCCCGGGTGGATTTTGGGTGGATTTTGGGTGTCCCAGGTGGATTTTTGGTGGATTTTGGGGGTTCACGGGTGGATTTTGGGGGGTCCCAGGTGGATTTTGGGTGGATTTTGGGGGGTCCCAGGTGTGAATTTTGGGTGGATTTTGGGTGGATTTTGGGGGTTCCCAGGTAAATTTGGGGGTCCCAGGTGTGAATTTTGGGGTTCCCAGGTGGATTTTGGGTGGATTTTGGGGGGTCCCAGGTGTGAATTTTGGGTGGATTTTGGGTGGATTTTGGGTGGTCCCAGGTGTGAATTTTTGGGGGATTTTGGATGAATTCTGGGAGGTCCCAGGTGTGAATTTTGGGGTTCCCAGGTGGATTTTGGGTGTATTTTGGGGGTTCCAGGTAAATTTGGGGGTCCCAGGTGTGAATTTTGGGGTGCTGACCACGCCCCTCCCCCCGCAGGGCCCCGCCCCTCCCGGTGGAGCCGCCCTCCAGTGACCACACCTACGCCAGGTGGCGCCCGGAGCCGGCCCCGCCCTCCCCAGGTGAGCACGGCCACGCCCACCCGGGTTAGGCCACGCCCACTCACAGGTAAACTCACCTGGGCACACCTGGGGCACATCTGGGCAGGCCACACCCACTTTAAACTCACCTGGGCACACCTGGGCACACCTGGAACTCACCTGGGCACACCTGGGGCACACCTGGGCACACCTGGGCACACCTGGCCAGGCCACGCCCACTTTAAACACACCTGGGCACACCTGGAGCTCACCTGGGCACACTTTGAGCTCACCTGGGCACACCTGTGGCTCACCTGGGCACACCTGTGCAGGCCACGCCCACTTTAAACATACCTGGGCACACCTGGAGCTCACCTGGGCACACCTGGCCAAGCCACGCCCACTTTTAAACTCACCTGGGCACACCTGGAGCTCACCTGGGCACACCTGGAGCTCACCTGGGCACACCTGGCCAGGCCACGCCCACTTTTAACTCCCCTGGGCACACCTGGTGAAGCCACGCCCACTTTAAACACACCTGGGCACACCTGGGGCTCACCTGGACACACCTGTGCAGGCCACGCCCACTCTGAGCTCACCTGTGCCCACTTTAAACTCACCTGGGCACACCTGGAGCTCACCTGGGCACACCTGGGCTCACCTGAAGCTCACCTGGGCACACCTGTGAAGGCCACACCCACTTTAAACTCACCTGGGCACACCTGGAGCTCACCTGGGCACACCTGGAGCTCACCTAGGCACACCTGGCGAAGCCACGCCCACTTTAAACTCACCTGGGCACACCTGGAGCACACCTGGGCACACCTGTGCAGGCCACGCCCACTTTGAACTCACCTGGGCACACCTGGGGCTCACCTGGGCACACCTGGAGCTCACCTGGGCACACCTGGGCACACCTGGAGCTCACCTGGGCACACCTGGCCAGGCCACGCCCACTTTGAACACATCTGGGCACACCTGGAGCTCACCTGGGCACACCTGGCCAGGCCACGCCCACTTTGAACTCACCTGGGCACACCTGGAGCTCACCTGGGCACACCTGGCTGGGCCACGCCCACTTTAAAACACACCTGTGCCCACCTGGAGCTCACCTGGGCACACCTGGGCACACCTGTGGGCGTGTCCCCGGTCTGACCCCGCCCCTTTTTTACCTGCCCAGGTGAGGAGGGGGCGGAGCCGCTGGTGCCGGGCGGGGGCGGGGCCGACGAGCGCCAGTGCGCGCTGTGCCTGCGCTGCGGGGACGCACCTGCACAGGTGAGGGGGCGGGGCCTGACAGGTGGGGTGGGGGAGGGGCTCAGGTAAATGCTCAGGTAAAGGGGGAGGGGCTTATTTAAAGGGGGAGGGGCTCAGGTGAGGTCACACAGGTGGGGGAGGGGCTCAGGTAAAGGGGGAGGGGCTCAGGTAAAGGGGGAGGGGCTCAGGTAAAGGGGGAGGGGTCAGGTGAGGTCACACAGGTGAGAGGGAGGGGTCAGGTGAGGTCACACAGGTGGGGGAGGGGCTCAGGTAAAGGGGGAGGGGCTCAGGTGAGATCAGACAGGTGCGGGAGGGGCTCAGGTAAAGGGGGAGGGGCTCAGGTGAGGTCACACAGGTGAGGGGGAGGGGCTCAGGTAGAGGGGGAGGGGCTTATTTAAATGGGGAGGGGCTCAGGTGAGATTAGACAGGTGGGGGAGGGGCTCAGGTAAAGGGGAGGGGCTTATTTGAAGGGGGAGGGGCTCAGGTGAGGTCACATAGGTGGGGGAGGGGCTCAGGTGAGTTTAGACAGGTGGGGGAGGGGCTCAGGTAAAGGGGGAGGGGCTCAGGTGAGTTTACACAGGTGGGGGAGGGGCTCAGGTAAAAGGGGAGGGGCTTAGTTAAAGGGGAGGGGCTCAGGTGTGGGGGAGGGGCTCAGGTAAATGCTCAGGTAAAGGGGGAGGGGCTCAGGTGAGGTCACACAGGTGAGGGGGAGGGGCTCAGGTAAAGGGGGAGGGGCTTGAAGAAGGGGGAGGGGCTCAGGTGAGTTTGGACAGGTGACTGAGGGTCTCAGGTAAAGGGGGAGGGGCTCAGGTAAAGGGGGAGGGGCTCAGGTGAGATCAGACAGGTGGGGGAGGGGCTTATTTAAAGGGGGAGGGGCTCAGGTGAGTTTACACAGGTGGGGGAGGGGCTCAGGTAAAGGGGGAGGGGCTCAGGTAAAGGGGGAGGGGCTCAGGTGAGGTCAAACAGGTGAGGGGGAGGGGTCAGGTGAGGTCAGACAGGTGGGGGAGGGGCTCAGGTAAAGGGGGAGGGGCTTATTTAAAGGTGGGGGAGGGGCTCAGGTGAATACTCAGGTAAAGGGGGAGGGGCTCAGGTAAAGGGGGAGGGGCTTAATTTAAGGGGGAGGGGCTCAGGTGAGGTCAGACAGGTGAGGGGGAGGGGTCAGGTGAGGTCACTCAGGTGAGGGGGAGGGGCTCAGGTGAAGGGGGAGGGGCTCAGGTGAGGGGGAGGGGCTCAGGGAGGTCACACAGGTGGGGGAGGGGCTCAGGTAAAGGGGGAGGGGCTTATTTAAAGGGGGAGGGGCTTGGGGAAGGCAATTTTGGGGGTTTTTGGGGGGATTTTTTTGGGATTTTTTTGGGGGTTTTTTTGGGTGTTTTTTTGGGGGGAGGGGTCCCTAATTTGGGGAGGGGTCCCGCAGGAGGAGGGAGCGTTTTTTTGGGGCAAAAAAGTGCAATTTTGGCCATTCCAGCCCCATTTTATTGCCGGAATTTTGAGTTTTTTTCGGTGATTTTTTGGCTTTTTTTGGTGGGATTTTTTTGGGGTTTTTTGGGGTGTTTATTTTGGGGAGGGGTCCCTAATTTGGGGAGGGGTCCCACAGGAGGATTTGGCATTTTTAGGGGTTTTTTTGGGGCCAAAAAAAAGCATTTTTAAGCATTTCTTTGGGGCCAAAAAAGGCGATTTCGGTTATTCCAGCCCCGTTTTAACGCCGGAATTTTGGGGTTTTTTGGCGACTTTTTGGTGGGATTTTTTGGGGGGTTTTTTTGGGTTTTTTTGGGGTGTTTTTTCGGGGTGGGGTCCCTAATTTGGGTCGGGGTCCCGCAAGAGAACGGAATGTTTTTAGGCATTTTTTTGGGGCCAAAAATCCCAATTTTGCTCATTCCAGCCCCGTTTCAACACCAAAATTTCGGGGTTTTTTTGGCCATTTTTTGCCTTTTTTCGTCAGGATTTTTTTGGGGTTTCTTGGGGGATTTTTTTGGGGTTTTTTTGGGGGTATTTTTTTTGGGGAGGGGTCCCTAATTTGGGGAGTGGTCCCACAGAACAAACATGGGTCCTTAGGGGTTTTTTTGGGGCCAAAAATCCCAATTTTGCTCATTCCAGCCCCATTTCAACACCAGAATTTTGGGGGTTTTTTGCCGTTTTTTGCCTTTTTTCGACGGGATTTTTTTGGGGGTGGGGTCCCAAATTTGGGGAGGGGTCCGGAATTTGGGTCGGGGTCCCTAATTTGGGTGGGGGTCCCGCAGGAGGAGGGAGAGTTTTTAGGGGTTTTTTTAGGGCCAAAAAATCCCAATTTTGCTCATTCCAGCCCTATTTCGACACCAAAATTTTGGGTTTTTTGGCCGTTTTTTGCCTTTTTTCGACGGGATTTTTTTGGGGTTTTTTTGGGGTTTTTTGGGTGGGTTTTTTTGGGGTTTTTTGGGGTGGTTGTTTTTGGGGAGGGGTCCCAAATTTGGGTCGGGGTCCCGCAGGAGGAGGGAGCGTTTACAGGTGTTTTTTTGGGTCCAAAAATCCCAATTTTGCTCATTCCAGCCCCATTTCAACACCAAAATTTTGGGGTTTTTTGGCGATTTTTCGGCTTTTTTTGGTGGGATTTTTTTGGGGTTTTTTTTTTGGGGTTTCTTAGAGTCTCTTTGGGAGTTTTTTTTTGGGGTTTTTTGGGTTTTTTTTTTGGGGAGGGGTCCCTAATTTGGGGAGGGGTCCCACAGGATGCGTGTGGTTCCTTTGGGGCCAAAAATCCCAATTTTGCTCATTTCAACGCCAAAATTTGGGTTTTTTCGGCCGTTTTTTGCCTTTTTTCGACGGGATTTTTTTGGGGGCGGGGTCCCAAATTTGGGGAGGGGTCCGGAATTTGGGTCGGGGTCCCTAATTTGGGGAGGGGTCCCACAGGATGAGTTGGCATTTTTAGGCATTTTCTTGAGACCAAAAAATCCCAATTTTGCTTATTCCAGCCCCATTTCAATGCCACAATTTTTGGGTTTTTTTGGCCCTTTTTTGGCTTTTTTTGGTGGGATTTTTTAGGGGTTTTTTTGGGGTTTTTTTTGGGGTTTTTTTGGGGTTTATTTTGGGGAGGGGTCCCTAATTTGAGGAAGGGTCCTGCAAGACCAATGGGGTTCCTTAGGGGTTTTTTTGGGGCCAAAAATCCCAATTTTGCTCATTTCAACGCCAAAATTTCGGGTTTTTTTCGGCCGTTTTTTGCCTTTTTTCGGCCGTTTTTTGCCTTTTTTCGACGGGATTTTTTTGGGGGCGGGGTCCCGAATTTGGGGAGGGGTCCGGAATTTGGGTTGGGGTCCCTAATTTGGGTGGGGGTCCCGCAGGAGGAGGGAGCATTTTTAGGGGTTTTTTTAGGGCCAAAAAATCCCAATTTTGCTCATTCCAGCCCCGTTTCAATGCCGGAATTTTGGGGTTTTTTTGGCGAATTTTTGGCTTTTTTTGGTGGGATTTTTTGGGGGGTTTTTTTTTGGGGTTTTTTAGGGGGTTTTTGGGTGGTTTTTTTTGGGGTTTTTTTTTGGGGAGGGGTCCCTAATTTGGGGAGGGGTCCCGCAGGATAAATTGGCATCTTTAGGCATTTTTTTGGGTCCAAAAATCCCAATTTTGCTCATTCCAGCCCCATTTCAACACCAAAATTTTGGGGTTTTTTTGGCCGTTTTTTGGCTTTTTTTGGTGGGATTTTTTTGGGGTTTTTTGGTGGGATTTTTTTGGGGATATTTTTGGGGATTTTTTGGGATTTTTTGGGTGGTTTTTTTTGGGGTTTTTTTTGGGTTTCTTTTTTGGGGAGGGGTCCCTAATTTGGGGAGGGGTCCTGAGGGAGGAAGGAGCATTTTTAGGCAGTTTTTTGGGGCCAAAAAGTGCGATTTTGGTTATTCCAGCCCCCTTTTAATGGTGAAATTTTGGGTTTTTTCGGCCGTTTTTTGCCTTTTTTCGGCCGTTTTTTGCCTTTTTTCGACGGGATTTTTTTGGGGGCGGGGTCCCAAATTTGGGGAGGGGTCCGGAATTCGGGGGGGGGTCCCTAATTTGGGTGGGGGTCCCGCAGGAGGAGGGCCGGCTGCTGTACCTGGGGCAGAACGAGTGGTGCCACGTCAACTGCGCCCTTTGGTCGGCCGAAGTCTTCGAGGAGGGCGACGGAACCCTCCGGAACGTCCACGCGGCCGTGGCCCGCGGCCGGCAGATGGTGAGGGTTTTGGGGCGAAATCCGGGGATTTTGGGAAAATTTGGGGAAATTTTGGGGTTTTTTGGGGTTTTTAGGTTGATTTTTGGTGGGATTTAGGGAAAGATTTGGGGTTTTTTTAGACGATTTTTGGGGGTTTTGAACCCTCCGGAACGTTCACGTGGTTGTCATCTGTGGCCGATAGATGGTGCCAATTTTGGGACGATTTTGGGCAATTTTGGGGGAATTTTGGGGTTTTTTGGGAAATTTTGGGGTTTTTGGGAAAGATTTGGGGTCAGATTTGGTGTTTTTGGGGGGGATTTGAGGTTTTTGGGACAGTTTTTGGGGCTTCAGATCCCTCCGGAACGTCCACGCGGCCGTGGCCCGCGGCCAGCAGATGGTGCGGATTTTGGGGTGAAATCCGGGGATTTTGGGAAAATTTGGGAAAATTTTGGGAAATTTTGGTGGTTTTGGGGGTGATTTTGGGGGTTTTTGGGGGGGATTTTGGGTGGGATTTCAGGTTTTTGGGGGTTCAGAACCCTCTGGAACGTCCACGCGGCCGTGGCAGATGGTGCAGATTTTGGGGCGAATTCCGGGGATTTTGGGAAATTTTGGGGCGATTTTGGGGGATTTTGGGAAATTTTAGGAAATTTCGGGAAATTTTTGGGATTTGGGGAAAAATTTTGGTGTTTTTGCGATGGTTTTTGGGGGTTCGGAACCCTCCGGAACGTCCACGCGGCCGTCGCCCGCGGCCGGCAGATGGTGCGGCTTTTGGGGTGAAATCCAAAGATTTTGGGAAATTTTGGGAAAATTTTGGGAAATTTTGGGGGATTTTAGGGTTTTTTTTGAAAGATTTGGGGTCAGATTTGGTGTTTTTCGGGGTTATTTTGGGGGGAATTTGGGGGGTTTTGAACCCTCCGGAACGTCCACGTGGTCGTCATCCACGGCCGGCAGATGGTGCGGGTTTTGGGGCGAAATCCGGGGATTTTGGGAAATTTGGGAAATTTTGGTGGTTTTGGGGGTGATTTTGGGGAAAATTTGGGATTTTTGGGGGTTCAAGAACCCTCTGGAACGTCCATGTGGTCGTCATCCACAGCCGGTAGATGGTGCCGATTTTGGGCAATTTTGGGGGGAATTCGGAGGATTTTGGGGCGATTTTGGGAGAATTTCGGGGATTTTGGGAAATTTTGGGGTTTTTAGGTTGATTTTGGGTGAGATTTTGGGGGGTTTTGGGGGTTTTTGGGGGTTCAGAACCCTCCGGAACGTCCACGTGGTCGCCATCCACAGATTGCAAATGGTCCCAATTTTGAGGGAATTTTGATGGATTTTGGGACAATTTTGAGGGATTTTGGGAAATTTTGGGAAATTTTGGGAAATTTTGGGAATTTTTTTGTGTTTTTTGGGGGATTTTGGGGGTTCAGAACCCTCCGGAACGTCCACGCGTGGTTGTCACCCGCGGATTGCAAATGGTGCCGATTTTGGGGCAATTTCGAGGGATTTTGGGACGATTTCGGGGCATTTTGGGCAATTTTGTGAAATTTTGGGTTTTTAGGGTGTTTTTGGGTTTTTTGGGGGTTTTTGGGGTGATTTTGGGTGGGATTTGGGGTTTTTTGGGGATTTTGGGGTTTCAGAACCCTCCGGAACGTCCACGCGGCCGTGGCCCGCGGCCGGCAGATGGTGCGGATTTTGGGGCGAAATCCAGGGATTTTGGGAAATTTCGGGAAATTTTGGCGGTTTTTTTGGGAAATTTTGGGAAATTTTTGGGGTTTTTGGGACGGTTTTTGGGGGTTTTTAACCCTCCGGAACGTCCACGTGGTCGTCACCCACACATTGCAAATGGTCCCAATTTTGGGGGAATTTCGGGGGATTTTGGGAAATTTTGGGGGATTTTGAAAAATTTTGGGAAATTTGGGAAATTTCTGGGGAATTTTGGGAATTTTTGGGAAAGATTTGGGGTTTTTGGGACAGTTTTTGGGGGTTTAGAACTCTCCAGAACGTCCACGTGGTCGTCATCCACGGCCGGTAGATGGTGCGAATTTTGAGGGGATTTTGGGTAATTTTGGGGTGATTTCGGGTGATTTTGGGCAATTTTGGGAAATTTTTGGGAAATTTTGGTGGTTTTGGGGAGGATTTTGGGGAAAATTTGGTGGTTTTGGGGGTTCAGAACTCTCCAGAACATCCACGCGGTCGTCACCCACGGCCGGCAGATGGTGCCGATTTTGGGGGAATTTCGGGGGATTTGGGGAAATTTTGGGGCGATTTTGGGGGATTTTGGGAAATTTTGGGAAATTTCTGGGTTTTTTGGGGGTTTTTCGGTTGATTTTGGGTGGGATTTGGGTGAAAATTGGAGTTTTTTGGGGGTTTTTGGGGGTTCAGAACCCTCCGGAACGTCCACGCGGCCGTGGCCCGCGGCTGGCAGATGGTGCGGATTTTGGGGGGATTTTGGAAAATTTTAGGAAATTTTGGGGAAAATTTTGGGGTTTTTTTTGGAGTTTTTGGGGGGATTTTGGGGAAATTTTGGGGTTTTGGGGCGGTTTTTGAGGGTTCAGAATGCTCCGGAACGTCCATGCAGCTGTGGCACGTGGCTGGCAGATGGTGCAGATTTTGGGGTGAAATCCAAAGATTTTGGGCAATTTTGGGGAAATTTTTGGATTTTTTGAGGGTTTTTGGGATTTTTGGGGGTTATTTTGGGGAAAATTTGGGGTTTTTGGGGGTTCAGAACCCTCCAAAATGTCCATGTCGTCGTCATCCACAGATTGCAAATGGTCCCAATTTTGAGGGAATTTTGATGGATTTTGGGACGATTTTGGGGGATTTTGGGAAATTTTTGGGTTTTTTTGGGTTTTCTTGGGGTTTTTTTGGATTTTTCGGGGTTATTTTGGGGGAAATTTGGGGTTTTTGGGGGTTCAGAACTCTCCAAAATGTGCATGTGGTCGTCATCCACGGATTGCAAATGGTGCTGATTTTGGGGGAATTTCGGGGGATTTTGGGACGATTTCGGGGGATTTTGGGCAGTTTTGGGAAATTTTGGGAAATTTTTGGTGGTTTTTTGGGGATTTTTGGGGGTTATTTTGGGGGGGATTTGGGGTTTTTGAGGGTTCAGAACCCTCCAAAATGTCCACGTGGTCGTCATCCACGGCCGGTAGATGGTGTGGATTTTAGGGCGAATTCAGGGGATTTTGGGAAATTTTGGGGGATTTTGAGAAATTTTGCAAAATTTTGCGAAATTTTGGGGGTTTTTGGGGTGTTTTTGGGGGGGTTTTGAGGTTTTTGGGACGATTTTTAAGGGTTCAGAACCCTCCAAAATGTCTACGTGGTCGTCATCCGTGGCCAGTAGATGGTGTGGATTTTGGGGTGAAATCCGGGGATTTTGGGAAATTTTGGGGGATTTTAGGGTTTTTTGGGTTTTTTTGGGATTTTTGGGGGTTATTTTGGGGGAAATTTGGGGTTTTTGGGGGTTCAGAACCCTCCGGAACGTCCACGTAGTCGTCATCCACGGCCGGTAGATGGTGCCGATTTTGGGGGGAAATCAGGGGATTTTGGGAAATTTTGGGGGAATTTTGGGAAATTTTTGGGCAATTTTGGGAAATTTCGGGGAATTTTGCGAAATTTTGCGAAATTTTGGGGTTTTTTGGGGTGTTTTTGGGGGTGATTTTGGGTGGGATTTGGGGTTTTTGTGGGTTCGGAACCCTCCGGAACGTCCACGCGGCCGTGGCCCGCGGCCGGCAGATGGTGCGGCTTTTGGGGTGAAATCCGGGAATTTTGGGAAAATTTGGGGGAATTTGGGAAAATTTTGGCAAATTTTGGGAAATTTTTGGGGTTTTTTGGGGGGTTTTTGGGGGTTCAGAATTCTCCGTAACGTCCGCGCGGTCGTCACCCGCGGATTGCAAATGGTCCTGATTTTGGGGGAATTTTGGGAAATTTTGGGGGATTTTGGGGCGAATTCCAGGGATTTTGGGAAATTTTGGGAAATTTTGGGAAATTTGAGAATTTTTGGGAAATTTTTTGGGGTTTTTGGGAGGTTTTTGGGGGTTCAGAACCCTCCGGAATGTCCATGTGGTCGTCATCCGTGGCCAGTAGATGGTGTGGATTTTGGGGCGAATTCCGGCAATTTTGGTCAATTTTGGGAAATTTTAGGGGATTTCAGGGTTTTTTTGGGGTTTTTTGGGGGTGATTTTGGGGGGGATTTGGGGTTTTTAGGGGGTTTTTGGGGGTTCAGAACCCTCCAGAACGTCCACGTGGTCGTCTTTCGTTGGCTGGTAGATGGTGCCAATTTTGGGGTGAATTCAGAGGATTTTGGGAAATTTTGGGGGATTTTGGGGTTTTTTGGGGTTTTTTGGGTTTTTTTGGGGTTTTTTGGAAAGATTTGGGGTCAGATTTGGTGTTTTGGGGGGTTATTTTGGGGAAAATTTGGGGGTTTTAAGGGTTCAGAACCCTCCAAAATGTCCACGTGGTCGTCATCCGCGGCTGGTAGATATTGCAGATTTCGGGGGGGGATTTTGGGGGGATTTTGGGAAATTTTGGGACGATTTCGGGGGATTTTGGGCAATTTTGGGAAATTTGGGGAAATTTTGGGGTTTTTGGGTGTGATTTTGGGTGGGATTTGGGTTTTTTTGGGGGTTCAGAACTGTCCAGAACATCCACGTGGTCGTCACCTGTGGCTGGTAGATGGTGCCGATTTTGGGAGGATTTTGGGGCAGATTGTGGGAAATTTTGGGGGATTTTGGGGGTTTTTTGGGTTTTTTTGGAAAGATTTGGGGTCAGATTTGGTGGTTTTGGGGGTTATTTTGGGGGAGATTTGGGATTTTTGGGGGTTCAGAACCCTCCGGAACGTCCACGCGGCCGTGGCCCGCGGCCGGCAGATGGTGAGGGTTTTGGGGCGAAATCCGGGGATTTTGGGAAAATTTGGGGAATTTTTGGGGCTTTTTTGGGGTAATTTTGGGATTTTTGGGGGTTATTTTTGGGGTTTTGGGGGGTTCAGAACTCTCCAGAATGTCCATGCGGTCGTCATCCGTGGCCAGTAGATGGTGCGGATTTTGGGGGGATTTTGGGGAATTTTGGGAAATTTTGGGGGGATTTTGGAGGATTTTGGGCAATTTGGGGAAATTTTGGGAAATTTTGGGGGTTTTAGGTTGATTTTTGGGGGGATTTTGGGTGAGATTTGGGGTTTTTGAGACGGTTTTTGGGGGTTCAGAACCCTCCGGAACGTCCACGCGGTCGTCACCCACGGATTGCAAATGGTCCCGATTTTGGGAGAATTTCGGGGGATTTTTGGGGATTTTGGGGGATTTTGGGGCGAATTCTGGGGATTTTGAGAAAATTTGGGGAAATTTTGGGAAATTTTGGTGGTTTTGGGGGTGATTTTGGGGAAAATTTGGGGATTTTGGGGGTTCAAGAACTCTCCAGAACGTCCACGTGGTCGTCATCCATGGCCGGTAGATGGAGCCGATTTTGGGAGATTTTGGGGGAATTTTAGGGGATTTTGAGAAATTTTTGGGGGAATTGGGGAAATTTTGAAAAAATTTGGGGGGTTTTGAGGTTTTTTGGGGTGATTTTGGGTGGGATTTGGGGTTTTTGGGGGTTCAGAACCCTCCGGAACGTCCACGCGGTCGTCATCCACGGCCGGTAGATGGTGCCAATTTTGGGGTGGATTTTGGAAAATTTTGGGAAAATTTGGGATTTTTTTGGGAAAATTTGGGAAATTTTGGGAATTTTTTGGAAATTTTTTGGGTTTTTTGGGGGATTTTGGGGGTGATTTGGAGGGTTTTGGGGGTTTTTGGGGGTTCAGAACTCTCCGGAACGTCCACATGGTCGTCATCTGTGGATGGCAAATGGTGATGATTTTGGGGGGATTTTTGGGGGATTTTGGGAAATTTTGGGGGGTGATTTTGGGAAATTTTGGGAAATTTTGGGAATTTTTTGGAAATTTTTTGGGTTTTTGGGGTTTTTTTGGGGTTTTTTGGGGGGTTTTTTGGGATTTTTGGGGGTTTTTAACCCTCCGGAACGTCCACGTGGTTGTCACCCACGGATTGCAAATGGTCCCGATTTGGGGGGAATTTCGGGGGATTTTGGGACGATTTCGGGGGATTTTGGGCAATTTTGGGAAATTTTGTGAAATTTTGCAAAATTTTTGGGTTTTTGGGGGTGATTTTGGGGGAAATTTTGCTTTTTTGGAGGTTCAGAACCCTCCAAAGTGTCCACGTGGTCGTCATCCACGGCCGGAGGATGGTGCGGATTTTGGGTGAAATCCGGGGATTTTGGGCAATTTTGGGGTTTTTTGGGTTTTTTTGGAAAGATTTGGGGTCAGATTTGGTGTTTTGGGGGGTTATTTTGGGGAAAATTTGGGGTATTTGGGGGTTCAGAACCCTCCAAAATGTGCATGTGGTCGTCATCCACAGATTGCAAATGGTCCCAATTTTGAGGGAATTTCGATGGATTTTGGGACAATTTTGAGGGATTTTGGGAAAATTTGGGAAATTTTTGGGAAATTTTGGGAAATTTTTGGTGGTTTTTTGGGTGATTTTGGGTGAGATTTGGGGTTTTTTGGGACGGTTTTTGAGGGTTTAGAACCCTCCAAAATGTCCACGTGGTTGTCATCCGCGGCGGATAGATGATGCCGATTTTGGGGCGATTTTGAGGCAGATTTTGGGAAATTTTGGGGGGATTTTGGGAGATATTGGGAAATTTTAGAAAGATTTGGGGAAATTGTTGGAAAATTTGGGGTTTTTTTGGGTGATTTTGGGGGTGATTTTGGGGAAAATTTGGGGTTTTTGGGGGTTCAGAACCCTCCGGAACGTCCACGCGGCCGTGGCCCGCGGCCGGCAGATGGTGCGGGTTTTGGGGCGAAATCCAAAGATTTTGGGAAATTTGGGAAATTTTTGGGAAAATTTGGGGAAATTTTGGGAAATTTTTAGGGTTTTTTGGGGGGATTTTGGGAGTTCAGAACCCTCCAAAATGTCCACGCGGTCGTCATCCACGGCCGGTAGATGGTGCGGATTTTGGGGGGATTTTGGGAAATTTTGGGGGAATTTTAGGGGATTTTGAGAAATTTTTGGGGGAATTGGGGAAATTTTGGAAAATTTTGGGAAATTTGGGTTTTTTTCGGGGTGATTTTTGGGGGTTATTTTTGGGGTTTTGGGTGTTCAGGACCCTCCAGAACATCCATGTCGTCGTCACCCATGGGTTGCAAATGGTCCCGATTTTGGGGGAATTTCGGGGGATTTTGGGACGATTTCAGGGGATTTTGGGCAGTTTTGGGATATTTTGCAAAATTTTGGTGGTTTTGGGGGGTTTTTGGGGGCGATTTTGGGGGAATTTTGGGGTTTTTGGGGGTTCAGAACCCTCCAAAATGTCCTCGTGGTTGTCATCTGCGGCCGGCAGATGGTGCGGGTTTTGGGGTGATTTTGGTGCAAATATGGGGGAATTTTGGAGGATTTTGAGAAATTTTTGGGGATTTTGGGAAATTTTGGGGGATTTGGGGGGTTTTTTGGGTTTTTTGGGGATTTTTGGGGGTTATTTTTGGGGGTTTTGGGGGTTCAGAACCCTCCGGAACGTCCATGCAGCCGTGGCCCGCGGCCGGTAGATGGTGCAGATTTTGGGGTGAAATCCAAAGATTTTGGGCAATTTTGGGAAATTTTGGGGGGGATTTGGAGATTCTTGGGGGAGTTTTTGGGGGTTCCTGGAGGAGGTTTTGGGGGATTTGTGGAGGAGGTTTTTGGGGGTTCCTGGGGGAGGTTTTTGGGCCTCACCCAGAAGATTTTTGGGCATTTTTTGGGGAGTCTCTAAAAAGATTTTGAGGGAGTTTTTGGATGAGGTTTTGAGGGATTTTTCGGGCATTCCTGTGAGAGTTTTTGGGGGTTCCTGCAGGAGTTTTTGAGGGTTCCTGGGGGACTTTTTGGGGGTTCCTTGGGGATATTTTTGGGCATTCTTGGAGGAGGTTTTGGGGGTTTCCTGGGGGAGATTTTGCAGGAGGTTTTGAGGGAGTTTTTGGGGGTTCCTGGGGGAGGTTTTTGGGGTTCACCCAACATCTTTTTGACCCTTTTTTGGGGGTTTCTGGGGGAGGTTTTTGGCCATTCCTGGGGGAGGTTTTGGAGGTTCCCTGGGGAGGTTTTTGGGGCTCACCCAGAAGATTTTGAAGGAGTTTTTGGGGGGGTTTTGAGGGAGTTTTTGGGGAGGTTTTTGGCCATTCCTGGGGGAGATTTTTGGGTGTTCTTGGGGGAGTTTTTGGGCATTCCTGCAGGAGTTTTTGGGGGTTCCTTGGGGAGGTTTTTGGACATTCCTGTGGGAGTTTTTGGGGCTTCCCTGGGCAGTTTTTTGGGTTCACCCAAAAGGTTTTTGATGGAGGTTTTGGGGGTCCCTGGAGGAGTTTTTTGGGGGTTCCTGGGGGAGTTTTTGGGCATTCCTGGGGGAGGTTTTTGGGGTTCACCCCGAAGATTTTGAGGGACATTTTAGGGGTTCCATGGGGAGTTTTTGGGGAAGTTTTTTGGGGTTCCTGCGGGAGTTTTTAGACATTCCTGGGAGAGGTTTTGGGGGTTCTGTGGGGAGGTTTTTGAGGCTCACCCAGAAGGTTTTTGGGCAGTTTTTTTGGGGCTCACCCCAAAGGTTTTGAGGGAGTTTTTGGGGGGGTTTGAGGGAGGTTTTGGGGGTTCCCTGGGGAGATTTTGGGGGTGGTTTTGGGGGGTTCCTGCGGGAGTTTTTGGGGCTTCCCTGGGGAGGTTTTGGGGCTCACCCAGAAGATTTTGAAGGAGTTTTTGGGGGGTTTTGAGGGAGTTTTTGGGGAGGTTTTTGGGCATTCCTGAAGGAATTTTTGGAGGAGGTTTTGAGGGAGTTTTTAGGGGTTCCTGTGGGGGTTTTTGGCCATTCTTGCAGGAGTTTTTGGGGGTTCCCTGGGGAGGTTTTTGGGGGTTCTCTTAAGGAGGTTTTTGGGCATTCCTGTGGGAGTTTTTGGGGGTTCCTGTGGGAATTTTTGAGCATTCCTCGAGGAGGTTTTGGGGGTTCCTTGGGGGAGATTTTGGGATTTCCTGCAGGAGTTTTTGGGGTTTCCTTGGGGAGGTTTTGGGCATTTTTTGGGGAGTCTCTAAGAAGGTTTTGAGGGAGTTTTTGGGGGTTCCTGCGGGAGTTTTTGGGGAACGTTTTGAGGGAGTTTTTGGGGGTTCCTTGGGGAGGTTTTTGGGCATTCCTGGAGGAGTTTTTGGGGCTTCCCTGGGCAGTTTTTTGGGGTTCACCCAGAAGGTTTTTGGGCAGTTTTTGGGGGGTCTCCAAGAATGGTTGGAGGGAGATTTTGGGGGTGGTTTTGGGGGGTTCCTGGGGGAGTTTTTGGATGAGGTTTTGAGGGAGTTTTTGGGGGTTCCTTGGGGAGATTTTTGGGCATTCCTGGGGAAGTTTTTGGGGTTTCCTTGGAGGAGATTTTGGGCATTCCTGGGGGAGATTTTTGGGGGTTCCCGTGGGAGTTTTTGGCCATTCCTGAGGGAGTTTTTGGGGGTTCCTGGGGGAGGTTTTTGGGCATTCCTGGAGGAGGTTTTGGGGGTTCTCTGGGGAGGTTTTTTGGGGCTCACCCAGAAGGTTTTGAAGGAGTTTTTGGGGGGGTTTTGAGGGAGTTTTTGAGGAGGTTTTTGGGCATTCCTGGAGGAGGTTTTGAGGGAGTTTTTGGGGGTTCCTTGGGGAGTTTTTGGGGCTTCCTGGGGGAATTTTTGGCCATTCCTGAAGGAGTTTTTGGGGGTTCTCTGGGGAGGTTTTTGAGGGTTCTCTTGAGGAGTTTTTGGGCATTCCTGGGGGAGTTTTTGAGGGTTCCTGTGGGAATTTTTGGACATTCCTGGAGGAATTTTTGGACAATTTCTGTGGGAGTTTTTGGCCATTCCTGTGGGAGTTTTTGGGCATTCTTGGAGGAATTTTTCAGGATTCCTGCAGGAGGTTTTTAGGCTTCACCCCACACCTTTTTCCCCATTTTTTGCTGCTTTTCTGACCTTTTTCCCCCTCTTTTACCCCAGCGCTGCGAGCACTGCGGCCGCCCCGGCGCCACCGTCGGCTGCTGCTTGGCCGCCTGCGCCGCCAACTTCCACTTCACGTGCGCCCGGCGCTGCCGCGCCGCCTTCCTCAGGGACAAGAGGGTCTTCTGCCAGCGGCACGGCCGGCTGCTGGCCGGGGAGGTGGGATTCGGGGGGGTTTAAGGGGGTTTCATGACATTTTGGGGGGTTCCATGGGGATTTTGGGGGTCCTGAGGGGGAATTGGGGGGTCCTGGGGGGGTTTTGGGGGGTCCTGGGGGGGGTTTGGGGGGTCCTGGAGGGCATTTGGGGGAAATTTGAGGGAATTTGGGGGGTTCTGAGGGGGATTTGGGGGGTCCTGGGGGGGATTTGAAGGAGATTTGGGGGATTTTGAGGCGTTTTATGGGGTTCCATAGGGATTTGGGGGGTCCTGAGACGGATTTTGGGGGTCATGAGGGGAATTTGGGGGTCCTGAGGGGGTTTTGGGGGGTGCTGGGGGGGGGTTTGGGGGATTTGGGGGGTGCTGGGGGGTGCTGGGCGGGGTTTTATGGGGGTTTTGGGGGGTTATGTTGGGTTAAAAATGAGGTTAGAGGCATCCAGAAAGGGTTTAGGGGGAATTTGGGGGGTCCTGGGGGGGATTTGGGGGTGTTTTATGGGGTACTGGGGGGATTTGGGGGGTCCTGGGGGGGGTCTTATGGAAGATTTGGGGGGTTTTGGGGGGTGTTTGGGGGTTTTGACGGGGTTTTATGGGGTACTGGAGGGGTTTTGGGGGGTTTTGGGGGGTTATATAGAGTTAGAAGTGAGGTGGGGGACATCCAGAAAGGGTTTTGGGGGAATTTGGGGAGTCCTGAGGGGGATTTGGGGGGTGCTGAGAGGGATTTGGGGGGTTTTATTGGGGTTTTGGGGGGTTTTATGGGGGTTTTGTGGGGTATCATGGGGGTTTTGGGGGGTTCCATGGGGATTTTGGGGGTCCTGAGGGGGATTTGGGGGGTCCTGGGGGGATTTTATGGGGATTTTATGGGGTTCTATGGGGTTTTATGGGGTACTGGGGGGGTTTTATGGGGTACCATGGGGGTTTTGGGGGGTTATATAGAGTTAAAAGGGAGGTGGGGGACATCTAGAAGGGGTTTTGGGGGAATTTGGGGAGTCCTGAGGGGGGATTTGGGGGTGTTTTATGGGATACTGGGGGGATTTGGGGGGTCCTGGGGGGGTTTTATGGGGTTCTATGGGGGTTTTATGGGGTACTGGGGGGGATTTGGGGGGGATTTGGGGGAGATTTGGGGGGGTTTGGGGGGGATTTGGGGGAGATTTGGGGGGTGCTTGGGGGGGTTTGGGGGGGTGCTGGGGGGGTTTGGGGTATCCTGAGGGAGATTTGGGGGAGAATTGGGGGAGATTTGGGGGGGATTTGGGGGGTCCTGGGGCGCTTTAAGGGGGTTTTATGGGGTTCCATGGGGGTTCCATGGGGGTTTTATGGGGTTCCATGGGGGATTTGGGGGGTTCTGGGTCGGTTTGGGGGGGATTTGGGGGGTTTTATGGGGGATTTAGGGGGTGCTGAGGGGGATTTGGGGGGGATTTGGGGGTTCTGAGTGGGATTTGGGGGCTGCTGGGGGGGATTTGAGGGATTTGGGGGGGATTTGGGGGATTTGGGGGGGATTTGGGGGGAATTTGGGGGGTTTGGGGGGTCCTGGGGGGCGTTTGGGGGGGGGTTGGGGTGTATTGGGGGGGTTTTAGGGGGTTCCTTGGGGGTTTTATGGGGGTTTGGGGGGTTCATGTGGGGTTATATTGAGTTAGAAATGAGGTGGGGGACATCGAAAAAGGGTTTAGGGGGGTCTGGGGGGGATTTGGGGAGCGCTGGGGGGGATTTGGGGGGTCATGGGGGGGATTTGGGAGGGATTTCGGGGGTTTTATTGGGGTTTTGTGGGGTACTGGGGGGGTTTTGTGGGGTTTTAGGGAGTTCCTTGGAGGTTTTGGGTGATCCCGTAGAAATTTGGGGGGTCCTGGGGGGCATTTGGGGGGTTCCATTGGGGTTTTGGGGGGGTTTGAAGTGTTTTATGGGGTTCCTTGGGGGTTTTATGGGGTTCCATGGGGATTTGGGGGGTCCTGAGGGGGATTTGGGGGGTCCTGAGGGGGATTTGGGGAAAATTTGGGGGTTTTATGGGGTTTTATGGGGGTTTTATGGGGTACTGGGGGGAGATTTGGGGGCTTTGTGGGGTTCTATGGGGATTCATGTGGGTTTTGGGGGGTCCTGAGGGGGATTTGGGGTATCCTGAGGGAGATTTGGGGGAGATTTGGGGGATTTTGTGGGGTTTTATGGGGTACTGGGGGGAGATTTGGGGGGTTTTGGGGGGGGGGTTTGGGGGATTTGGGGGTGATTTGGGGGGTCCTGGGGGGTTTGGGGGGGATTTGGGGGGTGCTGAGAGGGATTTGGGGGGTTTGGGGGGGATTGGGGGAGATTTGGGGGGTTCCTTGGGGGGTCCTGGGGGGGTTTTGGGGGGTTCATGTGGAATTATGTGGAGTTTCAGGGATCCTGATGCGACTTTGAGGGATCCTGGGGGGGATTTGGGGGGTCCTGGGGGGATTTGGGGGGGATTTGGGGGGGATTGGGGGGAATTGGGGGAAAATTGGGGGGTTTGGGGGGTTTTATGGGGGTTTTGGGGGGTACTGGGGGGTTAACATGGGGTTATGTTGGGGAAGAAATGAGGTTAGAGGCATCCTGAAGGGTATTTGGGGGGTCCTGGGGGGGATTTGGAGAAGATTTGGGGGATTTTGAGGGGTTTTATGGGGTTCCTTGGGGGTTTTGGGAGGTCCTGGGGGGGATATGGGGGGTCCTGAGGGAAATTTGGGGGAAGTTTCGGGGGTTTCATGGGGGTTTTGGGGGATTTTTTGGGGATCTCAAAATGGATTTTGGGGTTCGTGGGTGGATTTTGGGGTTTTTGGGGGCGCCGAGTTGGATTTTGGGGGTTCCTGGGGTGGATTTTTGGGATTTTAGGGTTTCCTGGGATGAATTTTGGGGTTCCTGGGATGGATTTTGGGGTTTTTGGGGGTGCTGAGTTGGATTTTGGGGTTTTTGGGGTGGATTTTGGGGTTCCTGGGATGGATTTTGCGGTAATTTTTGGTGGTTTTGGGGTTTTTGGGGTTTCTCAGGATGGATTTTGGGGTGGATTTGGGGATTTTTGGTGTTTTTGGGGTGGATTTGGGGGTTTTCGGGGGCGCCGAGTCGGATTTTGGGGTTCCCGGGATGGATTTTGGGGTGGATTTTGGGGTTCCTTGGGATGGATTTTGGGGTGAATTTTGGGTTTTTGGGGTGTATTTTGGGGTTTTTGGTGTTTTCAGGGTGGATTTTGGGGTTTCTGGTGTCTATTTTGGGGTTTTTTGGGGCGCCGAGTCGGATTTTGGGGTTCCCTGACTGATTTTGGTGTTTTGGGGGGTTTCTCAGGATGGATTTTGGGGTGGATTTTGGGGTTTTTGGTGTTTTTGGGGTGGATTTGGGGGTTTTCTAGGGCGCCAAGTTGGACTTTGGGGTTTTCGGGGGCGCCGAGTCAGATTTTGGTGTTTTTCGGGGTTTCTCAGGATGGATTTTGGGGTGGATTTTGGGGATTTTGAGGTTCCTCGGTTGGATTTTGGTGTTTTTTGGGGGTTCCTGGGTGGATTTTGGTGGTTTTGGGGTGGATTTTGGGGTTTTTTGGTGTTTTCAGGGTGGATTTTGGGGTTTTTGGTGTCTATTTTGGGGTTTTTGGGGGCCCTAAATCAGATTTTGGGGTCCCCTGACCGATTTTGGGGTCCCCTGACCGATTTTGGGGTGTCCCAGGATCTGGTGCGCGACGGGGCCTTCGCGGTGCTGCGCCGCGTCCTGGTGGATTTTGGGGTTCCCGGGATGAATTTTGGGGTTTTTGGGGTTCCCGGGTTGGATTTTGGGTTTTTAGGGCGGATTTTGGGGTTTTTGGGGGGTTCCTGGGTGAATTTTGGTGTTTTTGGGGTGGATTTGGGGGTTTTTGGGGTTCCTGGGTTGGAATTTGGGGTTCCTGGTGTGGATTTTGGGGTTTTTGGGGTTTCTCGGGATGGATTTTGAGGTTTTTTGTGGTTTTGGGGTGGATTTGGGGGTTTTCAGGGGCGCCAAATCAGATTTTGGGGTTCCCAAATGGATTTTGGGGTTCTGTGGGATGGATTTTGTGGTTTCTCGGGATGGATTTTGGGGTGGATTTTGGGGTTTTCGGGGTTCCTGAGTTGGATTTTTGGGTTCCTGGGTGGATTTGGGGGATTTTAGGGTTTCTCGGGATGGATTTTGGGGTGGATTTTGGGGATTTTGGGGTTTCTCGGGATGGATTTTGGGGTTCCTGGGATGGATTTTGGGGTTCCCAGGATGGATTTGGGGGTCCCTGGTGTGGATTTTGGGGTTCCTGGGTTGGATTTTGGGGTTTCTCAGGATGGGTTTTGGGGTGGGTTTTGGTGTTTTTAGGGTGGATTTTGGGTTTTTTTGGGGTTCCCGGGAGGGATTTTTGGGTGGATTTTGGGGGTTTTGGGGTTTCTGGTGTCTATTTTGGGGTTTTTGGGGTTCCTGGAATGGATTTTGGGGTGGATTTTGGGGTGGATTTGGGTGTTTTTGGGATGAATTTTGGGGTTTTCGGGGGCGCCGAGTCAGATTTTGGGGTCCCCTGACTGATTCTGGGGTCCCCTGACCGATTTTGGGGTTCCCAGGACCTGGTGCGCGACGGGGCCTTCGCGGTGCTGCGCCGCGTCCTGGTGGATTTTGGGGTTCCCGGGACGGATTTTGGGGTTTTTGGGGGCTCTGAGTTGGATTTTGGGGTTCCCCTGATGATTTTGGTGTTTTTAGGGTGGATTTTGGGGTTCCCGGGCTGGATTTTGGGGTTCCTGTGGTGAATTTTGGTGGTTTTTGGGGTGGATTTTGGGGTTTTTGAAGGTTCCTGGGCGGATTTTGGTGTTTTCAGGATGGATTTTGGGGTGGATTTTGGTGTTTCTGGTGTCTATTTTGGGGTTTTCGGGGGTGCTGAGTCAGATTTTGGGGTTCCCAGGATGGATTTTGGGGTTTCTCGGGATGGATTTTGGGGTAATTTTTGGTGGTTTTGGGGTGTATTTTGGGGTTTTTGGGAGTTCCCGGGATGGATTTTGGGGTTTTTGGGGCACCAAGTCAGATTTTGGGGTTCCCGGGTTGGATTTTGAGGTTTTTGGGGTGGATTTTGTTGGTTTTGGGGTTCCCGAGTCAGATTTTGGGGTTCCCGAGATTAATTTTGGGGTTTTTGGGGTGGATTTTGAGGATTTTTTGGATGGATTTTGGGGTGGATTTTGGTGGTTTTGGGATTCCTGGTGTGGATTTTGGGGTTTTCGGGGTCGCCGAGTCAGATTTTGGGGTTCCCAAATGGATTTTGGGGTTCCTGGGATGAATTTTGGGGTTCCCTTCGTGATTTTGGGGTGTCGCAGGACCTGGTGCGCGACGGGGCCTTCGCGGTGCTGCGCCGCGTCCTGGTGGATTTTGGGGGGATCAGCCTCAAGAGGAAATTTTTGGGGGGTCTCGAGCCCGAAGCCGTGAACGTCATGATCGGTAAAGGGGGGGGAGGGGGGGACCCCGAATTTGGGGAGGGGGCCCGGGTTGGGGGGTTTGGGTTTTTGGGGGAATTTGGGATTTTTTGGGGGGTTTTGGGGGGGATTTTGGGGAGATTTGGGTTTTTTTCGGGGATTTTTTGGGGGGATTTTGGGTTTTTGGGGAATTTTGGGGGGATTTTGGGGAATTTCTGGGGGGTTGTGGTAGAATTTTTGGGGATTTTTTGGAGGGTTTGGGGGTGGTTTTGGGGGCATTTTGGGTTTTTGGGGGGATTTTTTCGGAAATTTTGGGGGGGTTTGGAGGAATTTGGGTTTTTTTAGGCTTTTTGGGGGGTTTTGGGGTCGTCTAAGGGAAATTTTGGGGTTTTTTGGGGTGGTTTTGGGTGGGTTTTGGGGGGATTTTGGGGTTTTTTGGGGGGATTTTGGGGTTTTTGGGGGGGATTTTGGGGAATTTTTGGGGAATTTTTGGGGGGTTTTGGGGGGATTTTGGGATTTTTTGGGGATTTTTTGGGGGGGTTGGGGGCATTTTGGGTGCTTTGGGGGATTTTTGGGGGATTTGGGGGAATTTTAAGGCATTTTGGGGTTTTTGGGGGGTTTTGGAGGGATTTTGTGGGGGCTTTTCGGGAGGTTTTTGGGGGATTTTGGGTTTTTTGGGGATTTTTGGGAGGGGGTTTGGGGAGGTTTTGGGTGGGTTTTGGGGTTTTTTTGGTTTTTTTGAAGGGTTTTGGGGGGATTTTTGGTTTTTGGGGGGATTTTTGGTTTTTGGGGGGATTTTTTGGGGGTTTTGGGGAGGTTTTGGGGGGATTTGGGGTTTTTTGAGGGATTTTGTGGGCTTTTGGGAAGGCTTTGGGGGGATTTTTGGGGAGGTTTTGGGAAGATTTTGGATTTTTTGGGAGTTTTGGGGATTTTGGAGGGTTTTGCGGGGATTTTGGGGACCTTTAGGCAGAATTTAGGGGTTTTCCAGGCGGTTTTTGGGGGGTTTTGGGGTGTTTTTTGGGTGATTTTGGCCATTTCAGTGTCTCATTAAGGCTTTGCCTATTTTTGACTATTTTTGGGCTGATTTGGGCTGATTTGGGTGCCGATTTTTGGCTATTTTTGGGGTGATTTGGGTGCCGATTTTTATGTATTTTTCTGCAATTTTGGGTGATTTTGGGCCATTTCAGTGTCTCATTAAGGCTTTGGCTGTTTTTGGCTATTTTTGGCTATTTTTGGGTTATTTTGGGGTAATTTGGGTGCTGATTTTTGACCGTTTTTGGGCCATTTTTGGGTGATTTTGGTGCCGATTTTTGATCGTTTTTGTGTATTTTTGGGTGATTTCAGTGCCATTTTTTGAACTTTTTTGGCATTTTTGGGTGATTCCAGTGCCGATTTTTGAGCGGTTTTGGGCAATTTTGGGGTGCTTTTGGGCCATTTCAGTGTCTCTGCAGGGATTCAGTTATTTTTGGCTATTTTTGGGCTGATTTGGGGTGACTTCAGTGCCATTTTTTGAACTTTTTTGGCATTTTTGGGTGATTTGGGTGCCGATTTTTGAGCGTTTTTGGGTCATTTTTGAAAGATTTTGGTGCCAATTTTTGAGCATTTTTGGGCACTTTTGGGTGATTTTGGTGCTGTTTTTTCTGCATTTTGGGGTGATTTTGGGCCATTTCAGTGTCTCTGTGCGGCTTTGGCCATTTTTGGCTATTTTTGGTCTATTTTGGGCTGATTTGGGTGCCGATTTTTATGTATTTTTCTGCATTTTTGGGTGATTTTGGGCCATATCTGTATCTCTGCAAGTCTTTGACTAGTTTTGGCCATTTTTGGCCATTTTTGGGCTGATTTGGCTGATTTCGGTGCCGATTTTTGACTATTTTTGGGTCATTTTTGGGTGATTTGGGTGCCAATTTTTGAGCGTTTTTGGGTCATCTTTGGATGATTTCGGTGCCAATTTTTGATCGATTTTTGGCATTTTTGGGTGATTTTGGGCCATTTCAGTGTCTCTACAAGGCTTTGGGTATTTTTGGCTATTTTTGGCTATTTTTGGGCTGATTTGGGGTGACTTCAGTGCCATTTTTTGAACTTTTTTGGCATTTTTGGATGATTTCGGTGCCGATTTTTGAGCATTTTTGGGCATTTTTGGGGTGATTTCTGTGCCGTTTTTTGAACTTTTTTGGCATTTTTGGGTGATATCGATGCTGTTTTTTCCGTATTTTTCTGTATTTTTGGGTGATTTTGGTGCTGTTTTTTCCGCATTTTTGGGTGATTTTGGACCATTTCAGTGTCTCATTACGGCTTTGACCATTTTTGGCCATTTTTGACCATTTTTGGTCCATTTTGGGCTGATTTTGGCACCGATTTTTGACCATTTTTGTCAATTTTTCCCCGTTCCAGGCTCCATCCGCATTGACCACCTGGGGGCGCTCTCGGAGCTGTCGGAGCGCGACGGGCGCCTCTTCCCAGTGGGATACACGTGAGTTACTGGTTTATACTGGTTTATACTGGTTTATACTGGTTTGTACTGGTTTGTACTGGTTTGTACTGGTTTATAGTGGGAGGGACTGGTTTATACTGGGAGGGACTGGTTTATACTGGGAGGGACTGGGAGGGACTGGTTTGTACTGGTTTATACTGGTTTATACTGGGAGGGACTGGTTTATACTGGTTATACTGGTTTGTACTGGTTTATACTGGTTTGTACTGGTTTGGACTAGTTTATACTGGTTTGTACTGGTTTATACTGGTTTATACTGGTTTATACTGGTTTATACTGGTTTGTACTGGTTTATACTGGTTTATACTGGGAGGGACTGGGAGGGACTGGTTTGGACTGGTTTGTACTGGTTTATACTGGTTTATACTGGGAGGGACTGGGAGGGACTGGGAGGGACTGGTTTATACTGGTTATACTGGTTTGGATTGGTTTGTACTGGTTTATACTGGTTTATACTGGTTTGTACTGGTTTATACTGGAGGGCGCCTCTTCCCGCTGGGATACACGTGAGTTATACTGGTTATACTGGTTTGTACTGGGAGGGACTGGGAGGGACTGGTTTATACTGGTTTATACTGGTTTGTACTGGGAGGGACTGGTTTATACTGGTTTATACTGGGAGAGACTGGGGGGCGCCTCTTCCCGCTGGGATACACGTGAGTTAAACTGGTTTATACTGGTTTGTACTGGGAGGGACTGGGAGGGACTGGTTTGTACTGGTTTATACTGGTTTGTACTGGGAGGGACTGGTTTGGACTGGGAGGGACTCGTTTATACTGGTTTATACTGGTTTGGACTGGTTTATACTGGTTTGTACTGGTTTGTACTGGTTTATACTGGTAGGGACTGGTTTGTACTGGTTTATACTGGGAGGGACTGGTTTATACTGGTTATACTGGTTTGTACTGGTTTATACTGGTTTGTACTGGTTTGTACTGGGAGGGACTGGGAGGGACTGGGAGGGACTGGGAGGGACTGGTTTATACTGGTTTGGACTGGTTTGGACTGGTTTGTACTGGTTTATACTGGTCCATACTGGTTTATACTGGTTCTAACTGGTTTATACTGGTTTATACTGGTTCTAACTGGTTTATACTGGTTCTAACTGGTTTATACTGGTTTATACTGGTTCCAGGTGCTGGCGGCTGTACTGGAGCACGCGGGACCCCCACTGGGTTATACTGGTTTATACTGGTTTATACTGGTCCATAGGGCTCTATGGGGGTTTATACTGGGTTATACTGGTCCATACTGGTTTGTACTGGTTCTAACTGGTTTATACTGGTTTGTACTGGTTCTAACTGGTTTATACTGGTTTATACTGGTTCCAGGTGCTGGCGGCTGTACTGGAGCACGCGGGACCCCCACTGGGTTATACTGGTTTATACTGGTCCATAGGGCTCTATAGGGGTTTATACTGGTCCATACTGGTTTATACTGGTTTATACTGGTTCTAACTGGTCTATACTGGTTCTAACTGGTTTATACTGGTTTATACTGGTTCCAGGTGCTGGCGGCTGTACTGGAGCACGCGGGACCCCCACTGGGTTATACTGGTTTATACTGGTTTATACTGGTCCATAGGGCTCTATAGGGGTTTTTTTGGGTCCATACTGGTCTATACTGGTTTATACTGGTTTATACTGGTTCTAACTGGTTTATACTGGTTTATACTGGTTCCAGGTGCTGGCGGCTGTACTGGAGCACGCGGGACCCCCACTGGGTTATACTGGTTTATACTGGTTTATACTGGTCCATAGGGCTCTATAGGGGTTTATACTGGTTTATACTGGTTTATACTGGTTTATACTGGTTTATACTGGTTCTAACTGGTTTATACTGGTTCTAACTGGTTTATACTGGTTTATACTGGTTCCAGGTGCTGGCGGCTGTACTGGAGCACGCGGGACCCCCGCCGCCGGTGCTGGTACCGCTGTCGGATTCTGGAACATTCCCCCGGCCCCGAGGGGGGTGGGGGAGGGGCCGGGACCCCCCCGGGACCCCCCCCGAACACAACCGGACCATCGCCCACGGCAGCCCCGGTAACGGACCCCTCCCCAAATTCACCCAAAATCGGCCAAATTCACCCCAAATTCAGCCCCGAGACCCCTCCCCAAATTTACCCGAAATTTACCTAAAATTGCCCCAAGACCCCTCCTCAAATTTACCCAAAATTGCCCAAATTCATCCCAAATTCATCCCGAATTCATCCCCGAGACCCCTCCCCAAATTCACCCGAATTTACATGAAATTTACCCAAAATTACCCTGAGACCTCTCCCCAAATTTCACTGAAATCGCCTGAAATGGCCCCAAATTCGTCCCAAAATCGTCCCGAGACCCCTCCCCAAATTCACCCAAAATCGCCCAAATTCACCCCAAAATCGCCCTGAGACCCCTCCCCAAATTCACCCAAAATCAGCCAAATTCACCCCAAAATCGCCCTGAGACCCCTCCCCAAATTTACCCAAAATCGGCCAAATTCACCCCAAAATTCATCCCAAATTCATCCCCGAGACCCCTCCCCAAATTTACCCAAAATCGGCCAAATTCACCCCAAATTCATCCCAAATTCAGCCCCGAGACCCCTCCCAAAATTTAGTCAAAATCGCCCCAAATTTAGCCCAAGACCCCTCCCCAAATTCACCCAAAATCGGCCAAATTCACCCCAAAATTATCCCTGAGACCCCTCCCCAAATTCACCCAAAATCGGCCAAATTCATCCCAAATTCATCCCAAATTCAGCCCCGAGACCCCTCCCCAAATTTACCCGAATTTACCCAAAATTGCCCAAATTCAGCCCAAATTCAGCCCCGAGACCCCTCCCCAAATTTACCCAAAATCGGCCAAATTCACCCCAAATTCATCCCAAATTCAGCCCCGAGACCCCTCCCCAAATTTACCCAAAATCACCCAAATTCATCTCCCAAATTCATCCCTCCCCAAATTTCCCCAAATTTCACTGAATTTACCCCAAATTCATCCCCGAGACCCCTCGCCAAAGTCACCCAAAATCGCCCCAAATTTACCCAAATTCATCACCGAGACCCCTCCCCAAATTTACCCAAAATCGCCCAAATTTACCCCTGAGAGCCCTCCCCAAATTTCACTGAAATCGCCGGAAATTTACCCAAAATTGCCCCCGAGACCCCTCCCCAAATTTAGCCAAAATCGGCCAAATTCACCCCAAATTCAGCCCCGAGACCCCTCCCCAAATTTAACCAAAATCGGCTGAAATTTACCCAAATTTACCCCCGAGACCCCTCCCCAAATTTCACCGAAATTGCCTGAAATTTACCCAAAATTGCCCCCGAGACCCCTCCCCAAATTTAACCGAAATTGGCCGAAATTTACCCAAAATTATCCCCGAGACCCCTCCCCAAATTTAACCGAAATCGCCCCAAATTTACCCAAATTCACCCTGAGATCCCTCACCAAATTTACCTGAAATTTACCCCCGAGACCCCTCCCCAAATTGAACCGAAATCGCCCCAAAATTGCCCCGAGACCCCTCCCCAAATTCACCCAAAATTGCCCAAATTTACTCCTGAGACCCCTCCCCAAATTTACCCAAAATCGCCCAAAATTGCCCCGAGACCCCTCCCCAAATTCACCCAAATTTACCCAAATTTACCCAGAGACCCCTCCCCAAATTCCCGTGACCCCTCCCCCACCCAGAGACCCCTCCCCAAATTCACCCAAATTTACCCCTGAGACCCCTCCCCAAATTCACCCAAATTCATCCCAAATTCATCCCAAATTCATCCCGAGACCCCTCCCCAAATTTACCCAAACTCACCCCAAAATCACCCTGAGACCCATCCCCAAATTCATCCCGAGACCCCTCCCCAAATTTACCAAAAATCGCCCAAATTCATCCCAAAATCGCTTCGAGACCCCTTCCCAAATTTACCCAAATTTACACCTGAGACCCCTCCCCAAATTCACCCAAAATCGCCCCAAGACCCCTCCCCAAAATCATCCAAAATTGCCCAAATTTACCCAAATTTACCCCGAGACCCCTCCCCAAATTCATTCCTCGAGCCTCCCCAGCCCCTCCCCCACCCAAAGACCCCTCCCCAAATTCCCCCGTGACCTCTTCCCCACCCAAAGACCCCTCCCCAAATTCCCCCTGTGACCCCTCCCCCACCCAGAGACCCCTCCCCAAATTTACCCAAATTCATCCCTGAGACCCCTCCCCAAATTTACCCAAATTCATCCTTGAGACCCCTCCCCAAATTCACCCAAATTTACCCAAATTCACCCTGAGACCCCTCCCCAAATTCACCCAAAATCGCCCAAATTCATCCCAAATTTCCCCCAAGACCCCTCCCCAAATTCACCCAAATTTACCCCGAGACCCCTCCCCAAATTTACCCGAAATTGCCCCAAATTTACCCCGAGACCCCTCCCCAAATTTATCCGAATTTACCCCAAATTTACCCCGAGACCCCTCCCCAAATTCCCGTGACCCCTTCCCAAATTCCCGTGACCCCTCCCCATTTTTGGGGGGGTGGGGGAGGGGACTCAGCCCCTCCCCCCCCCAATTTCCGCCCCTCCCCCCCCGCAGGTTCCAGCCCGGGACCCCCGCCCGGCCCGGGGGGGGAGGGGCAGCGACCGCCCCTCCCCCACCCCCCACTGCCCCTCCCCCCACTGCCCCTCCCCCCCCCGGGGGTCTCCCCCTCCCCCCGCCGGCCCCTCCCCCACCCGGGTGAGTCGGGGACCGGAAATTTGGGGGGATTTTGGGGGGATTTGGGGGGATTTTGGGGGGATTTGGGGATTTTGGGGGGGGATTGAGGAAATTTGGGAACATATTGGGGAAATTTAAGGGGATTTTGGGGGGATTTTGGGGGGGAATTTGGGACATTTTGGGGAAATTTGGGGGGTTTGGGGGAAATTTGGGGAGATTTAAGGGGATTTTGGGGGGATTTTGAGGGGATTTTGGGGGGATTTTGGGGGATTTTGGGGAAATTTGGGGGATTTGGGGATTTTGGTGGGGGGATTGAGGACATTTGGGGACATTTTGGGGCGATTTTGGGACATTTTGGGGAAATTTGGGGAAATTTGGGGTGATTTGGGGATTTTGTGGGTGACTTTGAGGGGATTTGGAAATTTTTGGGGGAAATTTGGGGGGATTTCGGGTTTTTGGGGGAAATTTTGGGGAGATTTGGGGGGATTTGGGGACATTTGGGAACATTTGGGGACATTTTGGGGAAATTTGGGGGGATTTTGTGATTTTGGAGGGGATTTTGGGGGGGTTGGGGGGATTTTGGGGTGATTTGGGGATTTTGGGGGGATTTGGAGATTTTGGGGTGATTTGGGGATTTTGGGGGGATTTGGACATTTTGGGGGGATTTGGGGATTTTGGGGTCATTTGGGTGGATTTGGGAATATTTTGGGGACATTTCGGGACATTTTGAGGACATTTGGGGGGGTTTGGTGATTTTGGGGGGATTTGGGGATTTTGGGGGGATTTTGGTGCCATTTTGGGGACATTTGGGGCCATTGTGACATTTTGGGACATTTGGGAACATTTGGGGCCATTTTGGGGACATTTGAGGACATTTTGGTGACATTTTGGTGTCATTTGGGGACATTTTGGGACATTTGGGGACATTTTGGGGAAATTTGGGGGGATTTGGGGATTTTGGGGGGATTTGGGGATTTTGGGGATTTTCGGGGGGTTTGGGGATTTTGGGGTGATTTGGGGAAATTTGGGGGGATTTTGGAACATTTTGGGGGGATTTTGGGGATTTTGGGGTCATTTGGGTGGAATTGAGGACATTTTGGGACATTTTGGGGACATTTGGGGACATTTTGGGGATATTTGGGGAAATTTGGGGTAGATCCGGGCGGGATTTGGGGTCATTTTGGGACATTTTGGGGGGTTTTTGACATTTTGGGGACATTTTGGGACATTTTTGTGACATTTTGGGATTTTAGGAACATTTGGGGGGATTTGGGGACATTTGGGGAAATTTGAGGGGATTCTTGGAGGATTTGGGAACATTTTGGGACATTTTGGGGAAATTTGGGGGAATTTTGGGAAGGATTTGGGGACATTTTGGGGAAATTTGGGGGGATTTGGGGATTTTGGGGGATTTGGGGATTTTGGGGATTTTCGGGGGGTTTGGGGATTTTGGGGGGATTTGGGGAGATTTTTTTGGGACATTTTGGTGTCATTTGGGGACATTTTTGGGACATTTGGGGACATTTTGGGGAAATTTGGGGGGATTTGGGGGGGGGTTGGGGATATTTTGGGGACATTTGGGTATTTTGTGGGGGGATTTTGGGGGGGGTTTGGGGATTTTGGGGGAATTTTGGGACATTTTGGGGAAATTTGGGGGGATTTTGGGGGGATTTGGGGATTTTGGGGGGGATTTCATGGGGGTTTGGGGACATTTTGGGAGATTTGGGGATTTTGAGAACATTTGGGGGGATATTGGGGAGGTTTGGGGACATTTTGGGGGGTTTTCGGGATTTTGGGGATGTTTTGGGGAAATTTGGGGGATTTGGGGATTTTGGGGGGGATTTTAGGGGGGACATTTTGGGACATTTTGGGGGGATTTGGGGATTTTGGGGGGATTTGGGGGGATTTGGGACGTTTTGGTGGGATTTAGGGATTTTGGGGACATTTGGGGACATTTGGGGGATACTTTGGGACATTTTGGAGAAATATGGGCGGATTTGGGGACATTTTGGGGGAATTTGGGGATTTTGGGGGGATTTTGGGGGGATTTGTGGAGATTTGGGGACATTTGGGGACATTTTGGGGGGATTTGGGGACAATTTGGGGGGATTTGGGGATTTTGGGGTCATTTGGGTGGATTTGGGGATATTTTGGGGACATTTCGGGACATTTTGAGGACATTTGGGGGGGTTTGGGGATTTAGGGGGAATTTCTGGATTTTGGGGGGATTTTGGGGGGATTTGGGGACATTCGGGTGGATTTTGGGGGAATTGGGGTAATTTTGGGTACATTTGGGGACAATTTGGGACATTTTGGGGAGATTTGGGGGGAATTGGGGTAATTTTGGGACATTTTGGGGGATTTTGGGGGAATTTGGGGATTTTGGGAACGATTTTGGGGACATTTTGGGACATTTTGGGGACACTTTGGGACATTTTGGGACATTTTGGGGCCATTTGGGGCCATTTTCGGATATTTTGGGGACATTTTGGGTCACTGGTGACATTTTGGTGACATTTGGTGACACTTTCCTGCCACCCCCCCAGGCCACCCACCACCGCCGCGTCACATCCCCAACCTTGGGGACACCGAAGTGCCACCGAGGCCACGGCGGCCACCGCCGAGGTCAGTGTCACCTCCCGGTGTCATTGTCACCTCTGTGGTGGCATTGTCACCCCCTCAGTGTCATTGTCACCTCCTCGGTGTCACCTCAGTGCCATTGTCACCCTCAGGTCGATGCCACTCCCGAGGCCATCGTCACCCAAGGGTGCGGTGGCACCTCCGATGTCACCGTCGGTGTCACCTCCAGGGCCACCACAGGGTTGGGGACACGTCACCACCAGGTTGGTGTCACCTCCTTATTGTCACCTTATTGTCACCTTAATGTCACCTTAATGTCACCTCAGTGTCACCTTAATGTCACCTTAATGTCACCGAATTGTCACCTCAGTGTCACCTCATTGTCACCTCAATGTCACCTCATTGTCACCTCATTGTCACCGAATTGTCACCTCATTGTCACCTCAGTGTCACCTCAGTGTCACCGAATTGTCACCTCAGTGTCACCTCATTGTCACCTTAATGTCACCGAATTGTCACCTCATTGTCACCTTAATGTCACCTCAGTGTCACCTTATTGTCACCTCATTGTCACCTCAGTGTCACCTCATTGTCACCTCAGTGTCACCTTAATGTCACCTTATTGTCACCTCATTGTCACCTCAGTGTCACCTTAATGTCACCTTAATGTCACCGAATTGTCACCTCATTGTCACCTCAGTGTCACCTCAGTGTCACCTCAGTGTCACCTCAGTGTCACCTCAGTGTCACCTCATTGTCACCTCATTGTCACCTCAGTGTCACCTCAGTGTCACCTTAATGTCACCCTCATTGTCACCTCAGTGTCACCTCAGTGTCACCTCATTGTCACCTCAGTGTCACCTCATTGTCACCTCAGTGTCACCTCATTGTCACCAAATTGTCACCTCAGTGTCACCTCATTGTCACCTTAATGTCACCTTATTGTCACCTCAGTGTCACCTCAGTGTCACCTCAGTGTCACCTCATTGTCACCTCATTGTCACCTTAATGTCACCTCAATGTCACCTCATTGTCACCTCAGTGTCACCTCATTGTCACCGAATTGTCACCGAATTGTCACCTCATTGTCACCTCATTGTCACCTCAGTGTCACCTCAGTGTCACCTCATTGTCACCTCATTGTCACCTCAGTGTCACCTCATTGTCACCTCAGTGTCACCTCATTGTCACCTTAATGTCACCTCATTGTCACCTCATTGTCACCTCAGTGTCACCTCATTGTCACCTCATTGTCACTTTATTGTCACCTTAATGTCACCGAATTGTCACCTTAATGTCACCTTAATGTCACCTCATTGTCACCTCAGTGTCACCTCATTGTCACCTCAGTGTCACCTTATTGTCACCTCATTGTCACCTCAGTGTCACCTCATTGTCACCTCAGTGTCACCGAATTGTCACTTTATTGTCACCTCATTGTCACCTCAGTGTCACCTCATTGTCACCTCATTGTCCCACAGATCCCCGCGAGGTGACACCAGCGACGACGACGACGGTGACAGTGCCACCACCGCGGTGACAATGCCACCACGGGGACGGGGACGTTATTTCGGCTACGCCCGCACCGTGGTGGCACCGGCGGTGGCATTGTCACCGTTGTCACCTTGTCCCCAAATCTGCCAAGTGGACGGTGCTGATGATGCCACCAGGGGGACGGTGCCACCAGAGGTGCCACCAATGCCACCAGAGGTGCCACCAGAGGTGTCACCAATGCCACCGAGCGCCGAGGGGCTCCCGGCCGACATCGTGGAGTTCGTCCTGCGCGGTGGCACCGGGGACGGGGACAGCGGTGGCACCTGGAGGGGACGGCGGGGTGGGGACGTCGGTCAAAGCCACCGGGTTGGGGACATCAGGGAGGGCCACCACCTTGGGGACATCCTCAGGAGTCATCAAGTTGGGGACATTGATCAAAGCCACCACGTTGGGGACATTGGTCAAAGTCATCGGGTTGGGGACATTGTGAAGAGCCACCAAGTTGGGGACATCGGTCAGGGCCACCATCTTTGGGACATTGATGGAGGCCACCAAGTTGGGGACATTGATGGAGGCCACCACTTCAGGGACATCATGAAGAGCCACCGGCTTGGGGACATTGATCAAGGCCACCAAGTTGGGGACATTGATCGGGGCCATCGGCTTGGGGACATTGATGGAGGTCATCGGCTTGGGGACATCGGTCAAGGCCACCATCTTCGGGACATTGATGGAGGTCACCAAGTTGGGGACATTGATCGAGGTTATCACCATGGGGACATTGGTCAAAGCCACCGGCTTGGGGACATCACCAAGAGCCATCAACTTGGGGACATTGGTCAAGGTCATCAGCTTGGGGACATCATGAAGAGCCACCACCTTGAGGACATCGGTCAAAGCCATCGGCTTGGGGACATCACCAAGAGTCATCAAGTTGGGGACATCCTCAAGGGCCACCAAATTGGGGACATTGATCAACATCATCGGCTTGGGGACATTGATGGAGGTCACCACCTTGGGGACATTGATCAAGGTCATCATCTTGGGGACATTGATCAAAGCCATCAAGTTGGGGACATCACCAAGAGCCACCGGGTTGGGGACATCCTCAAGTGTCACCAAGTTGGGGACATTGATCGAGGTTATCACCATGGGGACATTGGTCAAAGCCACCGGCTTGGGGACATTGATCGAGGTCACCAAGTTGGGGACATTGATGGACGTCACCGGCTTGGGGACATCGGGCAGAGCCACCAAGTTGGGGACATTGATGGAGGCCACCAAGTTGGGGACATCAGGCATGGCCACCACCTTGGGGACATCATGAAGAGCCGCCATCTTGGGGACATTGATCGGGGCCATCAACTTGGGGACATCACCAAGAGTCACCAAGTTGGGGACATTGATCGGGGTCATCGGCTTGGGGACATCACTCAGGGCCACCACCTTGGGGACATCGTGAAGAGTCACCAATTTGGGGACATTGATGGAGGCCACCAAGTTGGGGACATTGATCAAAGCCACCACCTTGGGGACATCCTCAAGGGCCACCACCTTGGGGACATTGACCGAGGCCACCACCTTGGGGACATCAATCAAAGTCATCGGCTTGGGGACAACGGGGAGGGCCACCAGGTTGGGGACATCACCAAGAGCAATCAAGTTGGGGACATCCTCAAGGGCCAACATCTTGGGGACATTGATGGAGGCCACCAAGTTGTGGACTTTGGTCAAGGTCATCGGCTTGGGGACATTGATGGAGGTCATCGGCTTGGGGACATTGGGCAGGGCCACCAAGTTGGGGACATTGATCGGGGTCATCGGTTTGGGGACATTGGTCAAAGCCACCGGCTTGGGGACATCAGGCAGAGCCACCAAGTTGGGGACATCACTCAGGGCCACCACCTTGGGGACATTGATCAAGGCCACCATCTTGGGGACATTGGTCAAGGTCATCGGCTTGGGGACATCATGAAGAGCCATCGGCTTGGGGACATTGATCAACGTCATCGGCTTGGGGACATTGATGGAGGTCACCACCTTGGGGACATCAATCGAGGCCACCACCTCGGGGACATTGGTCAAAGTCACCAACTTGAGGACATTGATGGAGGTCATCGGCTTGGGGACATCACTCAGGGCCACCACCTTGGGGACATCATGAAGAGCCACCATCTTGGGGACATTGATCGAAGCCACCACCTTGGGGACATCGGTCAAGGCCACCACCTTGGGGACATCCGTCCGGGTGCCACCGCCGCCAACTTGGGGACACTTTGGGGACATCGGAAGCGTCCGGGGGAGGGGACGGGGACGGGGACGGGGACAAAGAGGCCGCGGCTGGAGCCGGACACGGATGGCAGGTGGGGACATCTGGGGACATTTGGGGATATTTTTGGGACATTTTGGGGCCATTTGCGGGGATTTGGGGACATTTTGGGGATATTTTGGGACATTTTAGGGACATTTTGGGGGACATTTTGAGCGGATTTGGGGACATTTCGGGGGATTTGGGGACATTGGGGACATTTGGGGACATTTGGGGACGTTTGGGGACATTTGGGGACATTTGGGGACATTTGGGGACATTTGGGGACACTTTGGGGACACTTTGGGGGATTTGGGGACATTTGGGACATTTTGGGGACATTTTGGGGGGATTTGGGGACATTTTGGGACATTTGGGGACATTTTGGGGACATTTTGAGGGGATTTAGGGACATTTTGGGGACATTTTGGGGGGATTTGGGGACATTTTGAGTGGATTTAGGGACATTTTGGGGACATTTAGGTGACAATTGGGGGGATTTGGGGACATTTTGGGGGGATTTGGGGACATTTTGGGACACTTGGGGACATTTTGAGGGGATTTGGGGATATTTGGGGGGATTTGGGGACATTTGGGGCCATTTTGCGACATTTTGGGGACATTTGGGGACATTCAGGGACATTGGGGACATTTGGAGACGTTTTTGGGGACATTTGGGGACATTTTGGGACATTTTGGGGAGATTTTGGGGGGATTTGGGGACATTTTGGGACATTTTGGGGGGATTTGGGGACATTTGGGGATATTTGGGGACATTTTGGGGACATTTGGGGACATTTTGGGGACATTTGGGGACATTTTGGGGACATTTGGGGACATTTGGGGACATTTGGGGACATTTTGGGACATTTTGGGGACATTTGGGGACATTTTGGGGACATTTGGGGACATTTTGGGGATTTGGGGACAGTTTGGAGGATTTGGGGACATTTTGGGGACATTTTGGGGACATTTGGGGACATTCTGGGGGGATTTGGGGACATTTGGGGACATTTTGGGTTTTTTGGGGTGGATTTAGGGATTTTTGGGGTTTTTTTGGGGTGGATTTGGGGTTTTTTGGGGGGTTTTTTGGGGTGGATTTGGGTTTTTTTGGGATGTATTTGGGGTGGATTCGGGAGTTTTGGGGGTTTTTTTTTGGGGATGGATTTTGGGTGGATTTGGGTTATTTTAGTTTTTTGGGGATGGATTTAGGGTGGATTTGGGTTATTTTGGGATAGATTTGGGATGGATTTGGGGTTTTTTTGGGATGGATTTTGGTTTTTTTTGATAGATTTGGGGGTTTTTTGGGGTGGATTTTGGGGTTTATTTGGGGTGGATTTGGGGTGGATTTGGGGTTTTTTGGGGTTTTTTTGGAATGGATTTGGGGTTTTTTGGGGTTTTTTTTGGGGTGGATTTGGGGCTTTTTGGGGGGATGGATTTGGGATGGATTTGGGGTGGATTTGGGGTTTTTTGGGTGTTTTTTAGGATGGATTTGGGATGGATTTGGGTTTTTTTGCGGTTTTTTGGGGATGGATTTGGGGTTTTTTGGGTTGTTTTGGGATGGATATGGGATGGATTTGGGGTTTTTTTTGGGGTGGATTTGGGGGTTTTTTTGGGGTGAATTTGGGGTTTTGAGATAGATTTGGGGTTTTTTGGGGGGATGGATTTGGGATGTATTTGGGGTGGATTTGGGGGTTTTTTGGGGTGGATTTGGGGTTTTTAGGGGTTTTTTTGGGATGGATTTGGGATGGATTTGGGGTTTTTTTGGGGTGGATTTTGGGTTTTTTGGGGATAGATATGGGATGGATTTGGGGGTTTTTTGGGATAGATTTGGGATGGATTTGGGGTTTTTTTGGGGTGATGGATTTGGGGTTTTTGGGGGGATTAATTTGGGATGGATTTGGGGTTTTTTGGGGTTTTTTTTTGGGATGGATTTCGGGTTTTTGTGGGGTTTTTTGAGATGGATTTGGGGTTTTTTTGGGATGGATTTGGGGTTTTTTTTGGGATAGATTTGGGGTTTTTTTGCGGTTTTTTGGGGTGGATTTGCTTTTTTTTTGTTTTTTTTTTTGGGTGGATTTGGTTTTTTTTGGGGTTTTTTTGGGGGGGATGGATTTGGGATGGATTTGGGGTGGATTTGGGGTTTTTTTGGGGTTTTTTGTGTTTTTTTTAGGATGGATTTGGGGGGTTTTTTGGGGGTGGATTTGGGTTTTTTTGGGGTGGATTTGGGTTTTTTAGGGATGGATTTGCAGTTTTTTTGGGTGGATTTGGAGTTTTTTGGGGAATTAATTTGGGATGTATTTGGGGTGGATTCGGAGGTTTTTGGGGGGGATAGATTTGGGGTGGATTTGGGGTTTTTTTGGGGTGATGGATTTGGGGTTTTTTGGGTTGTTTTGGGATGGATTTGGGGTTTTTTTGGGATGGATTTAGGATGGATTTGGGGTTTTTTTTGGGGTGGATTTGGGTTTATTTTGGGATAGATTTGGGGTGGATTTGGGGTGGATTTGGGGTTTTTTGGGATGAATTTGGGATGGATTTGGGGTGGATTTGGGTTTATTTTGGGATGTATTTGGGGTTGTTTTGGGGTGTTTTTGGGGTTTTTTGGGGTTTTTTTTGGGGATGGATTTGGGATGGATTTGGGGTTTTTTTGTGGTGGATTTGGGGTTTTTTGTGGTGGATTTGGGGTTTTTTTGGGGTGGATTTGGGATTTTTTAGGTTTTTTTTTTTTGGGGATAGATTTGGGGTGGATTTGGGGTGAATTTGGGGTGGATTTGGGGTTTTTTTGGGGTGTTTTTGGGGTTTTTTGGTGCCATTTCTCTCTGTCACCCCCAGGCTGAAGGAGGAGCCGGAGGAGCTGATGAGTGACAGCTGCGGGTGAGCCCCAAAACTGCCCAAAATCACCCCAAAATCACCCAAAAATCCCAAAAATCGCCCCAAATCACCCCAAAATATTCCCAAAAATGCCCAAAACTGTCTGAAATCGCCCCAAAATAGCCCCAAAATCACCCAAAATAGCCCCGAAACGGCCCCGAATCACCCCAAAATATTCCCAAAACCGCCCAAAATCACCCAAAATAGCCCCGAAATGGCCCCAAATCAGCCCAAAATCGGCACAAACCACCCCAAAATCACCCCAAATATCCCCAAAACCGCCCCAAATCACCCCAAAATATTCCCCAAATTCCCCAAAAACCTCCCCAAATCCACCCCACAATATTCCCAAAAATGCCCAACGCTGCCCAAAATCACCCCAAAATATTCCTGAAAATCCCCAAAACCGCCCCAAATCACCCCAAAATATTCCCAAAATAGCCCCAAAACTGCCCCAAATCACCCCAAAATCGGCACAAACCACCCCAAAATATTCCCAAAATCACCCAAAATCAGCCAAAATCACCCCAAATCCAACCCAAAATATTCCCAAAAATGCCCAAAACCTCCCCAAATCCACTCCAAAATATTCCCAAATATTCCCAAAAATGCCCAAAACCACCCCAAAATATTCCCAAATATCCCCAAAACCACCCCAAAATAGCCCCAAAATCCCCAAAACTACCCCAGAATCACCCCAAAATATTCACAAAAATTCCCAAATCACCCCAAAATATTCCCAAAATCCCCCCAAAATCACCCCAAAATCAGCCCCAAATCAGCCCCAAATCAGCCAAAATCACCCCAAAATAGCCCCAAAATCACCCAAAACTGCCCCGAAATTGCCCCAAAAATCACCCCAAAATATTCCCAAAATCTCCCCAAAACCGCCTGAAATCACCCCAAAATCAGCCCCAAATCAGCCAAAATCACCCCAAAATAGCCCCAAAATCACCCAAAACTGCCCCAAAACCACCCAAAATCACCCCAAATAGTCCCAAAACCGCCCAAAATCACCCCAAATATTCCCAAAAATCCCCCAAAATCCCCAAAATCACCCAAATCCCCCCAAAAAATTCCCAAAAATTCCCCAAATCACCCAAAATATTCCCAAAATTCCCCAAATTCCCCAAATCTGCCTGAAATGGCCCCAAAATCACCCCAAAATATTTCCAAAACTGTTCAAAACCGTCCGAAATCACCCCAAAATATTCCCAAAATCTCCCCAAAATATTCCCAAAATCCCCAAAACCACCTCAAAATTTTCCCAAAAATGCCCAAAACCGCCCGAAATCACCCCAAAACCACCCCAAAATATTCCCAAAAATTCCCAAAACTGCCCAAAATCACCCCAAAATCTTCCCAAAAATGCCCCAAAATATTCCCAAAAATGCCCAAAATCACCCCAAAATAGCCCCAAAATAATCCAAAACTGCCCTGAAACCACCTGAAATCACCCCAAAATATTCCCGAAAACCACCCCAAAAATGCCCAAAACCGCCCAAAATCACCCCAAAATCACCCCAAAATATTCCCCAAAATCACCCCAAAATAGCCCCAAAATCACCCCAAACTGCCCCAAAACCGCCCAAAATCACCCCAAAATATTCCCAAAAATCCCCAAAATCACCCCAAAATCAGCCCCAAATCAGCCAAAATCAGCCCAAAATCACCCAAAATATCCCCAAAACTGCCCGAAATCACCCCAAAATATTCTCCCAAATCACCCCAAAATCACCCCAAAATAGCCCCAAAATCACCCCAAACTGCCCCGAATCTGCCTGAAATCACCCCAAAAAATTCCCAAAAATGCCCAAAATCACCCCAAAATATTCCTCAAAATCCCCAAAATCTTCCCAAAACTGCCCAAAACTGCCTCGAAATCACCCCAAAATCACCCAAAAATAGCCCCAAAATCACCCAAAGCCGCCCAAAATCACCCCAAAATCACCCCCAAAAATTCCCCAAAATCACCCCAAATCACCCCAAAAAATTCCCTAAAATTCCCCAAATCACCCAAAATATTCCCAAAAATTCCCCAAATCACCCAAAATATTCCCAAAATTTCTCAAATTCCCCAAATCTGCCTGAAATGGCCCCAAAATCACCCCAAAATATTTCCAAAACTGTTCAAAACCGTCCGAAATCACCCCAAAATATTCCCAAAATCTCCCCAAAATCACCCCAAAACCGCTCAAAATCACCCCAAAATATTCCCAAAATCATCCAAAATATTCCCAAAATTCCCAAATTTCCCAAATCCTCCTGAACTCACCCCAAAATCCCGCAGGTCCCCTCCCGGTGACGTCACGGCGGAGGCGGAGCCGCCCTGGGCCGCGTGCGCAGGTGGGGGAGGGGCGGGTTTTGGGGGGAATTTGGGGGATTTTGGTCAATTTGGGGAATTTTGGGGGGTTTTGGTAAATTTGGGGGATTTTGGGTTAATTTGGGGGGGATTTGGGGGGGGATTTTGGGGATAATTTGGGGGATTTTTGGTTTATTTGGATTAATTTGGGGGATTTTAGGATAATTTTGGGGAATTTTGAGGGATTTTGGGGGATTTTGGATTAATTGGGTTAATTTGGTGTTAATTTGGGTTAATTTGGGGATTTTAGGATAATTTTGGGGAATTTGGGGGATTTTGGCTTAATTTGGGTTAATTTGGGGATTTTAGGATAATTTTGGGGAATTTTGAGGGATTTTGGGGGATTTGGGGTTAATTTGGGGGATTTTGGCTTAATTTGGGGGATTTTGGATCAATTTGGGGTTAATTTGGGGGATTTTGGGGTTAATGTGGGTTAATTTGGGTTAATTTTGGGTCACTTGCGGTTAATTTGGGTTAATTTTGTGTAATTTGGGTTAATTTTGGGTCGATTTGGGTTAATTTTGTGTCAATTTCGAGTTAAGTTAAATTAATTTCAGGTCAATTTGGCCTCGTTCTGAGTTAATCTTTCGGTCGTTTAATTTCCGATAATTTCTGGTTAATAGGCGCTAATTTATGCTAATTTATGCTGATTTAATGCTGAGTTCTGCTGATTCCCCTTGGGTTAATTGCTCGTTAATAGCTGCTGGTTTATTCTAATTTATGCTGATTTATGCTAATCACCCGTGGGTTATTTTCTGGTTGCTAGGTGCTGATTTATGCTAATTTATACTGATTCAATGCTCATTTATGCTAATTACCCATGGGTTAACATCGGGTTAATAGGTGCTCGTTTATTCCAATTTCTGCTAATTACCCATGGGTTAATATCTGGTTAATAGGTGCTGCTTTATGCTAATTTATGCCATTTAACCATGGGTTAATATCTGGTTAATGGATGCTGGTTTATGCTAATTTATGCTAATTCACCATGGGTCAATCTCTGGTTAATAGGTGCTGATTTGTGCTAATTTATGCTAATTTCCCTTGGGTTAATCTCTGGTTAATATGTGCTGATTTATGCTAATTACCCATGGTTAATCCCTGGTTAATGGGTGCTGCTTTATGCTAATTTATGCTAATTCATGCCAATTCCCCTTGGGTTAATATCTGGTTAATAGGTGCTAATTTATGCTAATTACCCGTGGCTTAATTTCTGGTTAATAGGTGCTGATAGCTGCTAATTCCCTTGGGTTAATATCTAGTTAATGGGTGTTGTTTTATGCTAATTTATGCAGATTTATGCTAATTCCCCTTGGGTTAATTGCTCGTTAATAGGTGCTGAGTTATGCTAATTCATTCTGATTTATGCTAATTCCCCTCGGGTTAATTTCTGGTTAATAGGTGCTGATTTATGCTAATTTATTCTGATTTAATGCAGATTTATGCTAATTCACCATGGGTTAATTTCTGGTTAATAGGTTCTGATATCTGCTAATTCCCTTGGGTTAATAGGTGCCAGGTTATGCTAATTTATGCTAATCCCCCTTGGGTTAATATCTGGTTAATAGGTGCTAATTTATGATGATGTATGCTAATTTCTCTTGGGCTAATTTCTGGTTAATAGGTGCTAAAAAATGCTAATTCCCTTGTGTTAATATCTAGTTAATGGGTGCTGTTTTATGCTAATTTATGCTAATTCACCATGGGTCAATCTCTGGTTAATAGGCGCTGATTTATGCAAATTTATGCTAATTAAGCTTGGGTTAATATGTGCTGATTTATGCTAATTCACCATGGGTTATTTTCTGGTTAATAGGTGCTGGTTTATTCTAATTTATGCTGATTTATGCTAATGACCCATGGGTTATTTTCTGGTTAATAGGCGCTAATTTATGCAAATGTATGCTGATTTCTGCCAACTCCACTTGTGTTAACTTCTGGTTCATAGGCACTGGGTTGTGCTGATATATGCTAACATTATGCAAATTTATGCAAATAGGCGGCAGCTCAGAGGAGGAGGAGCCAACTCCGGGCGGAGGGGGCGGAGCCAGAGGAGGCCCCGCCCCCTCCCCGCCCCTCCCCCACCTGCGCTTCGAGATCAGCAGCGAGGACGGGCTGAGGGTGGCGGCCCCGAGCCTGGAGGGTCTGTACTGGTTTATACTGGTTTATACTGGTTTATACTGGTTTGTACTGGTTTATACTGGTTTTACTGGTTTGGACTGGGAGAGACTGGTTATACTGGTTTATACTGGTTTATACTGGTTTATACTGGTTTATACTGGTTTATACTGGTTTATACTGGTTTATACTGGTTTATACTGGTTATACTGGTTTATACTGGTTTGTACTGGTTTATACTGGTTTATACTGGTTTATACTGGTTTATACTGGTTTATACTGGGAGATCAGCAGCGAGGACGGGCTGAGGGTGGCGGCCCCGAGCCTGGAGGGTCTGTACTGGTTTATACTGGTTTATACTGGTTTGGACTGGTTTATACTGGTTTATACTGGTTTATACTGGTTATACTGGTTTATACTGGTTTGTACTGGTTTATACTGGTTTATACTGGTTTATACTGGTTTATACTGGTTTATACTGGGAGATCAGCAGCGAGGACGGGCTGAGGGTGGCGGCCCCGAGCCTGGAGGGTCTGTACTGGTTTATACTGGTTTATACTGGTTTATACTGGTTTATACTGGTTATACTGGTTTATACTGGTTTATACTGGTTTGGACTGGTTTATACTGGTTTATACTGGTTATACTGGTTTATACTGGTTTGTACTGGTTTATACTGGTTTGGACTGGTTTATACTGGTTTATACTGGTTTGGACTGGTTTATACTGGTTTATACTGGTTATACTGGTCTATACTGGTTATACTGGTTTATACTGGTTTATACTGGTTATACTGGTTTATACTGGTTTATACTGGTTTATACTGGTTTTACTGGTTTATACTGGTTTGGACTGGTTATACTGGTTTTACTGGTTTATACTGGTTTATACTGGTTTATACTGGTTTGGACTGGTTTATACTGGTTTGGACTGGTTTATACTGGTTTGGACTGGTTTGGACTGGGTTATACTGGTTTATACTGGTTTATACTGGTTTATACTGGTTTATACTGGTTTATACTGGTTTATACTGGGAGATCAGCAGCGAGGACGGGCTGAGGGTGGCGGCCCCGAGCCTGGAGGGTCAGTACTGGTTTATACTGGTTTATACTGGTTTATACTGGTTTGTACTGGTTTGGACTGGTTTATACTGGTTTATACTGGTTTATACTGGTTTATACTGGTTTATACTGGTTTATACTGGTTTTACTGGTTTATACTGGTTTATACTGGTTTATACTGGTTTATACTGGTTATACTGGTTTATACTGGTTATTCTGGTTTATACTGGTTTGGACTGGGAGAGACTGGTTTATACTGGTTTGGACTGGTTTATACTGGTTTATACTGGTTTATACTGGTTTATACTGGTTTGGACTGGTTTATACTGGTTTATACTGGTTATACTGGTTTATACTGGTTTATACTGGTTTTACTGGTTTATACTGGTTTATACTGGTTTTACTGGTTTATACTGGTTTATACTGGTTATACTGGTTATACTGGTTTATACTGGTTATTTGGGAGGGAATTTTAAAGGTTTTGGGGGGGCAAAATTTGGGTCTTTTTTGGGGGGATTTTGGGGTTTTTTAGGAGAATTTTGGGGGGGTTTGGGGAGGATTTTGGGGTGAATTTTGGGGTTTTTTGGGTTGAATTTTGGGGTTTTTTGGGGTGAATTTCGGATGGATTTTGGGGTTTTTTTGGGGTGGATTTTGGGGTCATTTTGGGGTGAATTTTAGGGGATTTTGGGGGTTTTTTTTGGGTGGATGGATTTGGGATTTTTGGGGATGGATTTGGGGGGAATTTTGGGGTTTTTTTGGGGTGAATTTGGGATTTTTTTGGGGTGGATTTGGGGGTTTTTTTGGGGTGAATTTGGGATTTTTTTGGGAATGGATTTGGGGAGGATTTGGGGTTTTTTTGGGGTGAATTTTGGGGTTTTTTAGGGGTGGATTTGGGTTTTTTGGGGGTGGATTTGAGGGGATTTTGGGGTTTTTTGGGGGTGAATTTGGGATTTTTTTGGGGTTTTTTGGGGTGAATTTGGGGTTTTTTTGGGTTGAATTTTGGGGTTTTTTGGGGGTAAATTTTGGATGGATTCGGGGTGGATTTCGAGGGGTTTTTTTGGGGTGGATTTGGGGTTTTTTTGGGGTGAATTTGGGGGTTTTTTTGGGGTGAATTTGGGGTTTTTTTGGTGTGGATTTGGGGTTTTTTTTGGGATGGCTCCAGGGTGGATTTGGGGGTTTTTTTGGGGTGGATTTGGGGGTGTTTTTGGGGTGAATTTGGGATTTTTTGGGACAGATTCGGAGTTTTTTTTAGGATGGCTCCGGGGTGGATTTGGGGTGAATGTGGGTTTTTTTGGGGTGAATTTGGGGCTTTTCTCGTTTGGATTTGGGTTTTTTTTTGGGATGGCTCTGGGGTGGAATTGGGGTGGATTTGGGGTTTTTTTTGGGGTGAATTTTGGGGTGTTTTTGGTGTGGATTTGGGATTTTTTTGGGCTGGCTATGGGATGGATTTGAGGTGGATTCGGGGGATTTTGGGGTGGATTTGGGGTTTTTTTGGGGGGGTGAATTTGGGGATTTTTGGGGTGGATTTGGGGTTTTTTTTTTGGGATGGCTCTGGGATGGATTTGGGGTGGATTTTGGGATGTTTTTGGGGTGAATTTGGGGTTTTTTTTTTGGGATGGCTCTGGGATGGATTTGGGGTGGATTTTGGGATGTTTTTGGGGTGAATTTGGGGTTTTTTTTTTGGGATGGCTCTGGGATGGATTTGGGGTGGATTTGGGGGTTTTTTGGGGGTGGATTTGGGGTTTTTTGGGATGGATTTGGGGTTTTTTTCTGGGATGGCTCCGGGGGGGATTTGGGGAGGATTTTGGGGTGAATTTGGGGGTTTTTTTGGGGTGAATTGTGGGGTTTTTTGGGATGGATTTGGGTTTTTTTTTGGGATGGCTCTGGGGTGGATTTGGGGTGGATTTGGGGGTTTTTTTTGGGGTGAATTGGGGGGTTTTTTGGGGTGAATTTGGGGGTTTTTTTTGGGATGGCTCTGGGGGGGGATTTGGGGGGGGTTTTTTTGGGGTTAATTTGGGGGTTTTTTGGTGTGGATTTGGGGGTTTTTTGGGATGGACTTGGGATGGGTTTTGGGTTTTTTTTGGGATGGCCCAGGCGTGGATTTGGGGTTTTTTTGGGGGTAAATTTGGGATTTTTTAGGATGGATTTGGGGTTTTTTTGGGATGGCTCCGGGGGTGATCTGGGATGAATTTGGGATGGATTTGTGATGGATTTGGGTTTTTTTGGGGGGGGTAAATTTGGGATTTTTTGGGATGGATTTGGGGTTTTTTTTGGGAATGGCTCCAGGGTGGATTTGGGGTCTTTTTGGGGTGAATTTGGGGCTTTTCTGGTCTGGATTTGGGGGATTTTTGGGGTTTTTTTGGGGTGGATTTGGGGTTTTTTTGGGGTGAATTTGGGGTTTTTCTGGTTTGGATTTGGGGTTTTTTTTGGGATGGCTGCAGGGTGGATTTGGGGTGGATTTGGGGGTTTTTTTTGGGGTAAATTTTGGGTTTTTTGGTCACCCCCTGTGCCCCGCAGGTGCCTGGCGGGCGGTGCTGGAGCGGCTGCAGGAGGCGCGAGCCAACGCCCACCTGGGACACCTGAGCTTCGCAGGTGAGACCCCAAAATCCCCAAAATTCACCCCAAAATTACCCCAAAATTACCTCAAAATCAGCCCCAAATTACCCACAAAATCACCACAAAATCCCCCAAAAATCACCCCAAAATCAACCCCAAAATTACCCCAAAATTACCTCCAAAAACCCCCACCTGGGACACCTGAGCTTCGCAGGAGAGACCCCAAAATCCCCCAAATTCACCCCAAAATTACCTCAAAATCACCCTAAAATTACCTCAAATTCACCTCTAAAATCCCCCCCAAAAAAACCCCAAAATTCACCCCAAAATCCCCCAAAATCACCCCAAATTCACCCCAAAATTACCCCAAAAATTACCCCAAAATCCCCCCACCTGGGACACCTGAGCTTTGCAGGTGAGAGAGCCCCAAAATCCCCCAAAATTCACCCCAAAATTACCCCAAAATCACCCCCAAAAACCCCCACCTGGGACACCTGAGCTTCGCAGGTGATAGCCCCAAAATCCCCAAAATTCACCCCAAAATTACCCCAAAATCACTCCAAAATCACCCCAAAATCACTCCAAAATCACCCCCAAAATCACCCCAAAATCATCCCCAAAATTGCCCCAAAATCACCCTAAAATTACCTCAATATTCCCCCAAAATCACCCCCAAAATCACCCCAAAATCCACTCAAAATCACCCCAAAATCAGCCCCAAAATCACCCCAAAATCACACCCAAAATCACCCCAAAATTACCTCAAAATCACCCCAAAATCCCCCCCCAAACTCCCCCAAAATCACCCCAAAATCACCCCAAAATTACCCCAAAATCACCCCCCAAAATCCCCCAAAATCACCCCAAAATCACCCCAAAATTACCCCAAAATCACCCCAAATCAACCCCAAAATCACCACAAAATCACTCCCAAAAGCCCCAAAATTCCCCTCAAAATCACCCCCAAAATTACCCCAAAATTCACCCCAAAATCCCAAAAATTCACCCTAAAATTACCCTAAAATAACCCCATCTGAGTCACCTGAGCTTTGCAGGTGAGAGCCCCAAAATCCCCAAAATTCACCCCAAAATTACCCCAAAATCACCCCCAAAAACCCCCACCTGGGACACCTGAGCTTCGCAGGTGAGAGAGCCCCAAAATCCCCCAAATTCACCCCAAAATCACCCCAAAATTACCCCAAAATCAGCCCACCTGGGACACCTGAGCTTCGCAGGTGAGAGAGCCCCAAAATCCCCAAAATTCACCCCAAAATTACCCCAAAATCACCCCAAAAATCACCCCTAAAATCACCCTAAAATTACCTCAAATTCACCCCTAAAATCCCCCCAAAATCACCCCAAATTCACGCCTAAAATCACCCTAAAATTACCTCAAAATCATCCCAAAATCACCAAAAAATCATCCCAAAATCCCCCAAAATCACCCCAAAATCACCCACAAAATTACCCCAAAATCACCCTAAAATCTCCCCAAAATCCCCCAAATTCACCCCAAAATCACGCCTAAAATCACCCTAAAATTACCTCAAAATCACCCCAAAATTACCCCCAAAATCACCCCAAAAACTGCAAAGACACCCCAAAATCACCCCAAATCACCCCAAAACCACCCCAAAATCCCTTCAAAACATCCCCAAATGCCCCAAAATCACCCCAAAAAACCCAAAATCCCCCCAAAATCCCCCAAATTCCCCAAAATCACCCCAAAATTACCCCAAAACCCCTAAAATCCCCCCAAAATCACCCCCAAAATACCCCCCAAAATTACCCCAAAATCACCCCATAATGCCCCAAAATCACCTCAAAAATCCAAAATCACCCCAAAATCCTCCCAAAATATCCCCAAAAACCCCAAAATCACCCCCAAATTCCCGCAAAAAAACCTCAAATTTACCCTGAAATCCCCCAAAACCCCCCCAAAATCACCCCAAAAATCCCCCATAAAACCCAAGTTCCCCCAAAATCTCCCCAAAAACCCCAAATTCCCTCCAAAATCAGCCAAATCGCCACGAAAAACCCCAAATTTCTCAGCCCCCAGACCCAATTTCTCAGCCCCCAGACCCATTTTTTTGCCCCCAGACCCATTTTTCCACCTCCAGACCCCATTTTTTCGCCCCCAGACCCCTCTAATCTGTATTTTAAAGCCCCCAGACCCCATTTCTCAGCCCCCAGACCCATTTCAAAGCCCCCAGACCCATTTCACAGCCCCCAGACCCCATTTTTCCACCCCCAGACCCCATTTTTCCACCCCCAGACCCCATTTTTCCACCCCCAGACCCCATTTTTTCACCCCCAGACCCCATTTCTCAGCCCCCAGACCCCTCTAACCCCCGCGTTGAAACCCCCAGACCCATTTAATTTTCATTCTGAAGCCCCCAGACCCATTTTTCCCCCCAGGGATGAGCGGGCTGCGGCTGCTGGGCATCCAGCACCACGCGGTGCTGTTCCTGCCCCCCAAACCCAAGCCCCCAGACCCATTTTAAAGCCCCCAGACCCATTTTGAAGCCCCCAGACCCCATTTTTCCACCCCCAGACCCATTTTGAAGCCCCCAGACCCATTTTAAAGCCCCCAGACCCATTTTAAAGCCCCCAGACCCCTTCCAATCCCCCTTTCTCAGCCCCCAGACCCCTCTAACCCCCATTTTTTCACCCCCAGACCCCTTTAATCCCCATCTTGAAGCCCCCAGACCCCATTTTTGAGCCCCCAGACCCATTTCAGTCCCCACGTTGAAGCCCCCAGACCCATTTCTCCCCCCCAGGCATGAGCGGGCTGCGGCTGTTGGGCATCCAGCACCACGCGGTGCTGTTCCTGCCCCCCAAACCGAAGCCCCCAGACCCATTTTGAAGCCCCCAGACCCCATTTTTCCACCCTTAGACTCCATTCTGAAGGCCCCAGACCCCATTTTAAAGACCCCAGACAACATTTCTCGGCCCCCAGACCCCATTTTAAAGCCCCCAGACCCATTTCAAAGCCCCCAGACCCCTTCCAATCCCCATTTTTCCGCCTCCAGACCCCATTTCTCAGCCCCCAGACCCATTTTGAAGCCCCCAGACCCATTTTTCCACCCTTTAACTCCATTCTGAAGCCCCCAGACTCCATTTCGAAGCCCCCAGACCCATTTCTCAGCCCCCAGACCCATTTTTCCCCCCAGGCATGAGCGGGCTGCGGCTGTTGGGCATCCAGCACCACGCGGTGCTGTTCCTGCCCCCCAGACCGAAGCCCCCAGACCCATTTTAAAGCCCCCAGACCCCATTTTTTCACCCCCAGACCCCTCTAATCCCCATTTCAAAGACCCCAGACCCCTTTAATCCCAATGTTGAAGCCCCCAGACCCATTTTGAAGCCCCCAGACCCATTTCAATCCCCATTTCTCAGTCCCTAGACACATTTTTTCACCCCCAGACCCCATATCAAAGCCCCCAGACCCATTTTAAAGCCCCCAGATCCCCTCTAGGCCCCATATTTTTGCCCCCAGACCCCATTTTGAAGCCCCCAGACCCCCTCTAGGCCCCATTTTTCCACCTCCAGACCCCATTTTTTCGCCCCCAGACCCATTTTGAAGCCCCCAGACCCCATTTCTCAGCCCCCAGACCCCATTTTAAAGCCCCCAGACCCCATTTCAAAGGCCCCAGCCTGATTTTGCAGCCCCCAGACCCATTTTTTGAGCCCCCAGACCCCTCTAATCCCCATTTCTTCACCCTTAGACTCCATTCTGAAGCCCCCAGACCCATTTTAAAGCCCCCAGACCCCATTTTAAAGCCCCCAGACCTCTTTAATCCCCATTTTGCAGCCCCCAGACCCATTTTGAAGCCCCCAGACCCATTTTTCCACCCCCAGACCCCATTTTTCCACCCTTACACCCCATTTTTTCACCCCCAGACCCCTCTAACCCCCACGTTGAAGCCCCCAGACCCATTTCTCAGCCCCCAGACCCATTTTGAAGCCCTTAGTCCCCTTCCAATCCCCATTTTTCCACCCCCAGACCCCATTTTTCCACCCCCAGACCCCATTTTTCCACCCCCAGACCCCATTTTTCCACCCCCAGACCCCATTTTTCCACCCCCAGACCCCATTTCACATCCCCCAGACTCCATTTTTTCACCCCCAGACCCATTTCTCAGCCCCCAGACCCATTTCCCCCCCAGGCATGAGCGGGCTGCGGCTGTTGGGCATCCAGCACCACGCCGTGCTGTTCCTGCCCCCCAAACCGAAGCCCCCAGACCCATTTCTCAGCCCCCAGACCCCATTTTTCCACCCTTAGACTCCATTTTGAAGCCCCCAGACCCATTTTGAATCCCCATTTTGAAGCCCCCAGACCCATTTTGAAGCCCCCAGACCCCTCTAATCCCCATTTCTCAGCCCCCAGACCCCTTTAATCCCCCTGTTGAAGCCCCCAGACCCATTTTTGAGCCCCCAGACCCCATTTTGAAGCCCCCAGACTCCTCTAATCCTCATTCTGAAGCCCCCAGACCCATTTTGAAGCCCCCAGACCCCTTCCAATCCCCATTTTTCACCCTTAGACCCCATTTTGAAGCCCCCAGACCCCTCTAATCCCCATTTTTGAGCCCCCAGACCCCATTTTTCCACCCCCAGACCCCATTTTTCAGCCCCCAGACCCCATTTTTTCACCCCCAGACCCCATTTTTGAAGCCCCCAGACCCATTCCAATCACCATTTTAAAGCCCCCAGACCCCTTTAATCCCCATATCTCAGCCCCCAGACCCATTTCAAAGCCCCCAGACCCTTCCAAGCCCCATTTTGAAGCCCCCAGACCCATTTTGATGCCCCCAGACCCATTTTTCCACCCCCAGACCCCCTCTAGGCCCCATTTTTCCGCCCCCAGACCCCTTTAACCCCCACGTTGAAGCCCCCAGACCCATTTTCTCCCCCCCAGGCATGAGCGGGCTGCGGCTGTTGGGCATCCAGCACCACGCGGTGCTGTTCCTGCCCCCCAAACCGAAGCCCCCAGACCCATTTTAAAGCCCCCAGACCCCATTTTTTCACCCCCAGACCCCATTTCGAAGCCCCCAGACCCATTTCGAAGCCCCCAGACCCCTCTAATCCGTATTTTAAAGCCCCCAGACCCCATTTCGAAGCCCCCAGACCCATTTTTTTGCCGCCAGACCCCATTTTTGAGCCCCCAGACCCCTCTAACCCCCGTTTTTTCGCCCCCAGACCCCATTTCACAGCCCCCAGACCCATTTTGAAGCCCCCAGACCCCATTTTTCCACCCCCAGACCCATTTTGAAGCCCTCAGACCCCCTCAAATCCCCCATTCTTCAGTCCCCAGACCCATTTCTGAGCCCCCAGACCCCTCTAATCTCCATTTCTCAGCCCCCAGACCCCATTTTTGAGCCCCCAGACCCATTTTTTCGCCCCCAGACCCATTTAATTTTCATTCTGAAGCCCCCAGACCCATTTCAAAGGCCCCCCAACCCCCTCAAATCCCCATTTCTCAGCCCCCAGACCCCATTTTAAAGCCCCCAGACCCCATTTTTTCACCCCCAGACCCCATTTTTCCACCCCAGACCCCATTTTTCCATCTCCAGACCCCGTGTTGAAGCCCCCAGACCCATTTAATTTTCATTCTGAAGCCCCCAGACCCATTTTTTCCCCCCAGGCATGAGCGGGCTGCGGCTGCTGGGCATCCAGCACCACGCGGTGCTGTTCCTGCCCCCCAAACCGAAGCCCCCAGACCCATTTTTTCGCCCCCAGACCCCATTTTTCCACCCCCAGACCCATTTTTCCACCCCCAGACCCATTTCAAAGCCCCCAGACCCCTTCCAAATCGAATTTTTCCACCCCCAGACCCCATTTTGAAGCCCCCAGACCCCTCAAATCCCCATTTTTCAGCCCTAGACCCATTTTGAAGCCCCCAGACCCCCTTTAATCCCCATTCTTCCACCCTCAGACCCCGTTTTGAAGCCCCCAGACCCATTTCAAAGCCCCCAGACCCCCTATAATCCTCCTTTCAAAGCCCCCAGACCCATTTTGAAGCCCCCAGAGCCCCTCTAGCTCACATTTTTCCACCCCCAGACCCCATTTTTTCACCCCCAGACCCCATTTTTTCACCCCCAGACCCTTTTAATCCCCATTTCAAAGCCCCCAGACCCCTCTAATCCCCACGTTGAAGCCCCCAGACCCATTTTGAAGCCCTCAGACCCCCTCTAGCCTCCGTTTTTCCACCCCCAGACCCATTTCAAAGCCCCCACACCACTTCCAATCCCCATTTTTTCACCCCCAGACCCCATTTTTCCACCCCCAGACCCCATTTTTTCGCCCCCAGCCCCCATTTTTTCGCCCCCCGACCCCTTTAGCCCCCATTTCTCAGCCCCCAGACCCATTTAATTTTCATTCCGAAGCCCCCAGACCCATTTTTCCCCGCAGGCATGAGCGGGCTGCGGCTGCTGGGCATCCAGCACGACGCCGTGCTGTTCCTGCTGGAGCAGCTGCCCGGTGCTGGGAGCTGCTCCCGGTACCGGTTCCGGTACCACCCCCCCCCGCCGGGACCCCCCCGCCCCTCCCCCGCCCCGGAACCCCTCGGGGTGCGCCCGCGCCGAGCTCTACATGAGGTGAACTGGGAGCACTGGGAGGGGATGGGAGGGGATTGGGATGGGATTTGGGGGGACTGGGAGGGGGTTTGGGGGGACTGGGATGGACTGGGATTAACTGGGAGGGACTGGGAGGGGGTTGGGAGGGGATTTAGGGGGACTGGGAGGTGATTTGGGGGACTGGGATGAACTGGGAGGGGATTTGAGGTGACTGGGAGAGGATTTGGGGGGACTGGGAGGGACTGGGATGAACTGGGAGGGGGTTTGCGGGGACTGGGAAGGACTGGGAGGGACTGGGAGGGGATTTGGGGGGACTAGGATGAACTGGGAGGGACTGGGAGGGTTTGGGGTTACTGGGAGGGGATTTGGGGGGACTGGGAGAAGAATTGGGGGGACTGGGAGGGACTGGGAGGGGAATTGGGAGGACTGGGTTAGGGTTAGGGGGGACTAGGAGGGGGTTTAGGGAACTGGGATGAACTGGGAGGGACTGGGAGGGTATTTGGGGGGACTGGGATTAACTGGGAGGGGGTTTTGGGGGAGAATTGGGGGGACTGGGAAGAACTGGGAGGGAGTTGGGGGGACTGGGAGGGACTGGGAGGGGACTGGGAGGGGGGTGGGGGGACTGGGAGGGGATTTGGGGGGACTGGGATTAACTGGGAGGGACTGGGAGGGGGTTTGGGGGGACTGGGAGGGACTGGGAGGGGATTTAGGGGGACTGGGAGGCACTGGGGGGGGATTTGAGGTGACTGGGAGGAGAATTGGGGGGACTGGGAGGGGATTTGGGGGGACTGGGATTAACTGGGAGGGGGTTGGGGGGGCATTGGGGGGACTGGGAGGGAACTGGGATGAACTGGGAGGGGATTGGGAGGGGATTTGGGGGGACTGGGATGGACTGGGAGGGACTGGGAGGGACTGGGAAGGGATTTGGGGGGGCTGGGAGGAGATTTGGGGGGACTGGGATTAACTGGGAGGGGGTTTGGGGAGACTGGGAGGGACTGGGAGGGGGTTGGGGGGGATTTGGGGGGATGGGGAGGGGATTTGGGGTGACTGGGAGGGACTGGGATGAACTGGGATGAACTGGGAGGGGGTTGGGGGGGGTTGGGGGGACTGAGAGGAACTGGGAGAGGGTTTGGGGTGACTGGGAGGGACTGGGAGGGACTGGGAGGGGATTTGGAGGGACTGGGATAAACTGGGAGGGGGTTGGGGGGGGATTTGGGGGACTGGGAGGGAACTGGGAGGGACTGGGAGGGAACTGGGAGGGACTGGGAGGGACTGGGAGGGATTGGGGGGAGATTTGGGGGGACTGGGAGGGGACTGGGATGAACTGGGAGGGGATTGGGAGGGAATTTGGGGGGACTGGGATGGACTGGGAGGGGATTTGAGGTGACTGGGAGGGGACTGGGATGAACTGGGAGGGACTGGGAGGGGATTTGGGGGGACTGGGATGGAATGGGAGGGACTGGGAGGGGGTTTAGGGGGACTGGGAAGGGACTGGGAGGGAACTAGGATGGAACTGGGATGGACTGGGCTGAACTGGGCCAAACTGGTCTGAACTGGGCGCCCCTCCCCCGCAGGAAATGCACCTTCGACATGTTCAGCTTTTTGGCCTCCCAGCACCGCGCCCTCCCCCAGGGACCCCCACCCCGCGAGGAAGAGGAGGATGAGGTGCAGCTGAAGCCCACCCGGTGAGGCCCCACCCCAGCACCCATGGGTGCCACCCCCGGACCCCTGGGACCCCCAAAAACCCCTCAGGGACCCCCCAAAAATCCGTCAGAGCCCCCCAGAATTGCCCCTCCCGTTGGGAGTCTGTGGTTAGACCTGGTGACCCCCCCACATTTGGAACCCTCCCAGCACCCATAGGTGCCCCCTAAAATATTGGGAACACCCCCAGCACCTTTGGGTGACACCTCCAGACACCTGAGAGCCCCAAAAACCCCTCAGGGACCCCCCAAAATTGCCCTAAAACCCCCCAAAATTGCCCCTTCTCGAGATTCTTATGGGGTAGACTGGTGACCCCCCCACTTTTGGGACCCTCCCAGCACCCATAGGTGCTCCCCAAAATATTGGGAACCCCCCCAGCACCCTTGGGTGACACCCCTAAACACCTGGGACCCCCAAAAACGCCTCAGGGACCCCCCAAAAATCCGTCAGCGCACCCCAAAATTGCCCCTCTCATTGGAGTCTAAGAGTAGACCTGGTGACCCCCCCACATTTGGGACCCTCCCAGCACCCATAGGTGCCCCCCAAAATATTGGGGACTCCCCCAGCACCCTTGGGTGACACCCCCAGACCCCTGGGAACCCCAAAAACCCCTCAGGGACCCCCCAAAATTCCCCTAAAACCCCCCAAAATTGCCCCTCCTATAGAAGTCAATGGGTAGATCTGGTGACCCCCCCACATTTGGGACCCTCCCAGCACCCATAGGTGACCCCTAAAATATTTGGGACCCCCCCAGCACCCTTGGGTGACACCCCCAAACACCTGAGAGCCCAAAAAACCCCTCAGGGACCCCCCAAAATTGCCCTAAAACCCCCCAAATTTGCCCCTTCTGTAGAATCCCATGGGTAGACATGGTGACCCCCCCACATTTGGGACCCTCCCAGCACCCATAGGTGCCCTCCTAAATATTGGGGACCCCCCCAGCACCCTTGGGTGACACCCCCAGACACCTGAGAGCCCCAAAAACCCCTCAGGGACCCCCCAAAAATCCGTCAGAGCCCCCCAAAATTGCCCCTTCTCGAGATTCTTATGGGGTAGACCTGGTGTCCCTCCCACATTTGGGTGACCCCCAAAATATTTGGGACCCCCCCAAAATATTGGGGACCTCCCCAGCACCCTTGGGTGCCCCCCCCAGACCCCTGGGATCCCCAAAAACCCCTCAGGGACCCCCCAAAAATCCGTCAGAACCCCCCAAAAATGCCCCTCCCATAGAATCCTATGAGTAGACCTGGTGTCCCCCCCACATTTGGGACCCTCCCAGCACCCATAGGTGCTCCCCAAAATATTGGGAACCCCCCCAGCACCCTTGGGTGACACCCCTAAACACCTGGGAACCCCAAAAACCCCTGAGGGACCCCCCAAAATTCCCCTAAAAATCTTCCAAAATTGCCCCTTCTGTAGAAATCTATGGGTAGACCTGGTGACCCCCCCACATTTGGGTGACCCCCAAAATATTTGGGACACCCCCAAAATATTGGGGACCCCCCCAGCACCCTTGGGTGACACCTCCAGACACCTGAGAGCCCCAAAAACCCCTCAGGGACCCCCCAAAATTCCCCTAAAAATCCCCCAAAATTGCTCCTTCTCGAGATTTTTATGGGGTAGACCTGGTGACCCCACCACATTTGGGTGACACCCAAAAATATTTGGGACCCCCCAAAATATTGGGGACCCCCCCAGCACCCTTGGGTGACACCTCCAGACACCTGAGAGCCCCAAAAACCCCTCAGGGACCCCCCAAAATTCCCCTAAAAAACCCCCAAAATTGCCCCTTCTCGCGATTCTTATGGGGTAGACCTGGTGACCCCCCCACATTTGGGACCCTCCCAGCACCCACAGGTGCCCCCCAAAATCTTGGGGACCCCCCCAGCACCCTTGGGTGACACCTCCAGACACCCCCAAACACTTGGGAACCCCAAAAACCCCTCAGGGACCCCCCAAAAATCCCCTAAAACCCCCCAAAATCCCCCCATAGAAGTCAATGGGTAGACCTGGTGCCCCCCCCCCCCACCTAAGGGGGATTTTTTGGGGGTTCCCCAAAATTTTTTGGGGTTCCCCAAAATTTTTGGGGTCCCCTGAGGGATTTTGGGGCAGTTTTCGGGATTTTTGGGGGTTTCGAATTATGGGGGAGGGAAAATTTTGGGGGATTTGGGGCTCTCTGGGATTTTTTGGGGGTTTTTGGGTATTTTAGGGGGGAATTTTGGGCAAATTTTGGGGGGATTTTGGAGGTAAATTTTGGGGATTTTTGGGGGGATTTGAAGGTAAATTTTTGGGATTTTTGGGATTTTTTGGGGATTTGGGGCGAATTTTTGGGATTTTGGGCGGATTTTTGGGGGGGATTTGGGAATTTTTGAGGTGGATTTGGGTGGATTTTGGGGTTTTAGGGGTGATTTTGGAGTTTTTTTGGGGGAATTTTTTGGGATTTTTTGGGGGGGATTTGGGGATTTTTGAGGAGGATTTTTTTGGATTTTTGGGGGGATTTTGGGGGAATTTTGGGGGATTTGGGGATTATGGGGGGAAATTTGGGATTTTTTTGGGCATTTTGGGTGGATTTTGGGATTTTTTGGTGGATTTTGGGAGGATTTTTTGGGGTTTTTTGGGCGATTTTGGGGTGGATTTTCGGGATTTTGGGGCGGATTTTGGGCGGATTTTTGGGATTTTGGGGTTTTTGGGATTTGGGATTTTTTTGGGGGGGTTTTGGGGGTCCCCCCGGTTTTTGGGGTGCCCCTGACACCCCCCCAAAGATTTGGGATTTTGGGGTTTGTTTGGGATTTTTGAGGTGGAATTTTGGGATTTTGGGGTGGATTTTCGGGATTTTGGGGCATTTTTGGGGGGTTTTTTGGGGGATTTTGGGTTTTTTGGGATTTGGGATTTTTTTGGGGTGGTTTTGGGGGTCCCCCCGGATTTTGGGGTGCCCCTGACACCCCCCCAAGGATTTGGGATTTTGGGGTTCGTTTGCGATTTTTGAGGTGGATTTTCGGGATTTTTGAGGTGGATTTTTTGGATTTTTGGGGAATTTTGGGGATTTGGGGTTCTCTGGGATTTTTTGGGGGTTTTGGGTATTTCGGGGGGGAATTTTGGGCAAATTTTTGGGGGATTTTGGAGGTAAATTTTTGGGATTTTTGGGTTTTAGGGGTGATTTTGGGGTTTTTTGGGGGGAATTTTTTGGGATTTTTTTGGGGGGGATTTGGGGATTTTTGAGGAGGATTTTTTGGATTTTTGTGGGAATTTTGGGGGAATTTTGGGGGATTTGGGGATTATGGGGGGGAATTTTGGGATTTTGGAGGGATTTTGGGGGGGATTTGGGGATTTTGAGGTGGATTTTGGGAGGATTTTTTGGAGTTTTTTTGGGGGATTTTGGGGTAGATTTTTGGGATTTTGGGGCAGATTTTTGGGATTTTGGGGTTTTTGGGATTTGGGATTTTTGGGGGGCGGTTTTGGGGGTCCCCCCCGATTTTTGGGGTGCCCCTGACGCTCCCCCAAGGATTTGGGATTTTGGGGTTTGTTTGGGATTTTTGAGGTGGATTTTTGGGATTTTGGGGCGGATTTTTGGGATTTTTGGGGGGTTTTTTTGGGGATTTTGGGGTTTTTGGGATTTGGGATTTTTTTGGGGGGTTTTGGGGGTCCCCCCGGTTTTTGGGGTGCCCCTGATGCCCCCCCAAGGATTTGGGATTTTGGGGTTTATTTGGGCTTTTTGAGGTGGATTTTTGGGATTTTGGAGCGGATTTTCGGGATTTTTTGGGGTTTTTTTGGGGAATTTTGGGGTTTTTGGGATTTGGGATTTTTGGGGGGAGGTTTTGGGGGTCCCCCCGGTTTTTGGGGTGCCCCTGACGCCCCCCAAGGATTTGGGATTTCGGGGTTTGTTTGGGATTTTTGAGTCGATTTTGGGGCAGATCTTTGGGATTTTGGGGTGGATTTTTGGGATTTTTGGGCGGATTTTTGGGATTTTGGGGTTTTTGGGATTTGGGATTTTTTTGGGGGGGTTTTGGGGGTCCCCCCGGATTTTGGGGTGCCCCTGACGCCCCCCCAGCCGCGCCACCAGCCTGGAGCTGCCCATGGCCATGCGCTTCCGGCACCTCAAGAGAACGGCCAAGGAGGCGGTCGGAGTCTATCGGTGAGATTGGCACAGCTGGGCACACCTGGGCACACCTGGGCACACCTGGGCACACCTGGGATACACCTGAGATACACCTGGGCACAGCTGGGCACAGCTGGGCGGGATAGAAACACACCTGGGCACACCTGGGCACAGCTGAGATACACCTGGGGGCACCTGAGATACACCTGGGCACACCTGGGGGCACCTGGGGGAGATAGAAACACACCTGGGCACACCTGGGGGCACCTGGAGCACACCTGGGAGCACCTGAGATACACCTGGGGGCACCTGGGCACACCTGGGCACACCTGGGGGGTAAAAATCACACCTGGGCACAGCTGGGCACAGCTGGGCACAGCTGGGACACACCTGGGGGTACCTGGGCACACCTGGAACACACCTGGGCACACCTGGGGGCACCTGGGCACAGCTGGGGGCACCTGAGGGCACCTGGGGGGGTAAAAATCACACCTGGGCACTCACCTGGGCACACCTGGGGGCACCTGGGGGGGTAAAATTCACACCTGGGCACACCTGGAACACACCTGGGCACAGCTGGGGGGGTAAAAATCACACCTGGGCACACCTGTAACACACCTGGGGGCACCTGGGCACTCACCTGGAACACACCTGGGGGCACCTGGGGACAGCTGGGCACACCTGGGGACAGCTGGGCACACACCTGGGGACAGCTGGGCACACACCTGGGCACACCTGGGCACACCTGGGGGCACCTGGGCACACCTGGGGGCACCTGGGGGCACCTGGGCACACCTGGGCACACCTGAGATACACCTGGGGTGACCTGGGCACAGCTGGGCACACCTGGGCACACCTGGGGGCACCTGGGGGCACCTGGGGGGATAAAATTCACACCTGGGCACACCTGGAACACCTGGGCACAGCTGGGCACACCTGGGGGGGATAGAAACACACCTGGGCACACCTGAGCACACCTGGGGGTACCTGGGGGGGTAAAAATCACACCTGGGTACACCTGGGCACACCTGAGATACACTTGGGCACACCTGGGGGCACCTGGGGCACATCTGGGCACTCACCTGGGGGCACCTGGGCACACCTGGGGGGGGTAAAATTCACACCTGGGCACACCTGGGGGCACCTGGGCACACCTGGGCACACTTGGGCTGGATTTTCAGGGGGAAATTTTGGGAGGATTTAGGGGATTTGAGGAGATTTGGGGGGATTTGGGGGAATTTTGAGGATTTTGGGGGGATTTGGGGGATTTTAGGGAATTTCAGGGGATTTGGGGGGATATTTTGGGGGATTTGAGGGGATTTGGGGGATTTTGGGGTGGATTTTTGGCTTAATGTGGGGGGATTTGGGGGTATTTTGGGGAATTTTGGGGAATTTGTGGGGATTTGGGGAATTTGGGGGGATTAATGGGGGATTTTGGGGGATTTTGATGGGTTTTGGGGAATTTGTGGGGAATTTGGGGGAATTTTGGGGGATTTGAGGGGATTTGGTGGAATTTTGGGGGATTTTGGGGGGATTTTGGGGGATTCAAGGGGATTTGGTGGATTTTTGACAGATTTTGGTGGATTTTTATGATTTTGGGGGTATCTGGGGGAATTTTTGGGGATTTGAGGGGACTTTGGGCACTTTCTGAGGGGATTTTGGGGTTCCTGGAGTGGTTTTTTTGGGGTGAAATTTGAGTTTCCCAGGTGGATTTCTTTTCATGGGATTTTTGGGGGAAATTTTTGGGATTTTGGGGTTCCCCAAATTTTGGGGTGACCCTGTGTCCCCCAAATCCATCTCGACCATCCACGGGCGGGAAAAATTTTGGGGATTTTGGGTTTCCTGGGTGGATTTTTTGGGGTTTTTTTTATATTTTTTTTGCGTTCCTGGGTGGATTTTGGGGGGAATTTTGGGGATTTTGGGGTTCCCCAAATTTTGGGGTGACCTTTGCCCCCCCAAATCCATCTCGACCATCCAAAACAGGGAAAAATTTTGGGGATTTTGGGTTTCCTGGGTGGATTTTTTTGGGTTTTTTTTATTGTTTTTGCATTCCTGGGTGGATTTTTTGTTGTTTTTTTTTTTTTTTGCGTTCCTGAGTGGATTTTTGGGGGGAATTTTGGGGATTTTGGGGTTTCCCAAATTTTGGGGTGACCCTGTGTCCCCCAAATCCAGTTGGACCATCCAAAACAGGGAAAAATTTTGGGGATTTTGGGTTTCCTGGGTGGATTTTTTTGGGGTTTTTTTGGTTTTTTGCATTCCTGGGTGGATTTTGGGGGGAATTTTTGGGATTTTGGGGTTTTCCAAATTTAGGGGTGACCTTTTCCCCCCAAATCCAGCTCGGCCATCCAAAACAGGGAAAAATTTTGGGGATTTTGGGTTTCCTGGGTGGATTTTTTTGGGGTTTTTTTGGGTTTTTTCCATTCCTGGGTGGATTTTGGGGGGAATTTTTGGGATTTTGGGGTTTTCCAAATTTTGGGGTGACCTTTTCCCCCCCAAATCCATCTCAACCATCAGCGGGCGGTAAAAAATTTGGGGATTTTGGGTTTCCTGGGTGGATTTTTTTGAGGTTTTTTATTTTTTTTGCTATCCTGAGTGGATTTTGGGGGGAATTTTTGGGATTTTGGGACTCCCAAAATTTTGGGGTGACCTTTGCCCCCCAAATCCAGCTCGGCCATCCACGGGCGGGGTCTGTTCTGCAAGAGGAACATCGAGGCCGGGGAGATGGTGATCGAATATTCCGGAATCGTCGTGCGCTCCGTGCTCACCGACAAGAGGGAGAAGTTCTACGACAGCAAGGTGGGAAAACCCAAATTTTTTATTTTTGGGGGGGAAAACCCCAAAAAAATGGCACAGAAACCACAAAAAACGGCAAAGAAAGCCTAAAAAACAGCAAAGAAAGCCCAAAAAATGGCAAAGAAAGGCCAAAAAATGAGGAGAATGCCTCAAAAAAACTCAAAAAAGGCAGAGAAACCCAAAAAATGGCAAAGAAACGCCAAAAATGAGAACACCTCAAAAAACCAAAAAAAACCCACAATGAAACCCCAAAAATAGCAAAGAAACCCATAAAAATGGCAAAGAAACCCCAAAAATGGCAAAGAAACCCCAAAAAAGGGCAAAGAAACCCCAAAAATGAGGCGAACGCCTCAAAAAAACCCAAAAAAGGGCAAAGAAACCCCAAAAAAGGCATAGAAACCCCAAAAAATGGCAAAGAAACCCCAAAAAATGAGAACTCCTCAAAAAACCCCAAAAATGGCAAAAAAACCCCAAAAAATGAGAACTCCTCAAAAAAACCCAAAAAATGGCAAAGAAACCCCAAAAATTGGCAAAGAAAACCCAAAAAATGAGCAGAACGCCGCAAAAAAACCCCAAAAAAAGGGCAAAGAAACCCCAAAAAAGGGCAAAGAAACACCAAAAAATGGCAGAGAAACCCTCAAAAATGAGGAAAACACCTCAAAAAACGGCAAACCCCAAAAAATGAGGAGAATGCCTCAAAAAAAGGCAAAAAAACCCCAAAAAATGAGAACACCTCAAAAAAACCCAAAAAAGGGCAAAGAAGTCCCAAAAGATGATGCCTCAAAAACCCCCAAAAAATGGCAAAGAAACCCCAAAAAATGAGGAAAACTCCTCAAAAAATACCCAAAAAATACCCCATCCATTGACCACACCCAACCATTGACCACACCCAACCATTGACCACACCCATCCATTGACCACACCCATCCATTGACCACACCCAACCATTGACCACACCCAACCATTGACCACACCCATCCATTGACCACACCCATCCATTGACCACACCCAACCATTGACCACACCCAACCATTGGCCATGTCCAATCCTAGATGATGTCACACCCATTGACCACACCCATTGACCACACCCATTGACCACACCCAACCCTTGATGATGTCACACCCATTGACCACACCCAACCATTGACCACACCCAACCCTTGACCACACCCAACCATTGACCACACCCATCCATTGACCACACCCATCCATTGACCACACCCAACCATTGACCACACCCATCCATTGACCACACCCATCCATTGACCACACCCATCCATTGACCACACCCATCCATTGACCACACCCATCCATTGACCACACCCATCCATTGATCACACCCATTGACCACACCCAACCATTGACCACACCCAACCATTGACCACACCCATTGACCACACCCATTGACCACACCCAACCATTGACCACACCCAACCATTGACTACGCCCACCCATTGACCACACCCAACCATTGGCCATGACCTATTGACCACACCCAACCATTGATGATGTCGCCAACTCTTCATGACTTCAACAACTATTGATCACACCCAACCATTGACCACACCCATCCATTGACCACACCCATTGACCACATCCATTGACCACACCCATCCATTGACCACACCCAACCATTGACCACACCCATCCATTGACCACACCCAACCATTGACCACACCCAACCCTTGACCACACCCATTGACCACACCCAACCCTTGATGATGTCACACCCATTGACCACACCCATCCATTGACCACATCCAACCATTGATGACGTCCATTGACCACACCCAACCATTGACCACATCCAACCATTGACCACACCCAACCATTGACCACATCCAACCATTTATGATGTCACCAACCCTTCATGACGTCACCATTGACCACACCCAACCAATGACCACGTCCATTGACCACACCCATTGACCACACCCATCCATTTACCACACCCATCCATTGACCACACCCATTGGCCAAACCCAACCATTGACCACACCCAACCATTGACCACACCCAACTATTGACCACACCCAACCATTGACCACACCCAACCATTGACCACATCCAACCATTGACCACACCCAACCATTGACCACACCCATTGACCACACCATCCATTGACCACACCCAACCCTTGATGATGTCACCAACTCTTCATGATGTCACCAACCATTGACCACACCCAACCACTGACCATGTCTAACCCTAGATGACGTCACCAACCCTCAATGACGTCACCATTGACCACACCCAACCATTGACCATGTCCAACCATTGACCACGTCCAACCCCTGATGACATCACCAGCCCTCAATGACATCACCAACCATTGACCACACCCAACCCTTGACCTCCAACCATTGACCACGTCCATTGACGACGCCCATTGACCACACCCATTGACCACACCCATTGACCACGTCCAACCCTTGATGATGTCACCAACCATTGACCACACCCAACCCTTGACCACACCCATCCATTGACCACACCCAACCATTGACCACACCCAACCATTGACCACACCACACCCATTGACCACACCCATTGACCACACCCATCCATTGACCACACCCATTGACCACACCCAACCATTGATGACACCCATTGACCGCACCCATTGACCACACCCATTGGTGACCCCCATTGACCACACCCAACCCTTGATGACGTCACCAACCATTGACCATGTCCAACCCTTGACCACCCCCAGGGCATCGGCTGCTACATGTTCCGCATCGACGAGGCGGAGGTGGTGGACGCCACCATGCACGGCAGCGCCGCGCGCTTCATCAACCACTCCTGCAGCCATTGACCGCACCCACCCATTGACCATGTCCAACCATTGACCAAAGCCATTGACCACACCCATTGACCACACCCAACCCTAATAATGTCACCAACCATTGACCACACCCAACCATTGACCACACCCAACCATTGTCTATGACCTCTTGACCATGCCCAACCATTGACCTCACCCAACCATTGATGACATCCATTGACCACTCCCAACCATTGACCACACTCAACCACTGGCCATGTCCAACCATTGACCAAAGACATTGACCACACCCATTGACCACACCCAACCATTGACCACACCCAACCATTGTCTATGACCTCTTGACCATGCCCAACCATTGACCTCACCCAACCATTGATGACATCCATTGACCACACCCATTGACCACACCCATTGATGACATCCATTGACCACACCCATTGACCACACCCATTGATGACATCCATTGACCACACCCAACCCTTGATGATGTCACCAACCTTTGACCACACCCAACAATTGATGACACCCAACCATTGACCACACCCAACCATTGACCACGTCCAACCCTTGACCACACCCAACCATTGATGACACCCAACCATTGACCACACCCAACCATTGACCACACCCAACCCTTCATGATGTCAACAACCCTAGATGATGTCACCAACCATTGGGCACACCCAACCCTTGATGATGTCACCAACCCTTCATGATGTCACCATTGACCACACCCAACCATTGACCACACCCAACCATTGACCACACCCAACCATTGACCACACCCAACCATTGACCTTGCCCAACCCTTGACCACTCCTAACCATTGATGACATCCATTGACCACACCCAACCATTGACCAAACCCAACCCTTGATGACACCCATTGACCACATCCAACCCTTGACCATGACCCCATTGACCATGCCCAACCCTTGACCACACCCAACCATTGGCCATGACCTCTTGACCACGTCCAACCATTGATGACATCACCAACCCTCAATGACATCACCAACCCTTGACCACACCCAACCATTGACCACACCCATTGACCACACCCATTGACCACACCCATTGACCACACCCATTGACCACACCCAACCCTTGATGACATCACCAACCCATTGACCACCCCGCAGGGCATCGGCTGCTACATGTTCCGCATCGACGAGGCGGAGGTGGTGGACGCCACCATGCACGGCAGCGCCGCGCGCTTCATCAACCACTCCTGCGAGCCCAACTGCTACTCGCGCGTCATCCACGTGGAGGGCCACAAGCGCATCGTCATCTTCGCGCTGCGCCGCATCCTGCGCGGCGAGGAGCTCACCTACGACTACAAGTTCCCCATCGAGGAACCGGCCGCCAAGCTGCCCTGCAACTGCGGCGCGCGGCGGTGCAGGCGGTTCCTCAATTGAGTGGTGGTGGGGAAGTTCTGGAGATGTTCTGGAGATGGTTGTAGGTGGGTGGTGGTGGTTTTAGGGGGGGTTGTGGTGGTGGGGTTGGGTAATTAGGAGGTTTTGGGGTCGATCAAGTGTGGTGGAGGTCTACCATGAGTTGTGGAGGTCAACCAAGAGTTCTGGAGGTCCACCAAGAGCCATAGGGGTGACCAAGTGTGATGGAGGTCAACCAAGAGCCATAAAGGTCAACTAAGTGTGATGGAGGTCTACCAAGAGTTCTGGAGATCAACCAAGAGTTTTCATGGTTGACCAAGAGTTTTGGAGGTCAACCAAGAGTCCTGGTGGTCAACCAAGAGTTGTGGAGGTCAACCAAAAGTTGTCGTGGTCGACCAAGAGTTCTGGAGGTCGACCTAAGGTCATGGTGGTCAACCAAGAGTCCTGGAGGTCAACCAAGAGTTCTGGTGGTCAACCAAGAGTTGTCGTGGTTGACCAAGAGTTTTGGAGGTCCACCAAGAGCCATAGGGGTCAACCAAGTGTGATGGAGGTCAACCAAGAATCATGGTGGTCAACCAAGAGTTCTGGAGGTCAACCAAGGATCATGGTGGTCAACCAAGAATCATGGTGGTCAACCAAAAGTTCTTGAGATGCCTCCAGCCAACGAGAAGGACCCAAAAATCAGGAGAACGAAATTTCGGGGCGTTCCAAGAAGTTCTTGAGATGCCTCCAGCCAACGAGAAGGTCCCAAAAATCAGGAGAACGAAATTTTGGGGCGTTCCTGAAGCTCTTGAGATGCCTCCAACCAACGAGAAGGTCCCAAAAATCAGGAGAACGAAATTTTGGGGCTCTCCTGAAGCTCTTGAGATGCCTCCAGCCAACGAGAAGGTCCCAAAAATCAGGAGAACGAAATTTTGGGGCTCTCCTGAAGCTCCTGAGATGCCTCCAGCCAACCAGAAGGTCCCAAAAATCAGGAGAACGAAATTTCGGGGCGTTCCCGAAGCTCTTGAGATGCCTCCAACCCTGAGGAACCCCCTGAGATGAGACCTTGAGGGTCTCCCCGGCCTGGAGACCCCCCCCCAAACCCCCCCATGGGCCCCTCCCCCAATCCCCTCCCCCCCCACCCCAAAATGGTTCCGCCCCTCCCCCCCCGCAGCGTTTTTGGGGCGTTTTCGGGTTTTTTTGGGAATTTTGGGGTTTTGTATTTTAATTTAACGGCGGCGAAGCTCCGCCCACAATAAACGGAGAGATCTGATTGGTTCGTGAATTTTGGGGGGAAAAAATGGGGGAGAAAAGGAGAATTTGGGTGTTTTGGGGTGGAAATGGCGGGAAATGAGGAAATGGGCAAAAATGGGAGAGGAAATGGGGGAAAATTGGGAAAATGGGGAAAAATGAGGAAAAAATGGGAAAAAGTGGGAAAAATGAGGAAAAAATGGGGAAAAAGTGGGAAATGTGAGGGGAAAAGTGGGAAATGTGAGGGGAAAAGTGGGAAAAATGTGGAAAAAGTGAGAAATGTGAGGAAAAAGTGGGAAAAGTGAAGAAAAAGTGGGAAAAATGAGGGAAAAGTGGGAAAAATGAGGGAAAAATGAGGAAAAAGTGGGAAATGTGAGGAAAAAGTGGGAAATGTGGGGGAAAAGTGGGAAATGTGGGGGAAAAGTGGGAAAAATGAGGAAAAAGTGGGAAATGTGAAAGAAAAAATGGGATAATAGAGGAAAAAGTGGGAAAAATGGGGGAAAAGTGGGAAAAAAGTGGGAAATGTGAGGGGAAGAATTGGGAAAATGAGGAAAAAGTGGGAAAATGTGAGGGAAAAGGTGGGAAAAATGAGGAAAAATGGGAAAAATGGGGGAAAATGGGAAATGTGAGGGAAAAAAGTGGGGGGAAAGTGGGGAAAATGAGGAAAAAGTGGGAAAAATTAGGAAAAAGTGGGAAGTGTGAGGGAAAAAAGTGGGAAAATGTGGGAAATGTGAGGAAAAAGTGGGAAATGTGAGGGGGAAATGGGAAAAATGGGGGAAAAGTGGGAAATGTGAGGGGAAAATGGGAAAAATGAGGGAAAAGTGGGAAAAATGATGAAAAAGTGGGAAATGTGAGGGAAAAGTGGGAAAAATTAGGGAAAAGTGGGAAAAATGAGGAAAAAGTGGGAAATGTGAGGGAAAAGTGGGAAAAATGAGGAAAAATGAGGAAAAAGTGGGAAAAATGAGGAAAAAGAGGGAAATGGGAGAGAAAAAATGGGAAATGTGAGGAAAAAGTGGGAAAAATGAGGAAAATATGGAAAAGTGAGGAAAAAGTGGGAAAAATGAGAAAAAAAAAGTGGGAAAAATGGGAAAAATGAGGAAAAAGTGGGAAATGTGAGGGAAAAATGGGAAAAATGAGGAAAATGGGAAATGTGAGGGAAAAAAGTGGGAAAAATGAGGAAAAAGTGGGAAAAATGAGGGAAAAAGTGGGGAAAATGAGGAAAATGTGGGAAAAGTGAGGGAAAAAGTGGGGAAAATGGGGGAAAAGTGGGAAAAGTGGGAAATGTGAGGGAAAAAGTGGGAAAAATGAGGAAAAAGTGGGAAAAATGTGGGAAAAAGTGGGAAAAATGAGGAAAAAGTGGGAAAATGAGGGGGAAAAGTGGGAAAATGAGGAAAAAAGGCAGGAAATAGGAGGGAAATGGAAAAATGAGGAAAAAGTGGGAAATGTGAAAGAAAAAGTGGGAAAAGTGAGAAAAAAGTGGGAAAAATGAGGAAAAAGTGGGAAAAATAAGGAAAAAGTGGGAAAAATAAGGAAAAAATAGGAAATGTGAGGGGGGAAAAGTGGGGAAAATGAGGGAAAAGTGGGAAATGTGAGGGAAAAAGTGGGAAAAATGGGGGACAAGTGGGAAAAATGTGGAAAAAGTGGGAAATGTGAAAGAAAAAGTGGGGAAAAAATGAGGAAAAAGTGGGAAATGTGAGGGAAAAGTGGAAAAAATGAGGGAAAATGTGGGAAAAATGAGGAAAAAGTGGGAAAAAAGTGGGAAATGTGATGGGGAAAGTGGGAAATGTGAGGGGAAAAAAGTGGGAAAAATGAGGAAAAACTGGGAAATGTGAGAGGAAAAGTGGGAAAAGTGAGGAAAAAGTGGGAAAAATGGAGGAAAAAGTGGGAAATGGGAGGGAGGAAAAGTGGGAAAAATGAGGAAAAAGTGGGAAATGTGAGGGGAAAAAGTGGAAAAATGAGGAAAAAAGTGGGAAAAATGGGGGAAAAGTGGGAAATGTGAGGAAAAAGTGGGAAAAATGAGGGAAAAGTGGGAAAAATGAGGGAAAAAATGGGGGAAAATTGGGAAATGGGAGAGGAAAAAGTGGGGAAAATGAGGAAAAAGAGGGAAATGGGAGAGAAAAAATGGGAAATGTGAGGGAAAAGTGGGAAAAATGAGGAAAAAAGTGGGAAAAATGAGAGAAAAAAGTGGGAAAAATGAGGGAAAAAGGCAGGAAATAGGAGGGAAATGGAAAAATGAGGAAAAAGTGGGAAATGTGAGGGGAAAAAGTGGGAAAAACGAGGAAAATGTGGGAAAATGCGGAAAAAGTGGGAAAAAGGGGGAAAAGTGTGAAATGTGAGGAAAAAGTGGGAAAAATGAGGAAAAAGTGGGAAAATGAGGAAAAAGTGGGAAATGTGAGGGGGAAAAGTGGGAAATGTGAGGGGGAAAAGTGGGAAATGTGAGGAAAAAGTGGAATAAATGAGGGGAAAAAGTGGGAAAAAAATGAAGAAAATGTGGGATAAATGGGGGAAAAGTGGGAAAGGTGAGGGAAAAATGGGGGAAAATGAGGAAAAAGTGGGAAAAATGAGGGGAAACGTGGGAAATGGGAGGGGAAAAGTGGGAAAAATGAGGGAAAAGTGGGAAATGGGAGGGGAAAAGTAGGAAAAATGAGGAAAAAGTGGGAAAAATGGGGGGAAAGTGGGAAATGAGGGGGAAAAGTGGGAAAAAAGTGGGGAAAAAGTGGGAAATGGGAGGGAAAAGTGGGAAATGTGAGGGGAAAAAGTGGGAAAAATGAGGGGAAAAGTGAGGAAAAAGTGGGAAAAATGAGGAAAAAAGGCAGGAAATGGGAGGGAAATGGAAAAATGAGGAAAAAGTGGGAAATGGGAGGGGAAAAGTGGAAAAAATGGGGGAAAAGTGGGAAATGTGAGGGAAAAATCCCCTCCAAAATTCCCCCGAAAATCCCCCCCCAACCAATCAGAACCCCCCAAATTTTCTCCCCTCTCCCCAAAATCCCCTCTCAGCCAATCAAAACCCACCAAAATCCCCCCAAAATTCCCCTCCCAGCCAAATAAAACCCCCAAATCCCCTCTCAGCCAATCAAAACCCCCCCAAAACCCCCCAAATTCCCCTCCAACCAATCAAAACCCTCTAAAATCCCCCCAAATCACCTCTCAGCCAATCAAAACCCCCCTAAACCCCCCTAAAATTCCCCTCTCAGTCAATCAGAACCTTCCAAAATCTCCCCAAAATTCTCCTCCAACCAATCAGAACCCCCCAAAATCCCCCCAAAATCCCCTCTCAGCCAAAAAAAAACCCCGAAATCCCCCCAAAATCCCCTCTCACCCAATCATAACCCCCCAAAATCTCCCCAAAATTCCCCTCCAACCAATCAAAATCCCCTAAAATGTCCCCAAAATCCCCTCTCAGCCAATCAAAACCCCCCAAAATCTCCCCAAAATCCCCTCCAGCCAATCAGAACCCCCCTAAATCCCCCCAAAAATCTTCTCTCAACTAATCAGTAACCCCCAAAATCCAATTTCACCCAATCAAAACCCCCCAAACTCCCCCAAATTCCTCTCCAACCAATCAAAACCCCCCAAAACCCCCTAAAATTCCCTTTCAACCAACCAGTAACCCCCAAAATCCTCTCTCAGCCAATCATGACCGCCCCAATCCCCCCAAAATCCCCTTTCAGCCAATCAGAACCCCTCAAAATCCCCCCAAAATCTTCTCTCAGCTAATCAGTAACCCCCAAAATCCCCTCTCAACCAATCAAAACCCCCCAAAATCTCCTCTCAGCCAATCAGAACCCCCCAAAATCCCCCCAAAATTCCCCTCCAACCAATCAAAAACCCCAAAATTCCCCCCAAAATCCCCTCTCACCCAATCAAAACCCCCCAAATCACCTCTTAGCCAGTCAGAACCCCCCAAAATCCCCCCAAAATTCCCTCTCGACCAATCAAAACCCCCCAGAACCCCCCAAATTCCCCTCCAACCAATCACCACCCCCCAAATCCCCCCAAATTCCCCTCCAACCAATCAAACCCCCCCCAAAATCCCCTCTCAGCCAATCAGAACCCCCCAAAATCCCCCCAAAATCCACTCTCAGCCAGTCAGAACTCCCCAAAACGCCCCAAAATTCCCCTCCAACCAATCAGAACCCCCCAAAATTTTCTCCCCTCTCCCTAAATCCCCTCTCAGTCAATCGGGACCCCCCCAATCCCCCCAAAATCCCCTCTCAACCAATCAAAACCCCCCAAATCTCCCCAAAATCCCCTCACCCAATCAGAACCCCCCCAAATCCCCCCAAGATTCCACTCCAACCAGTCAGAACCCCCCAAAATCCCCCAAAATCTCCTCTCAACCAGTCAGAAGTCCCAAAATCCCCCCAAAATTCTCTTCCAACCAATCAAAACCCCCCAAAATCCCCTCTCAGCCAATCAAAAACCCAAAATCCCCCCAAAATTCCCCTCCAACCAATCAGTAACCCCCAAAATCCCCTCTCAGCCAAACAAAACGCCCCAAAATCCCCTCACAGCCAAATAAAACCCCCCAAAATTCTCTTCCAACCAATCAGTAACCCCCTAAAATCCCCTCTCAGCCAATCAAAATCCCCCAAATCCCCCCAAAATCCCCTCTCAGCCAGTCAGAACTCCCGAAAATCCCCCAAAATCCCCTCTCAACCAATCAGAACCCCCAAAATTCCCCGAAAATACCCTCCCAGCCAATCAGAACCCCCCCAACTTTTTTCCCCTTTCCCAAAATCCCCTCTCAGCCAATCACGACCCCCCAACATCCCCCCAAAATTCTCCTCCAACCAATCAGAACCCCCAAAATCCCTCCAAAATCCCCTCTCAGCCAGAACCCCCCAAAATCCCCTTTCAGCCAATCAGAACCCCCCAAAATCCCCCCAAAATCCGCTCTCACCCAATCAAAACCCCCCAAAATCCCCTCTCAGTCAGTCAGAACACCCCAAAATCCCCCAAAATTCCCTCTCAGCCAATCACGAGCCCCCAATATCCCCCCCAAAATCCCCTCTCACCCAATCAAAACCCCCCAAAATCCCCCCAAAATCCAATTTCACCCAATCAGTACCCCCCAAAATCCAATTTCAGCCAATCGTGACCCCCCAAAATCCCCCCCAAATCCTCACCCAGCCAATCACCTCCCCACAAATCCCCCCAAAATCCCCTCTCAACCAATCAGAACCCCCCAGATTTTCCCTCCTCTCCCCAAAATCCTCTCTCAGCCAATCAGGACCCCCCAAATTCCTCTCCCAGCCAAATAAAACCCCCCAAATCCCTCCAAAATCTCCTCTCAACCAATCACGAACCCCCAAAATCCCTCCAAAATTCCCTTCCAACCAATCAGAACCACCAAAATCTCCCCAAAATCCCCTCTCAATCAATCAAAACCCCCCAAATTCCCCTCCAACCAATCAGTAACCCCCAAAATCCAATTTCACCCAATCAAAACCCCCCAAAATCCAATTTCACCCAAACAAAACCCCCCAAATCTCTCAGCCAATCATGACCCCCCAAATCCCCCCAAAATTCCCCTCCAAACCCCTCCCCCCCCTTTCCCCACCCCTCCCCCACCCTCCCCACCCCTCCCCACCCTCCCCTCCCCCACCCCGCGGCCCCGCCCGGATTAAATCCGCGTCCCCTCCTCCCCCTCCCCCCACGCCCCATCGTAAATTTGGGGGGAGGGGGGGGTGGGGGAGGGGAAAAGGGGCGTGGCCAGGCGGGGGTGGGGGAGGGGCGTGTCCCCCTTCGGGGACAGCGCGGGGACAGCGCGGGGACAGCGCGGGGACAGCGGGGACGGCGCGGGGACAACGGAGGCGACCGAGGAAGGAGCGGGGGCGGCCCCTCCCCCCCCCGGCCCCCCCGAGGGGCGGCGACCAGGTTTGGGGGGGGGGGAGGGGAGGGGAGGGGGGGGGAAACCAGTATGGACCAGTATGGACCAGTTGGAGGTGTTAGCTTGTCCCAGTTTGGCCCAGTTTCCCTGTCCCAGTATGGACCAGTTTGGCCCAGTTCCCTGGGGTTATCCTGTCCCAGTTTGGCCCAGTTCCACTGTCCCAGTATGGACCAGTTTGGCCCAGTTCCCCTGTCCCAGTATGGACCAGTTTGTCCCAGTTCCCGGTGTCACCCTGTCCCAGTTTGGCCCAGTTTGGCCCAGTTCCCCTGTCCCAGTTTGGCCCAGTTTGTCCCAGTTCCCCGGTGTCACCCTGTCCCAGTTTGGCCCAGTTCCCCTGTCCCAGTTTGGCCCAGTTTCCCTTTCCCAGTATGGACCAGTTTGGCCCAGTTCCCCTGTCCCAGTTTGGCCCAGTATGGACCAGTTGGCGGTGTTACCTTGTCCCAGTATGGCCCAGTTTCCCGGGGTTATCCTGTCCCAGTTTGTCCCAGTTTGGCCCAGTTCCCCTGTCCCAGTTTGTCCCAGTTTGGCCCAGTTCCCGGGGTTACCCTGTCCCAGTATGGCCCAGTTCCCCTGTCCCAGTATGGACCAGTATGTCCCAGTTTCCCGGTGTCACCCTGTCCCAGTTTGGCCCAGTATGGACCAATCCCACTGTCCCAGTTTGGCCCAGTTTCCGGTGTCACCCTGTCCCAGTTTGGCCCAGTTTGGCCCAGTTCCCCTGTCCCAGTTTGGCCCAGTTTGGCCCAGTTCCCCTGTCCCAGTTTGGCCCAGTTCCACCGTCCCAGTATGGACCAGTTCCCGGGGTTACCCTGTCCCAGTTTGGCCCAGTTTGGCCCAGTTCCCCTGTCCCAGTATGGCCCAGTTCCCCGGCATCACCCTGTCCCAGTTTGGCCCAGTTTGGCCCAGTTCCCCTGTCCCAGTTTGGCCCAGTTACCCTGTCCCAGTATGGCCCAGTTTCCCGGGGTTACCCTGTCCCAGTTTGTCCCAGTTCCCCTGTCCCAGTTTGTCCCAGTTTGGCCCAGTTCCCCTGTCCCAGTTTGGCCCAGTTCCCGCTGTCACCCTGTCCCAGTATGGACCAGTTCCCCTGTCCCAGTATGGACCAGTATGGACCAGTTGGTGGTGTTACCTTGTCCCAGTTTGGCCCAGTTCCCCTGTCCCAGTTTGGCCCAGTTACCCTGTCCCAGTATGGCCCAGTTTCCCGGGGTCACCCTGTCCCAGTATGGACCAGTTACCCTGTCTCAGTCTGGCCCAGTTTCCCTGTCCCAGTTTGTCCCAGTATCGACCAGTTGGCACTGTCACCCTGTCCCAGTTTGGCCCAGTTTCCCGGGGTTATCCTGTCCCAGTTTGGCCCAGTTTCCCAGTCCCAGTATGGACCAGTTTGGCCCAGTTCCCCTGTCCCAGTTTGGCCCAGTTCCCCTGTCCCAGTTTGTCCCAGTTTGGCCCAGGTCCCCGGTGTCACCCTGTCCCAGTATGGACCAGTATGGACCAGTTGGAGGTGTCACCTTGTCCCAGTTTGGCCCAGTTCCCCTGTCCCAGTATGTCCCAGTTTGGCCCAGTTCCCCTATCGCAGTATGGACCAGTTTGGCCCAGTTCCCCTGTCCCAGTATGGACCAGTTCCCCTGTCCCAGTATGTCCCAGTATGGCCCAGTTTGTCCCAGTTCCCCGGTGTCACCCTGTCCCAGTTTGTCCCAGTTCCCCTGTCCCAGTTTGGCCCAGTTTCCCTTTCCCAGTATGGCCCAGTTCCCCTGTCCCAGTTTGGCCCAGTTCCCCTGTCCCAGTATGTCCCAGTTTGTCCCAGTTCCCCTGTCCCAGTTTGTCCCAGTTTGGCCCAGTTCCCCGGTGTCACCCTGTCCCAGTTTGACCCAGTTCCCCTGTCCCAGTTTGCCCCAGTTACCCTGTCCCAGTTTGGCCCAGTTCCACTGTCCCAGTATGGCCCAGTATGTCCCAGTTCCCCGGTGTCACCCTGTCCCAGTATGTCCCAGTTTGGCCCAGTTACCCTGTCCCAGTTTGGCCCAGTTACCCTGTCCCAGTTTGTCCCAGTTTGTCCCAGTTCCCCTTTCCCAGTATGGACCAGTTTGGCCCAGTTCCCCTTTCCCAGTTTGTCCCAGTTTGTCCCAGTTTGGTCCCAGTCCATCCCAGTCCATCCCAGTCCATCCCAGTTTGTCCCAGTTTGTCCCAGTTTGTCCCAGTCCCTCCCAGTTTATCCCAGTTCATCCCAGTCCATCCCAGTTCCGGTTCCCACGGGAAAGGGGCGGAGCCAAATTCTGGTGGGCGGAGCCTGAGCCCAAACTGGGAATTCAAACTGGGAATGGGACCCCAAACTGGGACCCCAAACTGGGAATGGGACCCCAAACTGGGACCCCAAACTGGGACCCCAAACTGGGACCCCAAACTGGGACCCCAAACTGGGAATGGGACCCCAAACTGGGAATGGGACCCCAAACTGGGAATGGGACCCCAAACTGGGACCCCAAACTGGGAATGGGACCCCAAACTGGGAATGGGACCCCAAACTGGGACCCCAAACTGGGACTGGGACCCCAAACTGGGAGCCCAAACTGGGAATGGGACCCCAAACTGGGACCCCAAACTGGGAATGGGACCCCAAACTGGGACCCCAAACTGGGAATGGGACCCCAAACTGGGACCCCAAACTGGGAATGGGACCCCAAACTGGGACCCCAAACTGGGAACGGGACCCCAAACTGGGACCCCAAACTGGGACCCCAAACTGGGACCCCAAACTGGGACCCCAAACTGGGACCCCAAACTGGGAAACCAAACTGGGACCCCAAACTGGGAATGGGACCCCAAACTGGGACCCCAAACTGGGAATGGGACCCCAAACTGGGACCCCAAACTGGGACCCCAAACTGGGAATGGGACCCCAAACTGGGACCCCAAACTGGGACCCCAAACTGGGACCCCAAACTGGGACCCCAAACTGGGAATGGGACCCCAAACTGGGACCCCAAACTGGGAATGGGACCCCAAACTGGGACCCCAAACTGGGACCCCAAACTGGGAATGGGACCCCAAACTGGGACCCCAAACTGGGAATGGGACCCCAAACTGGGACCCCAAACTGGGACCCCAAACTGGGAATGGGACCCCAAACTGGGAATCCAAACTGGGAATGGGACCCCAAACTGGGAATGGGACCCCAAACTGGGACCCCAAACTGGGAATGGGACCCCAAACTGGGACCCCAAACTGGGACCCCAAACTGGGAATGGGACCCAAACTGGGACCCCAAACTGGGACCCCAAACTGGGAATGGGACCCCAAACTGGGACCCCAAACTGGGACCCCAAACTGGGAATGGGACCCCAAACTGGGACCCCAAACTGGGAATGGGACCCCAAACTGGGACCCCAAACTGGGAATGGGACCCCAAACTGGGACCCCAAACTGGGAATGGGACCCCAAACTGGGAATGGGACCCCAAACTGGGACCCCAAACTGGGAATGGAACCCCAAACTGGGACCCCAAACTGGGAATGGAACCCCAAACTGGGACCCCAAACTGGGACCCCAAACTGGGACCCCAAACTGGGACCCCAAACTGGGAATGGGACCCCAAACTGGGACCCCAAACTGGGACCCCAAACTGGGAATGGGACCCCAAACTGGGACCCCAAACTGGGACCCCAAACTGGGAATGGGACCCCAAACTGGGACCCCAAACTGGGAATGGGACCCCAAACTGGGACCCCAAACTGGGAATGGGACCCCAAACTGGGACCCCAAACTGGGAATGGGACCCCAAACTGGGAATGGGACCCCAAACTGGGACCCCAAACTGGGAATGGAACCCCAAACTGGGACCCCAAACTGGGAATGGAACCCCAAACTGGGACCCCAAACTGGGACCCCAAACTGGGACCCCAAACTGGGACCCCAAACTGGGAATGGGACCCCAAACTGGGATCCCCAAACTGGGACCCCAAACTGGGACCCCAAACTGGGAATGGGACCCCAAACTGGGACCCCAAACTGGGACCCCAAACTGGGACCCCAAACTGGGAATGGGACCCCAAACTGGGACCCCAAACTGGGAATGGGACCCCAAACTGGGACCCCAAACTGGGAATGGGACCCCAAACTGGGAATGGGACCCCAAACTGGGAATGGGACCCCAAACTGGGAATTCAAACTGGGAATGGGACCCCAAACTGGGAATTCAAACTGGGAATGGGACCCCAAACTGGGAATTCAAACTGGGAATGGGACCCCAAACTGGGAATTCAAACTGGGAATGGGACCCCAAACTGGGAATTCAAACTGGGAATGGGACCCCAAACTGGGACCCCAAACTGGGAATGGGACCCCAAACTGGGACCCCAAACTGGGAATGGGACCCCAAACTGGGACCCCAAACTGGGAATGGGACCCCAAACTGGGAATGGGACCCCAAACTGGGACCCCAAACTGGGAATGGAACCCCAAACTGGGAATCCAAACTGGGAATGGGACCCCAAACTGGGAATGGGACCCCAAACTGGGACCCCAAACTGGGAATGGGACCCCAAACTGGGACCCCAAACTGGGACCCCAAACTGGGAATGGGACCCAAACTGGGACCCCAAACTGGGACCCCAAACTGGGAATGGGACCCCAAACTGGGACCCCAAACTGGGACCCCAAACTGGGAATGGGACCCCAAACTGGGACCCCAAACTGGGAATTCAAACTGGGAATGGGACCCCAAACTGGGACCCCAAACTGGGACCCCAAACTGGGACCCCAAACTGGGAATGGGACCCCAAACTGGGACCCCAAACTGGGACCCCAAACTGGGACCCCAAACTGGGAATGGAACCCCAAACTGGGACCCCAAACTGGGAATGGGACCCCAAACTGGGAATGGGACCCCAAACTGGGACCCCAAACTGGGACCCCAAACTGGGACCCCAAACTGGGAACGGGACCCCAAACTGGGACCCCAAACTGGGACCCCAAACTGGGAATGGGACCCCAAACTGGGACCCCAAACTGGGACCCCAAACTGGGACCCCAAACTGGGAATGGGACCCCAAACTGGGACCCCAAACTGGGAATGGGACCCCAAACTGGGACCCCAAACTGGGACCCCAAACTGGGAATGGGACCCCAAACTGGGAATGGGACCCCAAACTGGGACCCCAAACTGGGAATGGGACCCCAAACTGGGACCCCAAACTGGGACCCCAAACTGGGAATGGGACCCCAAACTGGGACCCCAAACTGGGAATGGGACCCCAAACTGGGACCCCAAACTGGGAATGGGACCCCAAACTGGGAATCCAAACTGGGACCCCAAACTGGGAATGGGAACCCCAAACTGGGACCCCAAACTGGGAATGGGACCCCAAACTGGGACCCCAAACTGGGACCCCAAACTGGGAATGGGACCCGAAACTGGGACCCCAAACTGGGAATGGGACCCCAAACTGGGACCCCAAACTGGGAATGGGACCCCAAACTGGGACCCCAAACTGGGAATGGGACCCCAAACTGGGAATGGGACCCCAAACTGGGACCCCAAACTGGGACCCCAAACTGGGCCCCGCGGGGTCACCCGAGGTCACCGAGCCCCGGGCGGGGTGGGGGAGGGGCGGGGCGGTGCCCGCTAATTAGAGCCGCTAATTAAGGCCAATTAACGCCCTCGTTAATCAGCCCCAACGCCCGATGACGTCACCGTTGCGAAAGGGTTGGGCGGGGGGGGGGGGGAGGGGAGGGGAACTGAAATGACCCAAAAATGGTCCCGAAATGATCCCAAAAATGTCCCAAAATTGCCCAGAATGAGCCCAAAAATGTCTCAGAATGAGCCCAAAATTATTCTCCCAAAATGCCCCAAAATTATCCCAAAATGCAGAATAATTATTCCAAAATTTGCCAAAATGCCCCAAAATTATCCCCAAATGCCCCAAATTATCCAAAAATTACCTCAAATGATCCTAAACTATCCAAAATTGCCCCAAATGATTCAAAATCGCCCAAAATGACCCAAAATGACCCAAAATTATCCTAAAATTACCTCAAAATGACCCAAAACTGCCCAAAATTTCCCTAAATGACTCAAAATGACCGAAAATGCCTGAAAATTATCCTAAAATTACCTGAAAATGACCCAAAACGACCCAAAATTTCCCTGAATTACTGAAAATGCCCCAAAATGACCCAAATTTCCCAAAATTTCCCCAAATAACTCAAAATGACCCAAAATTATCGTAAAATGACCCCCAAAACGATTTTATACTGCCCAAAATTACCACAAATGATTCAAAATCGCCCAAAATGCCCCAAAATGCCCCAAATTATCCCAAAATTACCCGAAAACGATCCTAAACTGCCCAAAATTACCCCAAATGGCTCAATATCCCCCAAAATTACCCAAAATTATCTGAAAATTACCTCAAAACGATCCTAAACTACCCAAAATTACCCCAAATGACTCAAAATGACCCAAAATGCCCCAAAATTATCTGAAAATGGCCCCAAAACGACACGAAACTACCCAAAATTTCCTAAATGACTCAAAATCGCCCAAAAATGCCCCAAAATTATCCTAGAATTACCTCAAAATTATCGTAAACTACCCAAAATGACCCCAAATGACTCAAAATGACCCAAAATGCCCCAAAATGCCCCAAAATTACCAGAAAATGATCCTAAACTCCCCAAAATTACCCCAAATGGCTCCAAATCGCCCAAAATGTCCCAAAATTATCCGAAAATTACCTAAAAAAGACTCAAAACTGCCCAAAATTTCCCCGAATTACTGAAAATGACCCAAAATGCCACAAAATTATCCTAAAAAGACCTGAAAATGACCCAAAACTGCCCAAAATTACCCCAAATAACTCAAAATTGCCCAAAATGCCCCCAAATTCCCCAAAATTATCAAAAAATCACCCCAAAAAGGCCCAAAACTACCCAAAATTACCCCAAATTACTGAAAATGACTCAAAATGCCCCAAAATCATCCTAAAATTCCCTCAAATTGACCCAAAAATGCCCCAAATTACCCCAAATTCCTGAAAATGCCCCAAAATGCCCCAAAATTATCCTAAAATTACCTCAACTTGACACAAAAATGCCCCAAAAATGACCCAAAATGCCCCAAAATGCCCCAAAATGCCCCAAAATTATCCAAAAATCACCTCAAAAAGACCCAAAACTACCCAAAATTTCCCCAAATTCCTGAAAATGACCCAAAATGCCCCAAAATGCCCCAAAAATGCACCAAATGCCCCAAAAATGCCCCAAAATCCCCCAAAATGACCCAAAATGCCCCAAAATGACCCAAAATGCCCCAAAATAATCCTAAAATTACCTGAAAATGCCCCAAAATTCTCCTAAAATTACCCCAAACCACCCAAAACTACCCAAAATTTCCCCAAATTCCTGAAAAAGACCCAAAATGCCCCAAAAATGCCCCAAAATCCCCCAAAATGCCCCAAAATGACCCAAAATGACCCAAAATGACCCAAAATGACCCAAAATTATCCTAAAATTACCTCAAATTGACCCAAAACTCCCCAAAATTTCCCTAAATGACCCAAAATGACCCAAAAATGAACCAAAATGCCCCAAAATTATCCAAAAATTACCCCAAATGCCCCAAAATTCTCCTAAATTTACCTCAAAATGATCCAAAACTACCCCAAATTACCCCGAATTACTGAAAATGACCCAAAATCGCCCAAAATGACCCAAAATTATCCAAAAATCACCTCAAAAAGACCCAAAACTACCCAAATTACCCGAAATTACTGAAAATGACCCAAAAAATTTCCTAAAATGCCCCAAAATTATCCCAAAATCACCTAAAAATGACCCAAAACTCCCCAAAATTTCCCCAAATTCTAGAAAATGACCAAAAAATGCCCCAAAATGACCCAAAACTATCTGAAAATTACCTAAAAATGTCCCAAAACTGCCTAAAATTACCCCAAAATGACTCAAAATTCTCCTAAAATTACCTCAAAATGACCCAAAGCTGCCAAAAATTACCCCAAAATGACCCAAAATGACCCAAAAATGCCTCAAAATTATCCAAAAATGCCCCATAATTCTCCTAAAATTACCTCAAATTGACCCAAAACTCCCCAAAATTTCCCTAAATGACCCAAAATGACCCAAAAATGAACCAAAATGCCCCAAAATTATCCAAAAATTACCCCAAATGCCCCAAAATTCTCCTAAATTTACCTCAAAATGATCCAAAACTACCCCAAATTACCCCGAATTACTGAAAATGAACCAAAATGCCCCAAAATGACCCAAAACCACCCCAAATTACCCCAAATTCCTGAAAATGCCCCAAAATGCCCCAAAATTATCCAAAATTATCCTAAAATTACCTCAAATTGACCCAAAAATGCCCCTAAAATGCCCCAAAATCACACAAAATTACCCAAAATTCCCCAAAATTACCTTAAAATGACCCAAAATGCCCCAAAATGACCCAAAATTACCCAAAATCCCCAAAAATGCCCCAAAATTTCCCCGAATTACCTCAAATGCCCCAAAATGCCCCAAAAATGCCCCAAAATTCCCCAAAATTATCCAAAAATCACCTCAAAAAGACCCAAAACTACCCAAAATTTCCCCAAATTCCTGAAAATGCCCCAAAAATGCCCCAAAATGCCCCAAAATTATCCAAAAATTACCCCAAAATGACCCAAATTTTTTTGCTCCTCCCCCAGCGGCCATGAGGAGGCGCCACCTGGTGGTGAAAATGGTGATGGCGCTTCTGACAGGTGAGACATGGACAGGTGGGACATGGACAGGTGGGACATGGACAGGTGGGACATGGACAGGTGGGACAGGTGGGACATGGACAGGTGGGACATGGACAGGTGAGACATGGACAGGTGGGACATGGACAGGTGGGACAGGTGGGACATGGACAGGTGGGACATGGACAGGTGGGACATGGACAGGTGAGATGGGACAGGTGGGACATGGACAGGTGGGACATGGACAGGTGGGACATGGACAGGTGAGATGGGACAGGTGGGACATGGACAGGTGGGACAGGTGGGACATGGACAGGTGGGACATGGACAGGTGGGACAGGTGGGACAGGTGGGACATGGACAGGTGGGACATGGACAGGTGGGACATGGACAGGTGGGACATGGACAGGTGGGACAGGTGGGACATGGACAGGTGAGACATGGACAGGTGAGACATGGACAGGTGGGACATGGACAGGTGGGACAGGTGGGACATGGACAGGTGAGACATGGACAGGTGGGACAGGTGGGACATGGACAGGTGGGACATGGACAGGTGGGACATGGACAGGTGAGACATGGACAGGTGACACAGGTGGGACATGGACAGGTGGGACATGGACAGGTGGGACATGGACAGGTGGGACATGGACAGGTGGGACATGGACAGGTGGGACAGGTGGGACATGGACAGGTGAGACATGGACAGGTGGGACAGGTGGGACATGGACAGGTGGGACAGGTGGGACATGGACAGGTGGGACAGGTGGGACAGGTGGGACAGGTGGGACATGGACAGGTGGGACAGGTGAGATGGGATAGGTGGGACAGGTGGGACATGGACAGGTGGGACATGGACAGGTGGGACAGGTGGGACATGGACAGGTGGGACATGGACAGGTGAGACATGGACAGGTGGGACATGGACAGGTGGGACATGGACAGGTGGGACAGGTGGGACATGGACAGGTGAGACATGGACAGGTGGGACATGGACAGGTGGGACATGGACAGGTGGGACAGGTGGGACATGGACAGGTGAGACATGGACAGGTGGGACATGGACAGGTGGGACATGGACAGGTGGGACAGGTGGGACATGGACAGGTGGGACAGGTGGGACATGGACAGGTGGGACATGGACAGGTAGGACAGGTGGGACATGGACAGGTGGGACATGGACAGGTGGGACATGGACAGGTGAGACATGGACAGGTGGGACAGGTGGGACATGGACAGGTGGGACAGGTGACACAGGTGACACAGGTGACCCTGACCCATCTCCATGTCCCCACAGTGACCCACCTGACCCGTGTCACACGCGTGACCGCGGACACGCGTGTGGTGGGCGGTCACGCGTGTGTCCCGCACTCGCAGCCGTGGCAGGTGGCCGTGCTGGACATGTACAAGCTCTACTGCGGCGGCGTCCTGGTGGCCCCACGATGGGTGGTGACGGCCGCGCACTGCACCACGCCGGGGTGAGGTCCTCAGGGGTCCTCAGGTGGTCCTCAGGTGTTCCTCACCTGTTCCACCTGTCCCGTCCCCTCCATGTTCCTCAGGTGTTCCTCAGATGTTCCCCAGGTGTTCCCCAAATGTTCCTCAGGGGTTCCTCAGGTGTTCCCGACCTGTCCTATCCCCTCCATGTTCCTCAGATGTTCCTGAGATGTTCCTCAGGCATTCCTGAGATGTTCCTCAGATGTTCCCCAGATGTTCCTCAGGTGTTCCTCAGGTGTTCCTCAGGGGTTCCTCACCAGTCCTATCTCCTCTATGTTCCTCAGATATTCCTCAGATGTTCCTCACCTGTCCCACCCGTTCTTTATCCTCCATGTTTGTCAGATGTTCCTCAGATGTTCCTCAGATGTTCCTGAGATGTCCCTCACCCGTCCCTCACCGGTCCCATCCCCTCCATGTCCATGAGATGTTCCTCAGACATTCCTGAGATGTTCCTCAGATGTTCCTCACCTGTCCTGTCCCCTCCATGTTCCTCAGGGGTTCCTCAGATGTTCCTCAGGTGTTCCTCAGATGTTCCTCAGGTGTTCCTCACCTGTCCCACCTGTCCCGTCCCTTCCATGTTCCTGAGATGTTCCTCAGACGTTCCTGAGATGTCCCTCACCCATCCCTCACTTGTCCTGTTCCCTCCATGTCCCTGAGATGTCCCTCAGACGTTCCCCAGATGTTCCTCAGATGTTCCCCAGATGTTCCTCAGGTGTTCCTCACCTGTCCCACCTGTCCCATCCCCTCCATGTCCCTCAGATGTTCCTCAGATGTTCCTCAGGTGTTCCTCAGATGTTCCTCAGGTGTTCATCAGATGTTCCTCAGATGTTCCTCAGATGTTCCCTCAGATGTTCCTCAGATGTTCCTCAGGTGTTCCTCAGGTGTTCCTCACCTGTCCCACCTGTCCCATCTCCTCCATGTTCCTCAGGTGTTCCTCAGATGTTCCTCAGATGTTCCACCTGTCCTGTCCCCTCCATGTTCCTCAGATGTTCTTGAGATGTTCCTCAGGTGTTCCCCAGATGTTCCTCAGGTGTTCCTCAGATGTTCCCCAGATGTTCCTCAGATGTTCCTCAGATGTTCCTCAGATGTTCCTCACCTGTCCCACCTGTCCCATCCCCTCCATGTCCCTGAGATGTCCCTCAGACATTCCTGAGATGTTCCTCAGACATTCCTGAGATGTTCCCTCAGACCTTCCCTACATGTTATTCAGATGTTCCTGAGATGTTCCTCACCTGTTCCATCCCCTCCATGTCCCTGGGATGTTCCTGAGACATTCCCGAGATGTTCCTGAGATGTTCCTCACCTCTCCCATCTCCTCCATGTTCTTGAGATGTCCCTCAGACATTCCTGAGACGTTCCTGAGATGTTCCTCAGACATTCCTGAGATGTTCCTGAGATGTTCCCCAGGTGTCCCTCACCTGTCCCACCTGTCCCATCCCCTCCATGTCCCTGAGACGTTCCCCAGACGTTCCTCACCTGTCCCATCCCCTCCATGTCCCTGAGACATTCCTGAGATGTTCCTCAGACATTCCTGAGATGTTCCCCAGATGTTCCTGAGATGTTCCTCAGATGTTCCTCACCTCTCTCATCCCCTCCATGTTCTTGAGACATTCCTGAGATGTTCCTCAGACATTCCTCAGACGTTCCCCAGATGTTCCTCACCCATCCCCGAGATGTCCCTCACCCGCCCCACCTCTCCCATCCCCTCCATGTCCCTCAGACATTCCTGAGATGTTCCTCAGATGTTCCTGAGATGTTCCTCAGACGTTCCTGAGATGTTCCTCACGTGTTCCTCACCCATCCCTCACCTGTCCCATATCCTCCATGACCCTGAGACGTTCCTGAGACGTTCCCCAGACGTTCCTCAGACATTCCTGAGATGTTCCTCAGACGTTCCTGAGATGTCCCTCACCTGTCCCACCTCTCCCATCCCCTCCATGTTCCTGAGAGGTTCCTCAGACGCTCCTGAGATGTCCCTGAGATATTCCCCAGATGTTCCTCAGACATTCCTCAGACGTTCCTCACCTCTCCCATCCCCTCCATGTTCTTGAGACATTCCTGAGATGTTCCTCAGACATTCCTCAGACGTTCCCCAGATGTTCCTGAGATGTCCCTCACCTGTCTCATCCCCTCCATGTTGTTGAGATGTCCCTCAGACGTCCCTGAGATGTTCTTCAGATGTTCCTCACCCATCCCATCCCCTCCATGTTCTTGAGATGTCCCTCAGACGTTCCTGAGATGTTCCTCAGATATTCCCCAGATGTTCCTGAGATGTTCCTCACCCATCCCTCACCTGCCCCATCCCCTCTATGTCCGTGAGACGTTCCCCAGATGTTCCCCAGACATTCCTGAGATGTTCCTGAGATGTTCCCCAGATGTTCCTGAGATGTTCCTCACCCGTCCCTCACCCACCCCACCTCTCCCATCCCCTCCATGCCCCTGAGATGTTCCTCAGACATTCCCCAGACGTTCCCCAGATGTCCCTGAGATGTTCCTCAGACGTTCCTGAGATGTTCCTCAGACGTTCCTCAGACGTTCCTGAGATGTCCCTCACCTGTCCCACCCCTCCCATCCCCTCCATGTCCGTGAGACGTTCCCCAGATGTTCCTCAGACGTTCCTGAGATATCCCTCACCCATCCCTCACCTGTCCCATCCCCTCCATGTTCCTCATACGTTCTTCGGATGTTCCTCAGACGTTCCTCAGACGTTCCTCACCTCTCCCATCCCCTCCATGTTCTTGAGATGTTCTTGAGATGTTCCCCAGATGTTCCTCACCTGTCCCTGAGATGTTCCTCACCTCTCCCATCCCCTCCATGTCCCTGAGATGTTCCTCAGACGTTCTGCAGACCTTCCCCAGATGTTCCTCAGATGTTCCTCAGACGTTCCTGAGATGTCCCTCACCTCTCCCACCCCTCAGGGTGACCACGGTGGCCCTGGGCAAGCACCGCCTGTACGCGCGGGAGGCGGGCGAGCAGCGCCGGGTGGTGGCCCGCATGGTGGCCCACCCTGGCTACGACCCCTCCACCAAGGACAACGACATCATGCTGCTGAAGCTCCTGGTCCCCGCCGCCATCTCCGACCGCGTCCGGCCCGTCCCGGTGGCCTCGTGCCTGCCCCGGCCCGGCACCGCCTGCGTCACCTCGGGCTGGGGCGCCACCACCTCGCCCGAGGGTAGGTGGCATCTCGGGGGGGTTCGGGGCGTGGGCGGTGGGGGGGTTGGAGGTCGGTTGGGGGGTCTGGTGGTCATCTTGTGGTTGTTTGGGGCTTCTTGTGGTCATCTTGTGGTCATCTGGGGCTTCTCATGGTCATCTTGTGGTCATCTTGTGGTCGTTTGGGTCTCCTCGTGGTCACCTGGACCATCTAAAAGGTCATTTGGGTCTTCTCATGGTTATCTTCTGGTCATCTGGATCTTCTTGTGGTCATCTCGTGGTCATTTGGGTCTTCTTGTGGTCACCTGGACCACCTAAAGGTCATTTGGGTCTCCTGGTGGTCATCTCGTGGTCATCTGGGGCTCCTTGTGGTCATCTGGGTCTTCTCATGGTCACCTGGACCATCTTGTGGTCATCTGGGGTGTCTTGTGGTCATCTGGGTCTTCTCGTGGTCATCTTGTGGTCATTTGGGGCTCCTCGTGGTCATCTTGTGGTCACCTGCCCCGGCCCGGCACCGCCTGCGTCACCTCGGGCTGGGGCGCCACCACCTCGCCCGAGGGTAGGTGGCATCTCGGGGGGGTTCGGGGCGTGGTCGGTGGGGGGGTTGGAGGTCGGCTGGGGGGTCTGGAGGTCATCTCGTGGTCATCTGGGGGGTCTTGTGGTCATCTTGTGGTCACCTGGACCATCTAAAAGGTCATTTGGGTCTTCTTGTGGTCATCTCGTGGTCGTTTGGGTCTTCTCATGGTCATCTTCTGGTCATCTGGATCTTCTTGTGGTCATCTCGTGGTCATTTGGGTCTCCTCGTGGTCACCTGGACCATCTAAAGGTCATTTGGGTCTCCTCATGGTCATCTCATGGTCATCTGGGGCTCCTTGTGGTGGTTTGGGTCTTCTTGTGGTCATCTTGTGGTCACCTGGGGCTCCTTGTGGTCATCTCATGGTCATTTGGGTCTTGTGGTCATCTGGGGCTTCTTGTGGTCATCTGGGGCTCCTTGTGGTCATCTGGACCATCTCATGGTCACCTGGACCATCTTGTGGTCATCTGGGGCATCTTGTGGTCATCTTCTGCTCTCGTGGTCATCTGGGGCATCTTGTGGTCATCTTCTGCTCTTGTGGTCATCTGGGGCGTCTTGTGGTCATCTTGTGGTCATCTGAGTCTTCTCATGGTCACCTGGACCATCTCGTGGTCATTTGGGTCTTCTTGTGGTCATCTGGGGCTTCTCGTGGTCATCTTGTGGTCATTTGGGGCTCCTCGTGGTCATCTGGGGCTCCTTGTGGTGGTTTGGGTCTTCTCGTGGTCATCTTGTGGTCACCTGCCCCGGCCCGGCACCGCCTGCGTCACCTCGGGCTGGGGCGCCACCACCTCGCCCGAGGGTAGGTGGCATCTCGGGGGGGTTCGGGGCGTGGGCGGTGGGGGGGCTGGAGGTCGGCTGGGGGGTCTGGAGGTCATCTTGTGGTCAGCTGGGTCTTTTTGTGGTCATCTTGTGGTCATCTGGGTCTTTTTGTGGTCATCTTGTGGGCACCTGGGGCTCCTCGTGGTCATCTTGTGGTCATCTGGACCACCTAAAGGTCACCTGCTTGTCCTCGTGGTCATCTCGTGGCTTTTTGGGTCTTCTTGTGGTCATCTTGTGGTCATTTGGGTCTTCTCGTGGTGGTTTGGGGCTTCTTGTGGTCATCTTGTGGTCACTTTGGACCCCTGGTGGTCACTCAGGGTTACTCAGGGTCACTCATTGGTCACTCAGTGATCACTCAGTGGTCAGTTGGTCACTCAGTGGTCAGTTGGTCAGTTGGTCACTCACTGGTCACTCCCCGCAGTGACCTACCCCGATGTTCTCCAGTGTGTGAACGTGTCTCATGGTCACTCAGTGGTCACTCAGGGGTCACTCAGCCGTTTCTCAGTGGGTTCCTGGGTTGGTCAGTTGGTCATTGGTCAGGTGGCCACTCAGTGGTCAGTTGGTCACTCAGTGGTCACTCCACAGTGACCTACCCCGAGGTTCTCCAGTGCGTCAACGTGTCTCATGGTCACTCAGTGGTCACTCAGTGGTCACTCAGTGGGTTGGTCAGTTGTTTCTCAGTGGGTTCCTGTGTTGGTCAGTGGGTTGGTCACTGGTCAGTGGTCACTCAGTGGTCACTCAGTGGTCACTCAGTGGTCACTCAGTGGTCACTCAGTGGTCACTCAGTGGTCACTCAGTGGTCACTCAGTGGTCACTCTCCCCACAGTGACCTACCCAGAGGTTCTCCAGTGTGTGAACGTCTCTCATGGTCACTCAGTGGGTTGGTCAGTGGGTTGGTCACTCAGGGTCACTCAGGGTCACTCAGTGGTCACTCAGTGGTCAGTTGGTCACTCACTGGTCACTCCCACAGTGACCTACCCCGAGGTTCTCCAGTGTGTGAACGTGTCTCATGGTCACTCAGTGGTCACTCAGTGGTCACTCAGTCATTTCTCAGTGGGTTCCTGGGTTGGTCAGTGAGTTGGTCAGTGGGTTGGTCACTCAGTGGTCACTCAGGATCACTCAGTGGTCACTCAGTGGTCAGTTGGTCACTCTCCCCGCAGTGACCTACCCCGAAGTTCTCCAGTGCGTGAACGTGTCTCATGGTCACTCAGTGGTCACTCAGTGGTCACTCAGTGGTCACTCAGTGGTTTCTCAGTGGGTTCCTGGGTTGGTCAGTGGGTTGGTCAGTGGGTTGGTCACTCAGTGGTCACTCAGTGGGTTGGTCAGTGGGTTGGTCAGTGGGTTGGTCACTCAGTGGTCACTCAGTGGTCAGTGGTCACTCAGTGGGTTGGTCAGTGGGTTGGTCAGTGGGTTGGTCACTCGGTGGTCACTCAGTGGGTTGGTCAGTGGGTTGGTCACTCATTGGTCACTCAGTGGTCAGTTGGTCACTCTGTCCGCAGTGACCTACCCGGAGGTTCTCCAGTGTGTGAACGTGTCTCATGGTCACTCAGTGGTCACTCAGTGGGTTGGTCAGTTGGTCAGTGGGTTGGTCACTCAGTGGTCACTCAGTGGTCACTCATTGGTCACTCAGTGGTCTCTCATGGTCACTCAGTGGTCACTCAGGTGTTTCTCAGTGGGTTCCTGGGTTGGTCAGTGGGTTGGTCAGTTGGTCAGTTGGTCAGTTGGTCACTCACTGGTCAGTTGGTCACTCAGTGGTCACTCCCACAGTGACCTACCCTGAGGTTCTCCAGTGCGTGAACGTGTCTCATGGTCACTCATTGGTCACTCAGTGGTCACTCAGTGGTCACTCAGTGGTCACTCAGCCATTTCTCAGTGGGTTCCTGGGTTGGTCAGTGGGTTGGTCAGTGGGTTGGTCACTCAGTGGTCAGTTGGTCACTCAGTGGTCACTCACTGGTCACTCCACAGTGACCTACCCCGAGGTTCTCCAGTGCGTGAACGTGTCTCATGGTCACTCAGTGGGTTGGTCAGTTGGTCAGTTGGTCACTCAGTGGTCAGTTGGTCACTCATTGGTCACTCAGTGGTCACTCAGTGGTCACTCAGCAGTTTCTCAGTGGGTTCCTGGCTTGGTCAGTGGGTTGGTCAGTTGGTCACTCAGTGGTCACTCACTGGTCACTCACTCCACAGTGACCTACCCCGAGGTTCTCCAGTGCGTCAACGTGTCTCATGGTCACTCAGTGGTCACTCAGTGGTCACTCAGTGGTCACTCAGTCGTTTCTCAGTGGGTTCCTGGGTTGGTCAGTGGGTTGGTCAGTGGGTTGGTCAGTTGGTCACTCAGTGGTCACTCACTGGTCACTCCACAGTGACCTACCCCGAGGTTCTGCAGTGTGTGAACGTGTCTCATGGTCACTCAGGGGTCACTCAGTCGTTTCTCAGTGGGTTCCTGGGTTGGTCAGTTGGTCAGTGGGTTGGTCAGTGAGTTGGTCAGTGGGTTGGTCACTCATTGGTCAGTGGTCAGTTGGTCACTCACTGGTCACTCCCACAGTGACCTACCCCGAGGTTCTCCAGTGTGTGAACGTGTCTCATGGTCACTCAGTGGTCACTCAGTTGGCCACTCAGTGGTCACTCAGTGGTCACTCAGTGGTCACTCAGTGGTCACTCAGGCGTTTCTCAGTGGGTTCCTGGGTTGGTCAGTGGGTTGGTCACTTAGTGGGTTGGTCAGTTGGTCACTCAGTGGTCACTCAGTGGTCACTCAGTGGTCACTCAGTGGTCACTCACTGGTCACTCCACAGTGACCTACCCCGAGGTTCTCCAGTGCGTCAACGTGTCCCTCTTCTCTCCGGCCGAGTGTCGCCGTTTCTACCCCGACTCCATCACCGACAACATGGTCTGTGCCGGACACCTGCAGGGGGGACGGGACTCCTGCCAGGTACGGTCACCTGGGGGCACCTGGGCACACCTGGGCACACCTGAGGGGGATACAAACACACCTGGGCACACCTGGGCACACCTGGGCACACCTGGGGACACCTGGGGGCACCTGGGGGCACCTGGGCACACCTGGGGACACCTGGGGACACCTGGGGACACCTGGGGACAGCTGGGGACAGCTGGGGACAGCTGGGGACACCTGGGCACACCTGGGGACACCTGGGGACAGCTGGGGACAGCTGGGGACAGCTGGGGACACCTGGGGACACCTGGGGACAGCTGGGGACAGCTGGGGACAGCTGGGGACAGCTGGGGACACCTGGGGGCACCTGGGGACACCTGGGCACACCTGGGGGCACCTGGGGGCACCTGAGAACTCACCTGGGCACACCTGGGCACACCTGGGGACACCTGGGCACACCTGGGGACACCTGGGGACACCTGGGCACACCTGGGGCACCTGGGGACACCTGGGGGCACCTGGGGACACCTGCAGGGCGGGCGGGACTCCTGCCAGGTACGGTCACACCTGGAGACACCTGGGGGCACCTGGAGGCACACCTGGGGACACCTGGGGACACCTGGGGACACCTGGGGGCACCTGGGGGGCACCTGGGGACACCTGGGGGCACCTGGGGGGCACCTGGGGACACCTGGGGGGCACCTGGGCACACCTGGGCACACCTGGGAACACACCTGGGCACACCTGGGGGCACCGGGGGGCACCTGGGGACACCTGGGGACACCTGGGGAAACCTGCAGGGCGGGCGGGACTCCTGCCAGGTACGAGGTCCTCCAAGGGGTCACCCAACCCAAGGGGTCACCAACCCAACCCAAGGTGTCCTCCAAGGGGTCACCAACCCAACGAGGTCAACCAAGGGGTCACCAACCCAACCAGGTCCTCCAAGGGGTCACCAACCCAAGGGATCACCAACCCAATGAGATCCACCAAGGGTTTGCCCAACCCAAGACTTTGGCCAACCCAAGAGTTTGGCCAACCAAACAAGTTCCACCAAGGGGTCACCAAACCCAACAAGGTCACCCAACCCAAGAATTTGCCCAACCCAAGGGGTCACCCAACCCAAGAGGTCACCAAACCCAACCAGGTCCTCCAAGGGTTTGGCCAACCTATGGGGTCACCCAACCCAACGAGGTCCATCAAGGGGTCACCCAACGCAATGAGATCCACCAAGAGTTTACCCAACCCAAGGGGTCACCAAACCCAATGAGATCCATTAAGGGGTCACCCAACCCAAGGAGATCCACCAAGGGGTCACCCAACCCAACAAGGTCACCCAACCCATGGGGTCACCCAACCCAAGGGGTCACCCAACCCAAGAGTTTGGCCAACCCATGAGTTTGGCCAACCAAAGGAGTCACCAAACCCAATGAGATCCATCAAGGGGTCACCAAACCCAACAAGATCCACCAAGGGGTCACCCAACCCAAGGGGTCACTCAACCCAATGAGGTCCACCAAGGGGTCACCAAACCCAACAAGGTCACCCAACCCAAAGGGTCACCCAACCCAATGAGATCCATTAAAGGGTCACCCAACCCAGTGAGGTCTACCAAGAGTTTGGCCAACCCAAGAGTTTGCCCAACCCAAGGGGTCACCAAACCCAACGAGATCCATCAAGGGGTCACCCAACCCAACAAGGTCACACAACCCAAGGGGTCACCCAACCCAAGGGGTCACCCAACCCAACAAGGTCCACCAAGAGTTTGGCCAACCCAAGGGCTCAAAGGGTTCACCCAACCCAATGAGATCCATTAAGGGGTCACCAAACCCAACGAGGTCCTCCAAGGGGTCACCCAACCCAATGAGATCCATTAAGGGGTCACCAAACCCAACGAGGTCCTCCAAGGGGTCACCCAACCCAATGAGATCCACCAAGAGTTTACCCAACCCAAGGGGTCACCCAACCCAAGAGTTTGCCCAACCCAAGAGTTTGGCCAACCCAAGAGTTTACCCAACGCAAGAGTTTGTCCATCAAGGGGTCACCCAACCCAAGGGGTCACCAACCCAAAGGGTCACTCAACCCAATGAGATCCATCAAGAGTTTGCCCAACCCAAGAGTTTGGCCGACCCAAGGGCTCACCCAACCCAAGGAGATCCACCAAGGGCTCACCCAACCCAACGATGTTCACCAAGAATTTGGCCAACCCAAGAATTTGGCCAACCCGAGGGGTCATCCAACCCAAGGGGTCACCAACCCAATGAGGTCAACCAAGGGGTCACCAAATCCAACGAGGTCCATCAATGGGTCACCCAACACAACGAGGTCCATCAAGGGGTTGGCCAACCCAAAGAGATCCACCAAAGGGTCACCAAAGCCAACGAGATCCACCAAGAGTTTGGCCAACCCAAGAGATCACCCAAACCAAG